CTTCGCTCGAGTTACTTGCGACTCTGGTGGGAGTGATCTTGTTCGAATCACCGCCTAACACGAAGGCGAGTTTCATTTGCAGTGCTGCGACGGACAACAGGGGCAACAGCCTGCTTACGGCTCGATGGCTGACCACCTCCTTCCCACTGGTCGCAGTGCTTATGGAATTGGCGACTGTTCTTCAAGGGCGCTCTTTGTCGCTCGAGCTTCATTGGGCGCCGAGGTTACAAAACGCTCTGGCCGATGCTTTAGCAAATCAGGATTTTAAAAGTTTCGATCCGGCGTTGAGGCTTCGATTCTCTTTCAAGGATTGTGTTCATGAAGGAGATGCTTGAACTGGGAACTTCGCTTTATCAAGATATCGCGGAGTGGAGATCACGAAAGCGCGAGGCTTCGCGGCAGACAAATCCGGCCCAACGTTCTAAGGCTACCAAGCTGTCGGCCAGGGATCCTTGGAAGTAGCATTCCGTCATTCTTCGAAGTGGGGCAGATTGAGGTTTGCGAAATGCAAGGTATGTATCTCCTTGCGGTGGCCTCCTCTTTTCACACAACCTTTACCGGCGAGCTTCGCTGTTAAAACATGGGTCGAGAGCGGTAGTCTTGCTTCTTCAGTTGCAACATGTGCATCGTTGATTGATGGGCATATATATATATATATATATATATATATATTTATATTTGCGACGGAAATATATTTCTGTTTTCCCCACATATCATTTGGTATATTCGGCCAACTGGTCTTGTTGGCCTTTCTACAGTTTCGAAACAACTCGCGAGGTGGACTTGTCCATCGCTGAGCTTGAGGGTCGCTGTTCTCTGCTTTGCACCTTAGTCATGCTGTTTGGTGCACACTCACGGCTGCTTTGTGGTACGCCACGAGCCGTTTCTAGTTAGTAGTTTGTTTCATAGTTCCTCGAGGTGCGTTTTCCAACGTAGCTGTCCACGGATGGCCGAGCTGAAAGCAGCTTGCCTCTGGCTTAGGCCCCGCAAGGCGACGACCTAGTCTGCCGCGAAAGGAAAGGAAAAGTGAGTTTTTGACCAAGGAGAGACTTCGCCGCCAGCCGCTGGCACAGATTCTTCAGCGCGAGGCGCACAACCTCCTCCGAGCAACGAATCCGCACAGCAGCAACTCCGGCGGCCATGCCTAGACTTAGACCGTGAACCGAAGCTGAGGCCTGCTCCTGTCTACTTACGTAACCCACACAACGTTTGTTGTCTGAATGCGTCCCTCACCGGCCTTCTCTGGGCAGGTGAGATTGCTGAGACAGCCGATGATTGTTTTGGTGCTCAGGCCTCGGCTTTCAAAGCCCTCCACACAGGTACTGAGCGCAAACCTGTCCACGTACCAGGCCTGCTCAACTGGACCGGCCTTCTGAGAGGCTGGAGTAACCTGTCTCAACAACATGACTGTGCAGAGTTCTCCGATTTCTTGTTCAACAGGTTGCAGCCTCCCGCATTCCAGGGTGTATGGGAGGCTAGACTCAATGATGGAAGCATTATCGAATGCCGAGGTCGCGGAAGTGTCCCGCCCTCGCTCCCTATAGACATACCTGAGTCTACGATCTCCCTGCAAGCGCTTATTGAAGCGTGGCACAGCCGCCAAGAGGCTACTTTGGCATTTACGCGAGCACCACGGTTTTTGCTCCTGCAGCTGAAGCGTTACAGGCACAACGACACTGAGGCTTTTAAACTTAAAACCCCGGTTACCCTAAGCCCCAATGCTAGGATCCTGGTGCCACGGTTCACTTCGGACTCACTTTGCACTGAGCCAGTCCCTTACAAGTTGTGCTTCACTGTAGTGCACGCGGGCAACACCGTGCACTCAGGTCACTACCAGTGTGCAATGGCCACCGCCGGTGAGCCAGCAGTGCTTCTCTTGGGCAACGATGGCACAGCTGCTAAACCAGTCAAGGCTAGTCAGAAGGATTGGATTGAAGCCAACTGTTATCTAGTGTGTCTTCGTGCCATACAACCCTAGCTTGCTCTCGTTGCTCGGTGAGGGTTTTGGCCGTGCAATGCAAGTAGCGTTAGCCGTTTGCTGCTTTTAGCGCCTTTAATCCTAAGGTTTTGTGTTTGACCCGCTACCCCAGTGACCCGCAGCGCTTTGCAGCAAGCGCCGTCTCTCAACAGAGTTCCGCTGCCTGCAATCGCCTGCAAAGCACTTGTGACCAGTGCCTGTGTGAGTCGACAGTTTTCTGAGCAAGTGAAGCCGTAGCTACGCCTTAGGCTGTAGCCGGTAGCCGTGCTGTATGCAGTGATTCTCATTTTGTTGCTTTGCATGCGCTTCACGGTTCGACTGCTTAGCAGTCCGCTGCGAGTCGAGCTCTGAACTAGTTTTGCTGCTGCGCGTAGGTTCAGCGCTGAGCTGTCTTAGGTTGCTGTAGCTTCAAGCCGGGCCATAATATATGGCTTGCCTACCGACTGCCCCCGCAAGGCAATGACCACGTTGCTGCGAACGGAAAGGAAAAGTGAGTTTTTGAGAATCTGGCTTTTGTGTTCGTGTGCCTTTATCACGAAAACTTTTTTCTGTGTTTCTACAGATTTATTTTATTTCTTTTCACGTGGGGGTTTTGGCACACGGGTTTTCATTTTCCCATTTTGCATTTTCCCTATTGCGAAGTTGCCTTGGGAATCTGCTTCGTGTGCCTACAGTCGTGTGGCTCTGCTGTAGTCACCGGAAAATTTTTCTTTAACCCACCCACCCACTCCTAGGGGCAGATTGAGGTTTGCGAAATGCAACTTCATTTGCAAGGTGTGTATCTCCTTGCGGTGGCCTCCTCTTTTCACACAACCTTTACCGGCGAGCTTCGCTGTTAAAACATGGGTCGAGAGCGGTAGTCTTGCTTCAGTTGCAACATGTGCATCGTTGATTGATGGGCATATATATATATATATATATTTGCGACGGAAATATATTTCTGTTTTCCCCACATATCATTTGGGGTATATTCGGCCAACTGGTCTTGTTGGCCGAATATTCGAAACAACTCAGCCACTTTGTCTCACCTTGTACAGTTGATTGTTGCTTTATATTCTTGCTTTCTTGATTTTTATAGGGACCGAGCGCAGCAGCCGGTGTCACCGAGGCCCAACCACGCAAAAAAAAAAAAAAACGTAGAAACATTGCCATGTTAGCCATGCTTCAACCCAAATCGGAGAAGTTGAGCCGGACACATTCCTCCCGACATCAGAGAACGTCCTAGACTGTGTGTTTCCTCAACATTGGTCCCGAAGAATGTCTGTGCATCAGTATTTCGCCATCAAAGATTCATGGCAACACAATGATGTGACAGATGCTGTGCGAACACGGTATTCCAAACCTCATTTTGTTCTGCTTCGCAAGAAAGCTCTCGAGTCGTCCGCATTGACCAAAGGAGCGGAGTCACGGCAGGCAGTGAGATAGAGGCTGGCGAAGCTTTCACAAAAGCTCGTCGGTCATCAACACATTGGATAAGACACGTGTCACGTGTCTTTCAACAGAAACATTCGGCCGACAAAATCTGAAGAACCTTCGCAGAGGTCAAGATCCGAAGTGTTGTCTGGAACATGTCGGTATCATTTTTGCAAAGCTTGTGCCACGTTGTAGTTTATTTTGTAACCGTGGCATTATGCGCACTGACACTGCGTCCTTTGCGAAGATCGTTTTCGCTTGGTGGCAATCGGGCATCAGCATTGATGCCCCGAGCATACTTCTTGACAATGTAGCTTGGAACAGACGCATGACTTTGCAATGCTTGAACTTGTTTTTTTCGCATTATCCTGTCCAGCACTGAAAACTGATTGGAAGTGGACAAGGCATTGCAATAAACCATGATGCTTGTAGGTTGATGATCTGCAAGGAAGTGAAACACACGATGTTGCTCAAACTGAGGTAGAAGAGAGTTTAATGACTTTCTTGTAAGAGTGAAAGATCATCTCGGAACGCTTGCCGATGTTGATGCCACTGCTGAATCATGACGCCATTCAAAGCTTCTTCAAACATTGGCAAATTGAAAGTTTGCGTATTGTATGCCAAAACGGATAGGCTGTTGATGCTTGACAAATGATCAATAAGATGTCCTGCTACAACAAGCAATGATGCACGGCATGCAACATGGCCAGCCAGTGTGCTTGTGACAAATGAACAATAAACTATACGGTGGCACGTTTTGGATGCATGTTAATACACATGTGCATTTGTGCCAATCCAGGGTGTTAAAATTTGCAGGTTTTAAAACACCCGCCTTCGGACGCTGTAGCTGCTTCCCATCCTTGCTATCGTCTTGTTCATCATGTCACTGCATAGGATAAAGCTTGCCACCTTATTTTGACGTAGTGTTTGCTCGCTTGTGGTGACGTGACGATGTCCACATGCAACACTTCGCTTATGTGGGGACAAAACAAACTCCACCTTGGGTGGCGCTGTTTCCTTTAGCCAATCTCCCTCCATTGAAGTTGCAAAGGCGATTGTTTGTACGCAGTTTGCGGGTGGAGGTTGCTTTTCGTAGCAATGGGCCCTGATTCGGCGAGTTTATGTTTCGGGTTGGGGAGGCACCTCCTGTGCACAATCCTTGTGCTCAAGATCACAAGTATTCTTCTTCATCCGTGTGGAAGCACTGTTTGCTGTGACAATTTGTTTGTCCAGCAAAGAAACAATCGAGTCCAGCTTGAATCGGGTCTTACCCTGTTGCCTCATGCTTCTGCTTCATGGCAAAATTCCGTGAAGGGCCAAACGACGAATATGCCCGGCATACGTAGACGCGAGTTGGGATTAACAACGTGAAACTGATTGAACCATAGTTTTTTCAGCTGTCAATGTCACCTGGCTCCGGGATCAGCAGAGGAGGCTGAATTTGGCAGTAGCAGACTCTACAACGCGGGACAACTGGTTCGTGTGCAGAGTCGGTTGCTTACCTGCATAAAGCCATGTTTAAATTTGGAGGTTCACTGCAATTTTCATATGATTGTGTGGATGCCTCGCCTGATCCAAAAGTGATGTTGTGTCAGCATTCGAGGTCACCATGACGCAGATGGGCATTAATGGCTTCGGACGCATTGGGCGCCTCGTCTTTCGTGCAGCCATGGAGAATCAAAGCGTGGCTTGCTTGCAAATGAAACTAGGGTCTATCCTGGACATGTTGCTCCGTGTGGAAGTTCGACTTGCCTGGACGAGTGCAGCCATGCGGAGGTTACGATGGTTGCAGTCAATGATCCGTTCATGGACCTTGACTACATGAAGTACCTGCTGAAGTACGATTCCGTGCACAAGAGATTCAATGGTTCAATCTCCACGAAGAAGGAGGGATTCTGACAAGCCATCTGCACACGGACATATGTAGCGATGCGATTCATGATCCACTCCATTGCAGGAGAATGGCGAAGAGTACCTGGTTGTCAATGGACTTCCAGTGCGAATTTTCCACGAAAAAGACCCCGCTTCTATCCCTTGGGGATCCGTCGGTGCAGATTATGTCTGCGAATCAACAGGCGTGTTCTGCGACAAGGCTCATTGCTCATAGAATCCCAAACACATCTTGCATGTTGCCATCCCTATATATCCCTCGTACAGGAGAAGGCGTCGAAGCATCTTCAAGGTGGGTGCAAGAAAGTTATCATCTCGGCCCCTCCAAAGGACTTGCTATTCTCTTCTCCGACTGTGTCCGGGAACATGTATGATTTTGGGAAAGCCTTCATCAGCTGCAGGACAGCACGCCAATGTTCGTTATGGGTGTGAACCATGAGAAGTACACGCCGGCCGGGGTCATAAAGAACTAGTGCTACCAGCCGCTTTTGCGGAGCCGAGCCGACGAAGACGCCAGGACTTGCAGGTTGTGTCGAATGCTTCCTGCACTACGAACTGCTTGGCGCCTTTGGCCAAGGCCCAGAAGGGTGTACACATGTTGGCAGTGTACGATGAAGACAACACAGACAGCCTGGCCTGTATCCAGGTCATCAACGACAACTTTGGTATTGCAGAGGCCGATAAGTAGAATAGAAGTGAGTGACGAAGCCGAGCTTGGTTTTTGGCATGCGCTGCAGGGCCTGATGACCACGGTCCACGCCATGACAGCTACCCAGCTGACCGTTGATGGCCCGTCGCGCGGCGGGAAGGACTCCAAAAGGGGGCGGCCTCGAGACCGCTGAGAGCCCTGGCTCGACCCGCCCCTGGGCTCAGGACTGGCGTGGTGGACGATGTGCCTCGGAGAATATCATTCCATCCTCCACCGGGGCGGCCAAGGCGTGCAGACTTCTCTTTTCAGGGTCATGCCCGCGCACGCGGCTGAGCCATGCCTAGGCAGTGGGCAAGGTGATCCCTGCTCTCAACGGCCAGGGACTCACATTTTTCGGAAACCGCAGGGAATGGATGGTCAGAATTTTGATACTGTCTATGGGGCTCAGGTAAATTGACCGGCATGGCATTCCGGGTGCCGACTCCTGATGTCTCTGTGGTGGACCTGACCTGCCGGCTGGACAAGCTTGGGGCCTTGACTGCCTGTGTGTGCAGGGGCTGATCTCTATCCGGAGTTTTCAGGCCAGCAAGCATGGATGACATCACTGCTGCCATCAACAAGGCTGTAGAAGGCTCGACCTGCATTGCAGACATCCGCTAGCAATGTGCCTGAACTACGGCTGGTCCTGCAGACTCCCGGCATGATGTCAAACCCATACTTATTCAGCAGGTCCCATGAAGGGCATTCTTGGCTTCACCGATCAGGAGGCCTCAAGTGCAGGGTAGAGGGACGCGGTTCCTGTGCGCTTGAATCTACGGGAAGGCAAAATCACCTCTGAATGCAGTTTTCGGTAGGTTGTGTCCACGGATTTCGTGACATGTCCGATGTCTTCCATTTTTGTTCTGGCCTCAGACAGAGCATGAAACCGCGCTGTCTTGCTAACGGTGAAAGAAGTCGTTGCGAAAGGACAAGAGCGCATGCATTGCGCTGAATGACAAGTTTGTGAAGCTCGTGTCCTGGTACGTAAGGGCCTTGCCATTATGAAGCCTGGGAAAAAGCGAAGACGCGGCAGCTGATCCCACTGAGGACAACGAGTGGGGCTATTCCAATCGGCTCGTCGATCTAGCATGCCACATGGCACAGGCCAAGACCCCACGCAAGTTTTTCGGAAGATGCTATGAACGTGTGAGCACTAGAACGGGGAAGGGCATAAAGGGAGGTGGCAAAAAGTGTACATGTTGGTAGGTGGATGGCATCATCCCGCCACCGGCAGTGATTCAGAGCATCAAGGCCCGGTTCTCTGACCTGCGGGTGGTTGTTGATGTGTCCTTTGTGCAGGCGCGCGAGATCTTCGACTCTCGCGGGAATCCCACCGTGGAGGCAATGACGGTTTCCTACCGCATCATTTTAATGATGCTTCGTGCTGTCAGGTAGATCTCATGACAAACGTCATTTTCCCAGCTTCAGCAAGGTTGTGGGTCAGGGATCTGGATCAGTTGCACAGTCCTGGCAGACTCAGGATCACCTCTTCCGTGCAGCTGTTCCAAGCGGTGCCTCCACCGGCATCTACGAGGTGGATGGGTGCTGTGCAGAGACAGGGAATCCAGAGCATGACTTTGGACGCTTCTCCAGGCTCTTGAGCTTCGTGATGGTGACAAACAGCGTTTGCTGGGCAAGGGCGTGCTCAAGGCCCAGATTTTCTGATGTTTTTGCTGAATCTGCGATGCTGCCTGTGAAGGCAGTAAAGAATGTCAACGAGCAGATTGCTCCGAAGCTTGTTGGCATGGATGTTACCAAGCAGAAGGAGATTGATCGGATCATGGTGTGACCCCTACTGATTGTGGCAAGTCAACCATGACGCAGCTTTCCGTTTGTGCATGGCTCATACAGGGGCGGTATACTTTGCGTGTTATGTCGTGCCGTGTTGGGAAGCAGTTTCTCGAGATGTTCATCTTGGCATCCGGAAGACGTCTGCGGGTTTAGAGCTTTGGCGACTTCCTGTGCTGCGAAGTGCCCGAACATAACGAACATATCTCGGAACGAAGCGCCGGAATACATTGTCCAACGTGCTGCTGGCCAGCGATTGTTCTTTTGCAGGAGTTGACTGTTTGAGGCAGATGGTAGGCCGCACATGTCGATGCACGACAGCATGATTGTGGCTATCACTTGTGACGAGGCGGGTACTGTAGGCGATGGAAAGATAGGGGAAATTGGCCACGGAGGCACACCGATTCTAGGTCTCCGGGCCAAGGCATGATGGGTTTGGTGTCGTCCCCCTCGCAGTAAGTTGTCTCACCGACGCCAAAAGAGAGTCACCAACACCGCAGTTGGCGATATTCTGGTGAAGAGTAATCGGAAAAACTTCTTTGCTACAGGGCACAGCATCGGATCTTCTCTCAAAACATCATGGAAAAGTGGGAGAAGTCTCAAATTGAGCTTCGACCCAAGCATGAAGAATAAGTTGACTATGATGACATCTTAGGACCAGCAATGCCAACTCTTGTACGCCAACATCGACTTTACCGAAACAGTGGCATTGACTACTCGGGCAGGTTGATTGACTATCGAGATGAACATCATGATCTTCCTGAAGATCTGTTGACTGCCTGTTTGGACTATGAAGAGAACGACACAGGTCCTGTGGTGTGGATTATTGGCAATTGCAAAGCCTATCATCGTGAGGAATGTGGAATTACGAAGTATGGGAGAAGAACGACAGCAACAGAGCGAAGAACGAAAAGATGGTTTTGGACCATGGCAACGACTTGTGCAAGAATAGCATCTGTGTGTTCGAATGCTGGCGAACCGCTGCTGTGGTTGGTCAGCCTCTGAGTTCGAATCCTGGCGTAGTTTCCGGTGTGAGACCGCATTTGCCGTAAGTTGCAGAAAGCGAAACGGCCCCAGAAGTATCAGTCTGTGACAAAGTTTGAGCTCCTGGAACACTGTAAGAGCAACCAGGAAAGGGGGTTAACAAATTTGTGAAGCAATCCTGGACCGTTACTTTTCGGTAGATAGTCGTGTGTGTGCGCGATAACTCCGTGGGGAGCTTTGCATGTCAAGACTGATTGGAATATGTTATGCTGAGGTTCGAGGTGTGTGAAAGAAAGAGACCGTTGGCTTTCCTGCATATCACCTATGTCCTCGAACGGATTCTTCCTGGGCGTGCAAGCTCGTCGTACAACTTTGCCACGGAGATGTAGCGGCAGGGCAGCAAGGAGACTCATACCAAGGAGCCAACGTTATTTGGAGCAGCAGCGAGCGCGAGCGCGTTGGCAGGGTTTTGCATGCTGATGACGGCCTCCTTGCTTTGTCTCCGCCGAAAGCAAGGGAAAGCCTGTTGAGTGAGGTGGGCTTGAAGGTGACCTTGCAAGTCAGCAAGCCATTGGCCAAGCCGAGTGTGAGCCGCTACGTGTTGACTGAGCAGGGCTTGGTGGTACTGCGCGGAGGCACTTGTTGAGGGAATTGGCAAAGATGTAAATTTTTTGAGGCAGACAACGGCAGCGAGCTGAATGTGAACAGGGTTCTTGTACTTGAGCCATGCCCGTGGTGACATCCAGTTTGCCACTTGCATCCTCAGTAGCAAGATGGCGAAGCCGATTAAGATGGCATGAAATGGCTTCAAACCGAGGACGGGGACGGCAAATCAAGCTTATGAGGCCGGGAGCATGGTGGCACGTGACCTTTATTTGGGCAACGAAGCAAATGTGTTGTTGGCAGAAAGGGAGGAGCAAAACAACGCCTGCATGTGAAAGTCGCGATGTGGCAAATCGGGTAATGTTCCGGGATGAGGAGCTGTTCCAGCATGAATATGTGACAACGGCGACAGAGCTTCGACAAGCTTTGGCCGAGCGATGTGTTGAGGTTCGCCAGTTTCAAGACCAAGTGACGGCTCTCAGAGATGAGAAAAGATCTCCTGAGCCGGAGCTGGTTGCGACAAGGGCCAGAAGTCGCCCTCCTGAACATACTGTAGTGGCCCCTTTCTAGAGGAGAGCGATACATTTTGGCGGGGTGTGGGAACATCAGAAAATTGCACGACTCGCGTGTACAAATGTTTACACTGCTTGCCATGCGTGCTTCCGCAGTCATGGGTAGGAATGTTTATTCCGAACATTTGTTGTCGCTTTAGGGGTTTAGGGTTTAGGGTTTTAGGGTTTAAGGGTCTTGAAGAAAGGAAAACGGCAACACAAGGCAGGGTGCAAGACAGTCATCCCTGCCCTTTGTACACACTTGACTGCATACCGAAACCTTTTTGGCATTGCAGAAAAAAGATTCGATTGTTCTGGTGGTAATTGGATGTAGTTGGCACACGTACGGGTTTCCAACCTGTTGGAATGTCAGGTTGAAGACGAATCCAAAGCCAAATCCCAGCGAGCTATGCATCGAACGCAACCCTTCAGGGCTGAAGCTCGGAAAGAGCTGTGAAAATTAAAGCTGGTGCCGCCCCAGTTACGCCTGCAGATTGTGCGGTAGCATGTAGCCTGGCACTACGACAGGCAAGAGCGGACTGGGAGACGGAACAAGCGCTTTTCCAGCGGGCGGCGCCGCACCTGGTGGAAGACTGGCCGGAATGCACTACTTGGTGCAACCCCAAAGCTCCCATTCCAAGAATCGAAGCATTGATTTCCACCCGCCCTTCGGGATTGGATTAGAACCAAGCACTGTGCAGCGACGGTGGGGAAACAGCTGTTGCATGTACCTTCAGTGCCCAGGCATGCGCTTTTGGGCCCCCGGGAGACTACTGGGAACACTTTGCGGCGGAAGGACGTCAGCACCGAGGCCGCCTCCCAAGCAGATACGGTTACGAAGCAGCTGGAATACATGCAGCTGAGATGTTTGGTATGGTAACAGCCCTGCAACAGCGACGGATCAACGACTGGAATCTAGTCTGCGATAGGAGCGCACTGTTCTCGTCACTGCAAAGGGCGCAGATGGATGAGTGGCGACGAGATCTGCTAGCCGCGACATGGAAGCACATCGCGGACCAGTGGACCGACGCTGCCGCTCGCCCATCCTGGCTTATGGACATGGAGCGCCACCCGGAGCGTTGGAACTGTCACCAGCCCATCCCAGCGGGGGCACGGCTAAGCTGTGCGAGATCAGTCCGCCGGCCTCGTGGGGGTGGACATCAACAGTCACCAGACACACCCGCCGCGGCCCTACTCAATTGTTGTCAAGGGAAACGAGGCCCAAGATACGGGATGTCATGTCACAGGGCCCGAAGTATCAGAAAACCCGGTGATGTGCTGATCCCATCAGACGGCCTCTTCACTTCCCTGTGCTTCAGTGGAAGACTGGTAACCGCCCCAAGCACAGAGGCTGTGCGTGGGGTCCTGCGCCAGGACGCGACGCAGCAGTGGAAGCAGCGGCGAGTGCAGTGTAAGCCAGCCCGCATGTCAAAAGATATCTATCTGCCATGCCTGCAGCCCCGGTTGTTCACCAACATCACTCCAGATCCAGGCTGGCGACACCTGTGTCTGCATTCCGATGGTGAATCGATAGATTTGTCGGGATTCATGCACCGGTGTCTGCGGGCAATCGGAGGGGGATGGACAGAGATGTTACAGTCTGGCAGTCAGGCAAACAGCACGGCGATTGACTACGCGCAGCAGAACAACTAAATAGTCGCAATGTGTCCACTGTCTGGGCAAGGAGTCGGCACCCCCAGGCATGTCATCATGAGGTGCGAGGTCATGCGGCCCTCATTGATCATGTGCGCAGCGCTGTAGAAGCAGAGCTAGCAAAGGCGCCAGCTGACGGAGGCCTCCGCTGGGGGAGCGAGCTCCGCAATGTGGATCCAATACCTCCTGGAGTTACTCGGCGCTGGCCACGTCTGGCAGCCTGGAGGTGGCTGGTAGCGAATCCGGACCGAGAGGCCGCGCTCAATGTGGACATCAACGGGAGCCGTGCCCAAAGCACGGCTGCCAGAAGCCATGGGAGATGGGATACCGAGGCATGATGGTGAGATCGTTGGGACTGGCGTTGAGAGGAACTGGAACGCCGGACACCCCGGTGCCTCGACGTGTGCGTCTGCCCATGCGGAATTCTTACTCCACCTCTTCTCGGTTTTTTTACTTCTTCGCAGCTCAATTCCCTGCGATTGTCCGGGCGTGGCATTCTAGCGGCTTCAGGGCAGGACCGCGGTCTCTTCTTGATCCAGTCTCTTGGGCATCCCCCATTTGCGCACGTGACCAGACATGATTCGCTAGATGCGTACATTCATCATACTTCCGGGCAATGTCGTTTTACGGAGCCCGGGGCGCCCTGCCAGTTTGAACTCCAAGCGGAGGGGCGATGACGTTTACGGAGTCCCTGCGATGCCGGGAGGGATAGCGCCTTAGGCATGGTTCCGTCTGTAACGGGTGCCGCTACTGACTCACTCACTCACTCACTCACTTAAACCTGGTGCCATACCACCTTGACATGGCCTGGTGGGTTTGCCCAATAGGCGTTTGCACGAGTCTTCGTCTTCGTTCTAATGCCGTCGCAAAGACCCGTCGACTCTGACGCTCGGCGCGGGTGTAAGTTTCGTCCAGCGCCGAGGTCGAAGTCCTCGATGGCACCCAGAACGACTGGGGATGGAGCAAGGAAAGCCTCACTGTGTGATGCATGCTTCGACAGATCAGTAGTTGCCGTATCCTGCCAGTCGAACCTTGGTGCAAATGCCATCTTGGCCGTATCCATGGCCGTTTGCCGTGCTGGTGCCGCCTCGATGGAGATGTGCCTGTGAATGCAACTATGCACTGCGCTTCACTACTCTTTTTTGCACCTTCCGTGTTTTGGCATGGAGGCAACTTGAGTCTCTGTTTCTCTTACTTGTTTTGTTTTCGCCTGTTGACATGTCCGGCTCTGCGAGCACACGAGACCTTCGTTCCAGGCCCCTCTACCAGTACTTGTCGTGTCTGTCCGGCAGACCTACAAGCAGCTACGCAACCCCCTTGGCTTCCGGGTGTGAGTGGCTTGTTGTTTTAAACTCAGGGCGCAGCTGGTTGGGAATGCTGAGGTCATGCCAGTTCCATCTTTCAATGTTATCAATGGTGGAAGCCATGCTGGCAACCGTCTTGCTTGTCAGGCATTCTGCAGGCAGGCGTGTTGCTTGGCGTTGCAAATATCACTTGCATGCAGGAGTTTATGATTCTGCCAGTCGGTGCCAAGAGCTTCAGAGAAGCTCTGCAGATCGGCTGTGAGGCTTCATGAAGCGCAGTCCCACTGTGTGCATGCACTCATTGCTGTCCACATCAGGTGTACCATTCTCTCAAGGGTTGCATCAAAAAGAAGTACGGACAGGCACTTTCGCGAGATTCTTGCACTTTTGGCAGCAGTGCTGAGCGAAGACCTGCAAGGATGCCTGCAATGTCGGAGATGAGGCGGTCTTCTTGTGGGTGTTGGGTGCCGATACCATGGCGATCTGCAGCCATTCAGGGTGGTTTTGCGCCTTCAGTCCAGGACAACAACGAGGCCGGACTGGGATAGCCAGCTCTGCTCAAGCCTGCGCTTTTGCATGCGTTGAGGCGCTGGATGTCCTGATGGATGCCATTGAGAAGTCCGGCCACAAGGACAAGGTGCGTGCTGCTTTCGATTTTTCGTTCGGGACAGATGTGTGTGTGTGTGTGTGTGTGTGTGTGTGTGTCTGTGCGTGTGTGTGTGTGTGTGTGTGTGTGTGTGTTTGTGATGGCAAAGGTCAAGATTGGAACCGACGTGGCCGCATCGGAGTTCTACAAGGACACGGCACGTGAAGCAGGGCTGCTCTTCGGGACGTTTGTCCGAGGAAGCCATGTTATGATTTTTTTGTTTACTTGTGATGCTCGCAGCCAACTCGCAGCACTTGCTCAGAAGGCCACGTGAGAGTTTAAAGGGAAACGCAGCTTCAACTGTGCGGGAGCTTCTCACCTCATCTGGGGAGAAGTTTCCGGGCAAAAGCGCGATGGCTCCTATGGCACGGCCTTTCATCCTGTTGCTACAGGTGGCCACTGCAGATGCCTGGGCAACATGGTGTGCTTGGGTTCCAGTTCCTCTCCAAAGATCTGTAAACGGATGCACGGACTACCTGGGGGATCCTCATGTTGATGTCGCAGGTAATGAAGGTTGTGCAGATTGGTGTCGCTGGGTACCTGTTCTGGCATGGCACTACCCTGAGGGTTGCAGTGGCTGTGGAGGAGGCTCAGCAGCCATGTCCGTTGACCGGAAAAGTGCCCGAACCCGCCCTTCAGCTCAAGATTCCGTGGAAGGCCTCCCGGAGTGGTGCCGTTGGGTGCCACAAGGTGCACTGCAGCATGTGTCCAGCTGTGACGGCTACAAAAGCGTGACGCTCCTGTTCTCGTCCGGTTGTGAGTCGTACTGTGAGTGGGTGCCGAAACCAGCATGGCAATTTCCGAAAGGGTGCCAAAACTGCGGAATGGCGGCCCGCGATGGCAGTGTCAGTGAGGCACCTTTGGAATTCATACCCTGAGCGGGGAGTGTTGTACAGTGCATCGCTTTTGGCAGCAGCCCCTGAGCCCTGCAATTTCTGACCTGGTCCAGCTCTGCGTCTCTGTACAAGTGGACCTGAAAAGCTTCCTGATTCCTACAGCTTCCGCGCTGTGGTGGAATTCGTCTTGGGGCTATGCGATAAAAGGAAAGGTGCCCAAGTTCAAACCATGATCTGCAACCTCAACCTTCTGAACCTTTCAACCCTGAGCCTATGATTTCGTTGTGCCGGCCTTAGCTTTGAAAAGGACGGAAAGTACGACTTGGACTTCAAGAATCCGGAGAGCAAGTCGGCCGACTGGAAGACTGGAAGACACTCTGCAGAAAGACTCTGACTCTGGCCAGTAATCTGCTTCTTGTTTTCATGCCTGTGCTTATCCGAGGCGAGATGGCAACATACTATCAGGACCGTGTGCGAAATGATTGCTGTTGGCAAGTCCAGTCTGCCGTGCGCTTGCATCCTTTCTCGCAGGAGTGGTTCGCCAAGTATCCTTTCGTTTCCATTGAGGAAAACGGTCAGACAAGTTATTCAAGTCGAGCGAAATAGGCGGAGTGCTGAGCTGCATTTGCCAGGATCCCTTCGACCAGGATGACTGGGCAGCATATGCGGAATTCTGCACAAAGTGTGGAAAGGCCTGCTGTTCGCCGTGTGGTGCTGTTCAGCAGACAGCTTTGGCAGTTGGATTATTCCAGCACCCGACATGCGGCTGCCATGATGTATGTAGCTGCAAACCCGTGGGCAGTTGAACCTTCGACGCAGGATGTGCAGATCGTTGGTGACGACTTGTTGCAGCCATAGTCTCCCTGATGATCTGCAGTTGTGCATTCTTGTGCGGTCCGGTGGCCTGTGTCAAAAAATGGTTAATGAGAAGTGATGGTTGCTCTGAGGCGTAGATCAGGGGTTGCGAGGGCCTAACACATGCCGGCGAATCCGTTGGAACAAATGCTGTGACCTCATACCAACCCCAGTCAATCGGAGTTCTTGAAACGTTGTTTACTGATGAGTTCGGCAGGAAGGAAGGAAGAAGGAAGGCAGGAAGGAAGGAAAGAATGGCCCCATGGGCGCTGACGCTGAGAGTAACGAGTAGTACTACTACTTCTGCTAGTGCTGCCACTGCTGCTACTTGCCACGGCTGCCACTGCTGCTACTGCTGCAGCTGCTGCTGCTACTGCTCCCACTGCTGCTGCTACGACTACTACTACTACTACTACTACTACTACTACTACTACTACTACTACTACGACTACGACTACGACTACGACTACGACTACGACTACGACTACGACTACGACTACGACGACGACTACTTTTGCACTTTTGCACTTTGCATCGCAGCAGCGAGATCCGCAGCTAAGCGTCCGGATTGACCAAAATCGTCCTTGCGATTCGGCTGCTCCACACCAGGTTGGTGATAGCAGCTATGCTTGAGCATAGTCAAAGTTAAGAGTAAAAAGGCGAAGCCCCGTGTCGAAACACAAAGCAGGCTTCGCAGCGACTGGTTTCCTGCTCGGCAAGACCAGATTGTCTCAAACAAAACCTTCAAGCAATTCTTCTGAGCCCAACTAAGTAGCCACAAGTGTCTATCTCGTGACTTTGTTCCCCAATGTCAAGCAGAGGCGTATTATCATCCGTGACATGATAGGCACGAAGATTGCCATCCGAGCGAGCCGAAGCGCTCAGTGCCGCCCGATAATGGCTTGTCAGCAGGGAATTGCCAAGATGAAAGACAACGCCAACGACTTCGTAGGTATAATGTGGGCATCAACGTCGTGGCTGTTTATGAAACACGGAATTCGAGCCATTGTACCAACCGGAATCTGCACTTCGGCAAAGTCTTTGACTGTCCCAATTGCAGCTTCCTGAAAATGCTTGAGCTGTAGAATCAATAATCGAGGTGCAGGTGAAGTTAGGCTTGTATGCTGTGCTGAGCATGCCAATGATAAACACAATGTTGCAAGCTCCGACCTGCCACTGCCACGATGGGTGCAAAGCTGGTGCCTGAGTCAACAACAAGATCCGAGCCCTCTTCTTGCAGTCTGGATTCCCAACCGCCTCTGAAAGCTTCAGGCTCTGACTTGCCAAGGACAAAGGAAACAAATTCTGCAGCATCATGCTTTTGATGAGGCCGCTCCCAACCTGTCATGATGCTGATGCGAAGCCAGGGCAGAAAAGAAAGTAGATTGAGTGGAGAGCTGCCTTGAAGGCATCGCATGGCTCTTTCCAGCCTGCCAAAAGCTTCCCGGCTGTCCATACTTTGCCCCATATGGTACAAGAGAAGACAGCATGCATTCAGGTAGCAGACATTGGTCCGATTTACAAGCTGGTATGCGAACCGTGGGTGCAGCCTCAGTGGGGCTCCTGCTCCGTCGTGTGGTTCTGAGACGGCTCCTCCCTGCCCTGCTGTGAGCCCGAAGCGCGATGTGCTGGAGGCGGTGGCGGAAACCGTTCCGCAACTACCTTGGCGAGGGGTTGTCGATCCATCTTTGCTGGCTTCATCTTGAGCCCGATGACTTTGCCAGCTCCACTCCCACAGAGGTTCATGAGCATTCCCCAGGCCTGAGCTGCCATTGGATCCCGATGTCCAGCTCCGTGGTGCCCTCCGGCAACTGTGCGTAGCCCTTTTCCGCGATGCTCTTCCTGAGTGCTTCCGCCTCGTCTCCCGGTGCCTCCAATGCTCGCATCCTCTCCAGCCACACCTGCAGTAGCCCCATGAAAAGGCATACACGAAGTGAGCAGTTCACCTCTTGCTTCTCCCGCTTCACTTGCCATGCTTGTGCCAAGCGATACAGCTTGGACAGGACCGCCGCTTCCTGAGTCTCCATTGTCAGGACAAAGTTTCTTTCCACCCGGGTCTGTGACAGCTCGTCCTCGTGGCGTAGACAAAGGCGAGCAAGGAGTCTGAGATTGTCGTCCCAAGCCTGCTCCTCTTTGGACTTCCGTTGCCCTCCCCAGCTGTAGGAGCTCCATCCGCGACGCTGTCCTTGGTTGTTCCTCCAGCCCTGTTGCTGCTGCTGCCTGCCCTGACTGCGAGCCTGTTGCCCGGTCTGGCCAAAGGCCGCTGCCGCCGCTGTGAGTGGATCCGCCTGGCCTTCCGGTTTCGGATCGTTGGTGGTCGCCTCCCTGTTTGAGGGTCCCGAAGAAGGAGCCGATGGTTCCAGGTTGGCTGCTTTGCCGCCTTTCCCCTGTCCGCCCTGTCCTTTGGACTGTGGACGTGGGTGCTTCGGTTGAGGCTCCCCTTCTTTCTCGGCCGTGTTCTCCGCCCGAGCTGTGGCCTCCCTCTTTCCCAAGGCTGCATCCACCTCCATCTCCTGCATGTGTTGAAAGCAGGCTGCTACCTCCTGAAGGGTGGACTGTCCGGCCATGAACGAAGGCACTCTCCAGCTGACTTTGTACGGCTGTCCGCTGGCACCGGTCAGCTCGCAAATAAGCTAAATGCTGCAGGATGGTGCACTGGTGTTTGGTTGTCCGAGCAAACGTTGCCCCACAGGCTGAACAAGGACTGGATCGTACAAGATCAACAGTGCGGCACTCGGATCGTATCTCTGTTTTCCTGAGGTACACCTCCGGATGCGCTGATCGAAGATGATTCTCGAAGGAGCCACTCGATGACGAGAACCACTTACCACAGAAAACACAAAAGTTTCGAAGAGAATCACGTACACCCTCAAGCTTCAGCGCTTCATACCACTGTTGTTGTCCTAGCATGTGTAGCACATCCTGTCTTTGAGAGATGAGCAGTGTCCCTGTGACTCCAGATACGGTGCCGGCTTCCTGAGACCCCGCAGCGGACTGCAGAGCAGGTCTGTCAGTCTCCGGCGGAGTCGACTCTGTGGCTGTGGCCCCTGTGGCTGCAAGCTCCGTTTGCAGGATGGGGCAGGCATTCAGAATGTGCATGCGAAATTCTTGCCACCCCGCTAAAGCTAATCCACAGTGTCGACATTGAGGCAGCCCGTTCTTACAGTGAGACGAAATGTCCAGTTCACGGTAGGCCCTGCTTCCTCTAGCAACTTGTCTGCCTATGCTGCTGCCATGTTTTCTGGAGTGATGGATCTTCAGAATGTGTCGCGATGGGAAGTACAGGCCACAAGTTGGACAGGCATGTCGCTGCGTGCCAGGGAGTACATCTACCAGTGTGGCTCCTGAGCGGCTGGTTGAATGTGTCGTAGTAGTCTGCCTTTGATTAAAGGAAGCAGTGATACCAATGATGTGCTTCAGTGCCAATCTGTTAAAGAGAGCTTCCGTAGTCTCCTTCGTGATGTGCACTGGCGATTTGGCGATGGCCCGCACATACTTGACATCTCGACGATAAAGGAGCAACCGATCTTTCTCGGACAGATTCATATGTTGTACTCCATACAGCAATGTTGTTCGAACACAGGCTCGGTATATTTCAAGGCGTTGCTTGATTGACAAGTAGCGAGAGGAGTGAAGCACCTTCGCCATGCGTTGTCTAGTCAGACTTCCAGCTTGCAACCTATGCTTGACGGAGGCAGTTTCGTAATTTGTAAGAGATGATGATGCCTAGGTACTTCACCTTCTGCACAACCGGCACCCGAAACACTCGCAATCCACTAGCCAGGAGAAAATGTGGCTTACCCTCGATCATCTCAACGTGTCTCTTAAGCCATTTAGCACCATGTGTGCCTGCCAACGACGACGACTACGACTACTACTACTAGTACTGGTACCAGTACTGCTACTACAACCACAACAACAACTACTATTACTGCTGCTGCTGTTACTACTACTACTACTACTACTACCACCTACTGCTACTGCTACAGCTACTGCTAATGCTACTGTTGCTGCTACTCCTCCTCCTCCTCCTACTACTACTACTACGACTACTATTCCACTACTGCTACTGCTGCTACTGCTGTTGCTCTCCTACTGCTACTGCGACTGCGACTGCCACTGCGCCTGGGTCGCGGCTGCCGCTGCTGCTGCGACAACCGCTGCTATGTCGCTACTGTTCAGCTATTTGCCATTGCTCTTACTGTTACTCTCACTCTGCCGGTTGCTATTGGAAGTACTGTTACTATCACTACTGTTGTTTTTCCTATGACCCCTGTTATCAAAACTACCATTATGGTTACTAATGATCTTGCTCTTTCTACTGCTTTTTCGATTGCTATTGCTGTTGCTTTTTCTCCTGCTTTTGCTACAACGTACACTGTGATGACACGTCTCCTGTCGTTACTCATATTCACAGCTACTGCTGCTTCCTGCTTTTGTGGTTGTTATCCAGAGCCCAAAGAATCAAGGTCGAGAATCCCGCGTAACCGCAACCCTACACCCTAAACTGACTTCCAGGGTGTGTTGCAATCTTCACAGGGGTTGCGCACAGTCCTCGCCCCGACCGCAGGCAAGCTTGCGGCAAAAATGTCAGGCCATCAATCGCAATTTCTTCGGCCTCCATGGGAATCCTTTCCGATTCCATTGTGTAGCAAACGGTAAAACTCGCCCTGCTGCACCCCACAAGCTCGTCCAAGCCGGGCAAGCCTGCTGTGAAGCAGAAACCACATAAATCTGTTCCGAACCGTGGGACGAGCGTTGTGTTGCTAAAGGGTAGGCTGCCTGCCCCCCAACCCGCCCGTCTTGTAAAGCTGGGCAATCTTGCTTCAAATCGCCGCCCATGTGAATGCTTTCAGAACCTGTCGCTCCGGGCGTGCAGCACAAACGAGCAGGGAGGAGTAAATAAAGAATGATAGGTAGAGAGCTTGAACTTTCAAGAAACAATACAGGAACTACATAGCATGTGGAGGAAGTAGAGATCTGGTGGAAAACTCAAGACAACACGCGTCCACCCCCGCTTGGACCACCCGCAGGAGCTGTCAGGGCTCTTCGACAGGGCAAGCTTGTTTTTCGCACAACCTATGTGAATCCGTTCTAAACATTCGTGCGTGTGTGCTGCATTGTAGAACGATTCAGAGCCAAAGGCTTTCGTAGTCAAATGTACACAACTGGAGGTTCCAGAACCAGAAATGTGTGGGCACTCGCGATTTTGTTTTGCATCGCAATGAACTTGCTAGCAAAACCTGAAGACAGCCCGGCAAAAGCACAAGACTGCAAAGACTCGCACGGGCGGCTCCAAGTACAGGCCTCCCGATTTGGGCTGCCCGAAACAAAGGTTCGTCGTCAGTGCTCACCTTGTGTGGACTTGCCGGGAAAGCTTAGCAAGGGTTGCTCGCCGTAGGGACTCCCTGTAAGGGTTCTCCTGCAAGCAAGACTCCACCGTCTCAATCTCAAGGATGTGATTAATCGCGAAGTGTTTTTCCACCAGGCGCAAGCTTGTTTGACCGGCCAAGCTATGACAGCCATCTGAAGCGCTGAAACTGAACTGCTCTGCAGTGCCACAAGTCAGACAAGACCGGCAGAAGGCAACATCGTGCTACACCCCATGCGCTGCTAGTTGGTTCCGCGACTGCTGTCGTGTTAGATACGATCGCCAGTATCATGAGAATCTCTTGGCGAGTCAGGTTGGTCACCAACACGAAGCGCATTTCAAAGGCGCTGGATGTCGGAGCCAACGCCTTAGCATCAATGAATAGTCTACGCACAGGTCAGAGAAGCGAGACTCATCATTGCAACCTCTCAGCCTGTCAGGCATGCAACGCGCTTCTATTGAAGGCACGAAGCTAACAGTCCTTAGAGAGCTGCACCAGGATAAACCAAAGGCAGCAGTCTGCAAGCTATCCTATCTTCATGCTGGCAGGTCAACCAGATCGGATCTATTTCGGAGGCGATCGATGCTGCCAACATGCAGACTCCTTAGATTTCCCATCGCATGTGTGCGTGTTACCGATCTCGAGATATCCACCAAGGTCCATGTACAACGGCTGGGGTGTCATGGTGTCTCATCGCTCTGGAGAGACGGAGGCGAAGTCTTCACACTGGGAGTATTGCCTCGATCGCGAACCTTGGTAGACCTGGTAGATGTTCATTATGAGAATTGATGTGTTTGATCAGGACTCCTTCATCGCCGACTTGGTGGTTGGACTGCGCACAGGCTGGGCTTCTGCCAGTGTAGACTCCAAACAGCAAGAGAGCCCGAGGGCTAGAATGCCCAGGAACCATTGCAAGAGCACCCCTCAACCTCCGAACACTTCTCCATGAGTCCAAAACGCCGACCACACAGTGGTGGGAGTCCAGGACACGCGCTGCACTCTGACAGGATTTCCAAGGAATATCTTTGGGGAGTAAATGCTACACCAAAGACACACGGCGCTGGCGGCAGTGCGATTCATCAGCGCAAACACCTTGGATTCTGCACAGCCAGCGCCGAACTGCGGAAATAATGCGATTGCAGCGGAAATGTCAACCATTTGATCCACGAGAGCTGCCGAACACCGGGTGCACCTACCGCGGATGCCTCGTGCGGTGCCACATCCATGCACTCCCTGTAACAACCCCTTGTTGTGGAAATGGTGTGCCGCGAACTGCATTCCGCATGGCTTCAGGTCAGATTAAAACTGGTGCGCCTTGCCGCAGCGAGCGCTTGGCGAAGTACAATCAGTCTCTTGCATTCACTGGCCAGCTTTGACTTTTCGGGTTTCGAACGCATGCCCGCTTGTTGAGGCTGCTGCGCATTGAAGAAGAACTTGGGTCCAAGGCAGGGGGCGCATCATGAGTGACATGAAGCTTGTGTGCGCAGTCGTCATTTGCGAGGCCGTGTATGCTGGGGAGAAGTTTCGCAACCCTTCCGCCTAGACTCTGAGCGCAAAATGCTTTTCCGTCCTTGAAGCCTTGAGCAGCACCTGCAAATACTTCCAATGAGTGCACGTGCTGCTCGTTCTCGATGCACATATGCTTTCTGTTTGACGACTCTGGTCCAGGAGGAGATTCTATGTTTGTCTATCCCTCCACAGCTTGAAAGAAATAGATTTGGCCAAGTTGAATCACCGGTGACATTGTTGTGCTGGACCCGTGACTTCTCGTTTAAAAGATCGGCCAGTCAAGCATTGAACCTACATCTTCGTTGGTCCGAAGCCATACTTTATCACGCTCGCCCGCGGGCGGGCGTGTCCTTGCCTTGCACGTTTGTGAACAACAAGTGCTGGCCTGTGATTTTCACTCACTGCATTCTGCATGCTCGAACTTGAGCGAACTTGTTCATGGAGAACTCCCTGCCTTTTGATGATCTAGACCTAGCTGCCTTTCATTCAGCCTCGTATCACATGAACATATGTGGCTTCGTGTGCTCCTGCCGACTTGCGATGCCACTTTCCGGTAGGGAAAAAGATGCCCGCACAGCCCGTCCAGGTTTCTGGCATCGCAGAAGACAGTCAGATTCGTCAGGATGTGCAATGGCCTACAGCAACGATTGTGGTCCGGTTCAGGTCTCGAGATGATCAGTCAAACAGCACGGAAGCAAAGACGCCCCGCGTTACTTTTCAGACTCGACGGTTAGCTACCATTTGCATTCTAGAACCGATTATATCAGAGGACAGTCTTGTGGCCACATGGTTGATTTTCCGATACCCTTCTGTTCCCGATGGCGTAACTCTTCGAAGTGGCTTTGTTGAAGCCATGCCTCGCCAGAATCCCAGAGTAGTCAAAATGAACGCTGGCTATTTCTCGTCCGACTCCTTGGCATCAAAGGCGTGGTGCCACGCCTCGGCAAAGACGTAAACTTCGAGGCGGGCACAGCAAGATGAAAGCAGCCCAGCTCTCGATTTGGTGACGCCTCAGGCCTTCTCTTCGGCGTTTGCGGAGCGTCAGGTTGTGTTTGTGCCCTTTTCCGAGCACTGATCCAGTTGATGCAAATCCCGGTAGTGCTTCCCAAGACAGCCAGAGGCGTTCTGCAGAGCGGCAGGCAAGAAAACCTAGCGCAAGGCGAGTGGAAACCTTGGTGGCCCTTTGGCGCCCAACAGCAGCCAGCGACGCGGCGTCGACGCGTAGGGCGAGCCACTGTGCTGCAGGCGACGGCGCATCGGACTATCGCTGCTGCGGCAATTGTACTCGGCCTGGCGCCCAGCAGCTCTGCACTTTCAATTGCACGAGAGATTCGCGTGTGGCACAGTACGGCAGATGACTTTTTCAACAACAATTCCATTACATGTGCCGGTAGGGTTCTCAACAGCGACTTTCTAGAGAGGCGAAAAAGCCGTGTTGCTGTCAGATGACTCTTAGTTTTCTACACATGCATGCTACTGTACCATCCAAATTGCATCGTGGACGTGGACGACTGTTCACACCAGAGGGTGGCATGCCCACGCCTTCACGGCCGAGTTATGTCGGAGTCATGTGGCAAGCCGCTGTCTATTGAAGCTGCTCGAACCCCCACGAAGCAGCCGGTGACAATCCGTAGCGCGCCTGACACAAGACGGTTGTCGTGTCAGGACATGGCAAGTGTGCGAAGCGCACGAAACCTGCTGCCAGCTAGTCTTGCTTTTATCTACTTCAATGTCTGCACAGGCAGGATGCTTGGAATGCGAGTCACCGGGGCTTTTTGCGGTTGTCTCTGTGTGTGCGTGTGTGTGCGAGAGAGAGTGGATTCATGGGTTGTGCAGCAGCTGGAAGGAGATTCGACCTGCGATGTGCGGACTCAATCAGAAATCGAGAAGATAGAGCTGAACGAGCTCGAAGAGACTTGCCGCATTCACTTTCCCTTGCCTTTGTCTGCCATCAGCTTTACGGCATCATTCCCAAGGACACGAAAGTGGAGCTACTCCAAACTGCACTTGCGGTGGCTCCTTCGCAAGTAGTGACCTGCTTCGCCAAGCAGCCTCACGGACTGTCCTGCTGTGAGTCCTGACACAGCGTGGACACATAGTCAGTGTACTGTGTAGTGATCTGCACTGTGGTATCACACTTGACGATTGGTGCGATTGGTAGCAAGGGACCCTCCCACCTCGGACAAAGGCAGCGAGTTACTCACAAGGATGCCCTTACCACACAGCGACTGGCAGAGAGACTCAGGTCACAAGGCTTGAGCGCAAGTCGGAAGAGGTATATGCACCACATTGGTGCTACACAATCAGCGCGGCGAGCTCACTTCATCTTTCTGCAGTGCATGTAGCGTTTTCGAAGCGTTTTCCATTCGCACGATGGCCCAGGACTACGTCCGCAGCAGCATCGCCGCCTGCAATGGCGGAGTTGGAAGCTGCATTTGTATGGGACCCGAAGTCTGCGGAAGCTGGGGGCCATTCCCTCCCGGATCCTGGCAGGCATATTCCTATTCCTGTTGCGCCTGTCATCCTGGTGTTCAGCCAGCCGCACCCACAGCGCCTGTGCCGGCTTCTACTCCGGCCCAGGCTACACGGGTATGACGACCCAAAGGATGTAGATAAGTTCGCAATCCCCATGAGGATCACTTGATGGCGAGCGAATAGGGGGAAAGACAGAGCTAAAAACTAGTAACTTAGTGCAGCAATTTGACTCAAAAGGGCCCCCTGGGCCTGAGATGCTTTGCTCAGGCAGTGCCACTGCCAGCAGCTGCAGGGCCTCCGCAGGGTCCACCGGGCGCCGACTCGACAGCCAACGCCTCCAACGCCAGCGCTTCCAGTGCTTCCAGTGCTTGCGCAGTGCACAGGGCCTGTGCTGATCTCCGCCTTGATGGTGCCTGTTGTCCATCCGCTGATGGGACATACCTGGGCTGCTGTGACGCCTCCATGGCGCAGCTGGATGCCGCACTGGACAAAACTTCTAGGCCCATCCCGGCGTGGTGTGCCGAGATGTCAAGGCAAACCAGAGAAAATAGTGCTCCTTGGCCTCAGATCTTCTACAGTTTTTGTCGGATTCTTCGGAGGCGCTGCGTATCTTCGTACTTGTTGACTTCTTGCAACCAAGCCACCGTGCACCTCATCCGGGCCCAGCAGCTGCGCCTGCATCAGCAAGACTGCTTGTGGTGACGGTCCTCCCCTGGCTGGAAGCAGCTCGTTTTGACATGCAGCTGCCCGCGAAGCATCGACAGGGATTCGAAAGCTAAGTATCCAGCTTCCGACGGAAGGTTCCAAGGGCTGTCACGAACTCGGCAATCATAAAGGAATCTAGGCTTTCAAGCCCGCATCTTCATACTGTAGTGAGCCACAGTTTTTGTGATGCCCAGGCTGGCAGCACTACTCGACCGCGTGTTGCGGTTGCACGTAATTCAGTTATTGTCGGACTCCAGCAATCGGTGGTAAAAGGGCGCTTGAGCAACGACACTGCTGTGCTTAGAAGATGGATGTTAGAGCTGGCGCAACTCCACGAGGCCTATCCGGCCGTACTGCGCGGGGCGCCCAGGCGGCACATCCAGGTTGAGTGACACATAACGGTCCGCTGTCTTGCATGGGGTTCTTGTTGGAAGACATGTTAATGGTCTGACGACGGTGACCGCCTGATTGTTGGCGTGACATCGAGATGTCCTCATCATGCTTGTTCTATAAACGGAAGGCTTTCGAATCGACGCAGCCAACATCAAAGTACCACAGGCCAGGAACAGGCAAAGAAAGTGGAATGGAGGTGTATAGTCGCAACGGGTGCGTGCTTGCAGTTTGTCATGACAGACCAACTCGCTAGGGTGTCCAAACATCAGGCAAACAGTGAGGCATCCGCAGCAAAGAGGAAGAAGAGCCACGGCAGCGTGAACACATATCGAAAAGTATCGAATGGAGTTTGGAAAGCCGCTGAATTGGGAAGGCTGAGTCTGATGTTGCTCGAGACCGCTGTCTGCGGAGCGCCGTTGTTCAGCTCATAAGTGTGACAACGCTCTGGGTGGTGCCGATGGTGTGGACACTGGGTCAGATGGGTTGAACGAAGCCTCTGCCGTGCTTTGCTGGGAGACAGGGGCCAGCGTCACATGAGCATCATGTTGGAGTTGTTTCGGAGAACCTGGGCCTGGAGCGCGATATTTACATTTCTGCGGTCTCTATGGGGGCCGAATTACACAAGGGCAGAGTGGAGACCCGATGATGCTCATGATGCAGGCCCTGCTAGGGCTACAGTGTGCCGACGAACGCCAAAGCATCCCCAATCATGCGCATGATGGCCGGCCCAGGCATTAAATAGACCAAACAGATGGACTTGACACAGGCGTTTCATGTGAGTACACAGTACACACTGCACTGCAAGAGGTCGGGAGTAGGCCAACGTGAAGAAGAAGATCGCCCGGATAATCTTCTTGTATGCTTCTTTGTCGCGCATGTGACTTGAGTTCAAGTTTGGCTGAGGCCGAGCATTCCGTCGATCGGCTCAGATGGCACTGGGTTTGATTTTCCGGGCAATGAGGGCTGCCTGTCTTGTGCTGTCAGACCTGGAGAGTAGCGGTTCTCTACCCGCTTCTGAAGCTCCAAAGGCCGCAGCCTGGGAGTCTTTGACAGATCTTCCGTGTTTGAGCGCACGCGGGCGTGAGCGCCCACTGCAGGCGTTGGACCGGCTTCTGGGTTCCACGAGAACACCGCCAGGTACTCCGAGAGTGCACGGTAGGTGTGCAGGGAATCAACTGAGTATACTCACATTCATAACTGAACCATGCTATACACCTACAGCATGCCTCGAGTGCAGTGCGTCTTTCTGGTCTTCTGCAACAACTTGACCCTCGTGGGGGGGGGGGGGTTCGGCGCTTCTCGAGTGTGACAACGAAGTCATTCGAGCATTTCGAGGGAGTAGCAGGAGGTTTCATAAAGCGGCAGAGGCTCCTGGTATGCATCCTTCGTCCTGCAGCGTGCCGGAGCCAAGCGGAGCGGGGGGGGGGGGACGGCGAGGGAGCCGGAGCCGGAGCCGATGGAAGTGCTTGGGGGCGGTTTTGCTCCGAGGGAGCCGGAAGGCGCTCTCCGAGTTCCTCACGCAGACCATGGGACCCGCGGGAGCCGGGAGCTGGGAGCTGTCAGGGTCCCGTACCGACGGCTCCGCAACGTCGAACCGAGGCCCCCAAATTCCTGGTGGAGAGGTAAGCCGCCTCGTTGCGGAGGTCTTGCCTTATATCTTTGAATTTATTTTCCATGCTCGCATAGGCCCCCGAGAAATGGCGGCAGTGCTGCAGGAACCTTACGATGCGAACACAGCACGAGCATGGTAAAGCAGCATGTTAGTTGTTGCTGGCCAAGGCCATCAAATTACCGAAGCACTCCAATGCGGCGTGGGTGTTCTTCGGCAGGTGAGACAGGGTGTTGCGTGAGGGTCGGCTGCAGCAATGCCGCATCTGGGAAGGCTGGCATATTTTAGCCCCTCCTGATCCCACAGTTCATGACAGGAACCCCGGCAGTCGAATACTGCGTGGCCGTCCCGAGCATACGGCCGCCTGCCCGCACTACGAGCTTCTAACTTGATCTCCACACCTGAGACTTGCAAACCAAGGACGCCATCCAGCACAGCGGAACCTGGCATGTGCAGCTGAAAGGCGAGAAGGTGGATCTTTGCATGTGCGGCGGATTGTGGCACATGCACCTGGACACTCCATCCCTAGCCGAGCCTGCTCGCACGGGCTACAGGCCCTCAGGCTACAGCCAGAGGGACATGTGTATGTTTGTGCAGTGCCTATTCAAGTTTACCGCAGTTCCTCGACCAACCTTGCTGACATCTACACGGGCTGAATAGCGGCCATACCCGGATTGATTCCATGCGGTGCGATAGACAGACTCGCGGAGTGTGCTTTACCCGGACGCCACTTTCATAGTCATCGTCACTCGGTTTTGCGACAGATGGTCGGGCGACATGCACCTTGTTGGCTCGTGAGCTTGCACATGCATGAGAAACAGGTGCGAAACTGAACCTCTGACATTCAGGCCAAATGGAACACTGGTGTACAGTGCTGGACTCTCTTGAGTTTCAGTGTTTTAAGCCTCTGCAGCCGCCGACAAGCACCGAAGTCATAAGATGCCCAGAAGCTGCATGTGGCGCCCATGACTCTGAACATCTCAAAACGCGCAGGGCATGCTGTAGCAAAACCGCATATCCGCGGGCGAGTCCGACCAAGATCGCTTCACGGATCATTGTCTTCTCTGGCCACACAGCATTGCAAGTTCTGTTAACGCCCACTTGTAAGTGCACAGGACTAGGCACCGCGGGATGGGCTTGCCACGTCAGGAGGGTCCTGTGCAAACCAGGAAGGGCAAAACTGCATCCACAGTGTACACAACTCGGCACACAGGTGTCGGTGCTTTCAGTCCTCACACACTTCGGCGCGAATCACTCCTACGTGTTGGAAGTAAGGCCTGGCTTTACCAGTGTGACCGCAGATTGTCATGATTTCCTGGGCTCATTTGGCCAGATGTGTTCTGGCTTCAGCACCATCGAATGGCTGCTTCGAGCTTGCACCCATCACACCCTCAATGCAAAGTCGTGCTGAAATGAGCTCTCTTCCGTTCGCCTGGGGTGCCAAATGCTCGACACTCTCCCACAGTGGTCAAATTGGCATGGGTAGGAGGATACTCACATCCCTCTTGGCTCAAAAGTTGAGAGACAGAGTGTGTGTGTGTGTGTGTGTGTGAGCGCACATGAACGGCAAAAACACTCCGGGTGTGGCTTTCCCCTCGGGAAAGTTTTCTGACAGTACCATTCTGCATCTGGTCGGCAGTCGGCTTCGGTTATGCTCCCGCGTATCCGTCTTCTGAAATCAGATGTATCACGCAGTGCGGGACTCTACATCTGTTCGCTGCTCGCTTTCGCCGCGAGACTTGTTGGTGCCTCAGAAGTTGACATTCGAGGTTGGGAGCCTCCTCCTTCCAAGTACTGGTTGGAAGATGCACTCTCCTTCCAAGAATTCGATACAGCCAGCCAGTTTCCGATCTTGAACTTCACCGCAGACCTCGCTCCGGAAATGTTCGACCGCTTGATTCAGGATGGGCGGCCGTTTGTAGTCAGAGGACTAGGAAAGGATCACCCGATGCAGGACTGGGACTGCGAATTTTTCCGCCAGAATGCTGACTTTCGGGATGTGCATGGTCGCCGCGAGTATGCTGACTCTGGCAGCCAGCAGCCGCAATGGATGTCCCTTGAAAACGTAATGTCAACCGTCGCAAATCAGGCGAGCAAGGGGAAAGCGAAGGGATCATCTCCATACTACATCGGTATCAAAGATGTGCAGTATCGCAGTACCGAGGAACTAAGCAGGGACTCGCACTACAGTCCGACTTGGACCAGGGAACTCTTGGCCTTTGTTCAGAACCATACAATCGTCCCTGGCTTCATGAGAGACAGCAACTTGCGAAGACTTCACGACACTCCGGAGTTTTGGTTCGTTCAGGCTGGCGGAAGCACTGGGGCCAAAGCCCATGTCGACGTTCATCCTGAGTCGACTTGGAGCTTGCAGCTCTGTGGCAAGAAACGCTGGCGCATCTCCCCCATCGCGCCCCGAGCCACTCCCCATGTGATGAAGCTCTACCAGGATGGACAAATTTACAGCAGGCCCGAACATCGATTATGGAACCTCTTCGAGGATACGGTGCTTCTTCCTGGAGACGCCCTATTTTTCGGGCCGGCATTTATTCATCAGACTCTATCCGAAGACGCTGGGCCGGCTGCATCAGTCACATGGCAGTTCGATGATCCCATGCCTGTAAACTTCATGCGTGCCTTCATGCCGCGACTGCGCTTCACGGCAGACTCCCAAGCTTTGTGGCCCCGACTTCAGCATCTTGTGAAGCAGGCCCAAAGGATGGAGTTGCGGAAGATTCCGAAGAACTCGGATCTGCGAGCATTCCTTGACACAGACGGCGACGGTGCCGTCACCGAGGCAGAGCGGAGAAACGTGGTTTCTTTGTGGTACGCACTAATCTCGGAGGTGAAATCAAAGGTACCGGAGATCCTCCGCCAGAAATTGGACCTGGGTGTTGCGGCAGTCATCGAGGATCAGCATGAACTCTCGGATCTTCCGAAGAGGTTGCAGAAAGCTGTGCGACAGTGGGAGAAGCTGGCGCTGCAGTTGGACGCTTTGGCTTCCGGCATCGATGGGAGCGAGCTGTAAACAGTCTCTGCATTTTTCAACCGTGGAGTGGGATCGAGACCTAGCAGTAGTCCGGGCCGTTTCTGACCGATGCTACGTGCATGTTTTCAAGTAAATGTGCAACAAGCGACAAGTTACTTGTACCGCAAATGTGATGGGCAGGTCTGGACACTCAAGCCGACTGACGAGCTGCGGCGGAAGGCAGATCACAGACTCAGAGACGTGGTATGTGTTGGTTTGTTGGTTGTAGCCAGCCATGCCGAGGTCCCCTCTCTGAAGAGGGCGGGACGTGTGCGAGTCCGCTGCATGGAAGGTGATGTCCTGTGCACCTGCCTCGATGTTCCTGCACCCGGGCACCCCTTCCGGATCCTTGCGTTTGCTGCTGTTGGCGGGGCTCCGAGGCATCAATACCAGGCTCTGGTGGCACAGCACGCACATCCCGGCACGTTGCAAGCTCTCCCTGAGTGCCACCTCGTCTGCAATGGAGCTTGGATTCTGCCGCTCAGCCAACCCTTGAGTTCCAAACACTCATTCGGGAGATGTGTATGTTTATCTTTTGCAGTCTGGTTGCAACCTCACTTCATGCCGTCTGTGGTGGGGGTGTTGGGATGTGGACTCAGTCGATGCTCACGGACACGTGGGTGTCGTGAGTGTGTAAAGATTCCGATGATTGTACTCGATTGTCCCCCAGACATCTTGCCGTTCTGGTTTCGTAGGCTTCAAATTTTTCTGAATGCTGTCGGCGCGATGTTCGAGTCCCAGGTTGCTCGTGACATGTTCGGGCCCCAGGCTCGCATGACTTTGGACCTCATGTGTCGTCAAGAGTCAAGGTACCTGGATGGCACGCGTCCCGGAGCCTGCGACATGACCAATGTGGATGGTGCGCACTCCTGTGCTCTGTGACTTGTTGGATATTCAGAGCCTTCAGCTAAAAAGGTCACTATGCATTGAAGCCTATTCAGAAAGGTGCAGGGTGCTCAGCGCTCAGGGGTCGTTTCTATCTGCAAATAGGTGCGTGTGCGGTGATGCTGCAGCAAAGTTCGCAAGGCCGTCATCTTCACCGAGGACACCGCGCCGCAGCTTGAGCTCCCAAGGTCAGACCGCCAGGCTCAGCTTCGGAAACTTGTTGGAATTGGTAGCGTCGCGAAAGGAGCTCTGCTTCGAACTGCGAGCTGCGGGAGAGCGCATGCCTTGATCTTCAGTTCTGTCCTCATTCTGCACTTCACAGTGTCAGGTCAGCGAGGAAGTCTGGTGGTGGTGGCCCCCGGCCGAGTCTCAGACCTGCCTTGCCTGCAGTGGAGCGAGAATCAGTGGAACGTCAGGCCAAGCGGGTCATCAAGAAAGGAGAGTGGTTTTCGCTCAGCGACAGCGATGCCGAAACTGCTCGGGCGGAGGACAGGCCGTGAAGCGGTGCCTGCGGCTGCCTGATTCGCAGACGGTCTTTCGGAGGAGCCCAGAGGAGCCAAGCGCAAGCGCTGACAACAAGTGGACCCCCGCAAAGAACGGTTGACACATGCGCGGGAAAGAGACTCAATTAGCAGCATAAGAGATGGTGTACCAGTAGCTGCCAGCCAACAGTTCCGAATCTCTGCAGCTGTGGCCGCTGCAGACTTCAAAGATCGAGGTTGTGCCCTCCGGCATAACCTTAGGGCCCCAAGCGCCGTGTGAAGCTTGAATTAGTGAGCATTTCGCACATGGCTTCGCAGTCTCGGTGCGTGTGGGCGGCCCCGGTGAGGCGGCAGATGCCGCTGCATGCACAGCCAGGCACCTCAACCTACGTGTGGCCCTGGCCTTCGGCGCCGATCGTTGTGCGCCGGACGATCCGCATCGTCGCAAGGCCAGTTGCGCCGGTGCAGGTGCAACTTCCACATCTTCTGGGAAGGCGGTCATGGGCAACGTCCCCTGAGCCGCCCAAGAATCCCAAGACCAAGGCACCCCCAAAGGGGGAGCCTCCGATGATATGTGTCGCGGCCACGCCAGTGCGACATCCCAGCAAGCCAGCCATCCCTGAGACAGCTGCTACGCCACCTGCGCACCAAGCCCCTGTGCCACCTCCCGAGCCAGAGCATGCGAAGGGCCCTCCCGTTTCCTTTTGTCCCGAAACACCAGAGGGAGGTGAGGAAGATCACGAGCAGAAGAAGGAGGATGAGGAGGCCAACGATGAGCCTCAGAATCCCTCGCCAAGGCTTGCAGAAGCTGCGAAGGCAGAACCCCCACACGCCCAATTCGGCGAGGCAGAGCTAGAGGCTCTGATGGCAGACTTGGCCGCTATGGGGATCCAGGTGCCTGAGAAGCCCGAGGGCGAGGCGGAGGTGGGCGGACGGGGGAGGGCGTGACAGAATGTGTTCAACAATGTATTCTACTTGATCGAACATGTTTCTTCTGAAAGACATTTTCTTGATGAGTGGCCCAAAAGCAGTTGAGACGTGTCTTGCATGGAGTCTGCAAGCTGAGCTGAAGACTCTCCCGATGCAGCCCCGAGGGATGAGCACTGTGAAAACATTTTCCGTTTCGTGCGGCCCAAGGTCGGCGATCTCATTGTACTGGGTGCAAACATTTATCCGAAGGAGTTCCGGCTCAGATACGCGGTCGTTATGGAGGCGCGCTGCGGCTGCAAGTCCGAAGCTCCTCACCAGGTCTAGACGTGCTGATGAGTAGGGGGCGGTGCCACATGCTGTGCCCTGAAAAAGCGGAGCCGTGCAGAAGTGCAACGCAGGTGGAGGCCACACACCTGACCGTGTGGCCGCTGCTGGAAGACCGCGCGACCGCCATGGGCGAGTGCTGGCCATACAAGGTCGACACAACACTGGAGAGCACCGTCGGCCGGCTGGGAGGCCGAGTGCGGGTGGCACAAGGGCCGCTTGGCCGCACGGAGTTCTGGAGCCGCAGACGTCAGAAGACCCGAGCTGTTGCACGCCCATACCCAGGCCCCATGCGGGCTGCGTCGGCACGGTGGTCGCGGTGCCCGGCGTAAGATTCCCCCTGTTCCAGGAGCTCAGGCGCGGGGTCGCTATATGCTCTCGAAGATGCCAGTTGCATCCGCTCGCATCCGTTGGCCTTTTCTGCATTGTTGGTGTATGTTGCGCAGGAACCACCACATGCAGTACGTCATCAAAGTCGCATTCGATGATGGCAGGCGCCGGTGTTTGGAGCACTGTTTGTTTTGGGAGTCACATGTTCCTCACTTTGGAACTAAAACTGTGGAGATGGTGGGCAGTACATGAGCAGCATGCTGTGGTACTGTATTCGATGTATTCTATGAGTGCACTCTCGTAGTTTATTGTAGTAGCTTACCATGACAGTATACGATAGCAGTATTTCGTGCGAGAGCGTACGTTCGCAACCTCATGAAGCTTTTGTTTCCGGAATCTTACTAAACTTCGCATGTTGGCACCTTCAAACGACAAGAAAAAACTTTACGCAACAAACACAGGCTTTCTTTCTCAATCAATTCCGGACCACCTTAGTGTTTTGTTTGCGGACGTTTCCTTACGAGGCTGCTTCAAAGGATTGCGGGGTGTGGTCTTGGCTGGCAGGGACGAGCTGTTCCTGTTCACTGAGCTCCAGGCAGAATGCTGATTGAGCTGCAAAAAGGTGTGTAGAATGATGTCGAGGCGGCACATGTGCACTCTTACACATCTCGTGCTTTCTTGCATATGCGTTGGCAATGTGTGAAAGGGCTTGACTATCAATGACGATGACAATTTGAAATTTGACATCAGCATTGTTGCAGTTCCTGAAGTCTTCGCAGCGCTCCTTTCGGAGGAGTTGAGGCTCAAAGAAGATGTCTCGCGTCATGACCGCCATATCATCTTGCATGGCGCGCCTTCTTGACTTTATTAGATCCAAGCTGTAATCCGGCATATGCTACACTACCTGAGCAAAATCGCACCGATTCAGCCCACGCCGCATCAGCTCCAACTGAAGACTGAGTATGAGATAGTGTGAGCATATGTGCCTGCATGGAGTCCGATGGACAAGCGCCTCCCGCACCGGATCAGGGACATTCGACTACAACTCCAGGCTTCTGGCAAGACTGCCACTGCCGACGGCGCCTTGAGCAGACAGCTTGCGTCCAGTCAGCGTGCTTCAATTGTGGGCTTAGGCGTGCGTCAGAAGGCTTGCAACCAGTGGACGTTGGTGGAGTCAAGCAAGGGATACCGACGATGTTTTCAGATTGAGGTCGTGGAGTTTGGCGGGTATGCTGGTGTTGCAGACACTCTGGCATTCTGTTCTTGGTTTCAGGCCTTAGTTGAATTTTTCAGGTGTTAGGTTTTGTCGGGTTTGACGTTTCAGGGATGGTGATTTAATGCGGATTGGAGTCTGGGTCGCTGGGAGACTCAGGTCTCTGTGTCCGGGTGCCACTGTCTGAATGTCTGAATGTCTCGTTTTCTGTTTGCACGCCGCATTTTTGCTTTCATGCTGACTTCCGAATTTGAGACCAGGTGTGAAGGATGAGCTGTGCAAAAACTTCGCTGAGTATGGCAGATTGAAGCAGCAAGCCCTGAGGAAGCTGGTGCTGCAAGAGCTGAGTACCCCGTTGCCCACAGAAACATGTGTCACCGAAAGCCGCGAATGTCAAGATGCACCGACTACTGGCCCTCCGAAGAAGAAGCGCCGGAAGGATGCAAAAGCTGTTCCTCAGGATGCAGCTTTTCCAGATCGGCCTCTCAAAGAAAAGGAGGGCATGAACGAGTCGATGCGGCGGCTTTACGCTCAAGGACCTGCGAGTGCGACCGGTGCGACGACGGCGCGTTCGCCGGACGAGAAGGTCGAGGGTGCCTCACGGCGTGTCCGAGAGAAGGCGATGGCTGCAGCCCGCCGGGAGCAAGGATTGCCGGAACCGCGCGGCTCCGGCTTTCAACCAGAGGAACGGCCTGAGGAAAGGCTTGAGGATCTTGGAGGCGTCGACGAGATTCTTTTGGACTTGCGCCAGCTTGTCGTTCAGCCTCTTAGCCATCCGGAGGTTTTTCAACACCTTGGTGTCCAGCCTCCCACTGGGGTTCTTCTTTTTGGACCGCCAGGATGTGGAAAGACCAAGATCGCTCATGCCATCGCCGGTACGACTGGGGTCCCCTTCTTCAAGATCGCTGCCACGGAAATTGTGTCGGGCATGTCGGGTGAGTCGGAAGCGAAGATCCGCCAGCTTTTCCAGGCTGCCATGTCCGCGGCCCCAAGTTTGATCTTCCTGGACGAGGTAGATGCCATCACGCCCAAGCGAGACTCTGCGGGCCGCGAGATGGAGCGCCGCATTGTGGCGCAACTTCTCACATGTCTCGATGAGCTTCAGAAGGCCAACGTCATTGTCCTTGGGGCTACAAACCGACCCGATGCCCTTGACCCAGCACTCAGGCGTGCAGGACGCTTCGACCGTGAGATCGCCATGGGCATACCAGACGAGGCCGCGCGTGCCCGAATTCTGGAGAAAATGGTGATGGGCATGCGGCTGGCAGAAAGCTTGGATCTGCAATTCTTGGCGAAGAAGACGGCTGGATTTGTGGGAGCGGACCTGTCAGCTTTAACGAAGGAGGCGGCTCTTGGAGCCGTCCAGCGGGCATTTTCTGGACTGCAGTCCCAAAGGAGTGAGCAGAGCGAGGTGGGCGAGGCGACGGAGTCCTCCGAAGCGCCGCTTCTCCGCCCGTACACTGCGGAAGAGATGGCGAATCTGGCAATAGATGCCGCAGACTTCACGGAAGCACTCACCAGAGTCCAGCCGTCGGCGCGTCGCGAAGGCTTCTCAACCATTCCAGACGTGAAGTGGGAGGATGTCGGCGCACTGCAAGAAGTCCAAGCTGACATGGACGCAGCGGTCTGCGAGCCGATTCGCCAGGCGGAGCTCTTCAGAGAGCTTGGTTGGGGCCTCAGCGTGACACATCATGGTGTCGGATCACCGAGTGAATGTGTGTGCGTACGCACGCAAGCTGTGGGTGTGTCTGGCTTGGCAGCTTTCGCGCTCGAACATGCACAGCACGAGCTTTAGTACCAAGCACAAGAGCAGGGGGCGTTGGTAAATCTGCAACAATCATTGATAAGAAGCCTTGACGGTTTTTGCAGTCCGCAGCCAGAACCTCACACTAGGCACTGCCACTAGTCAAGCTTCACCAGCCTACAGTTCAACACTTCGCAGAACCGTACGGACATTGCTTGGGTGGTGTGGGAGCCGGAATGGCCAAGCCAGCCACCCCCAAGAAGGACAGAACCGGCTCCTCAGCAGTAGGCCCATCGGTATCTCAGAAGTTGCAGGACACCTTTGCGGTGGACCTGTACCCGGCACCGCTGATCAAGTGGCACCCATCTGTCGAGCAGCATGAGTCTCTCGTCATGGATGCCGAGAAGCGCGGCTTAATCAACAAGCAGCCCCCTCAGTGCAAGGGAAAGTTGTTCGCCAGTTCTGGCTTGCAGTCACTGGAGAACGAGGCCAAAGCCGGTGCATACCCGAAGCACATCAAACACAACTACAAAGATTGGCAGCCAGGCACGTGGCCCGCTCTCTCTCCATCTGAACTAGATTATGCATTCCGTTGAAGCGGTACAGTGCGCCCCCCCCCTCCCACCCTGCGAGGATGAGGAGCTGACAGTGCGGCTCAAAGCAGCGATTGCGTTGGAACCGCCTGTTGAGCCCTCGGGCTTCTCGGCCTAGAGTGACTGGGCTTCGCAGTCATACTGGTTCACCACGAATGCGCTGAGGTGGCTACCGAGCCACGGCTTTCTATCAGAGCGAGGGTTTGGAGCCGCGTGAAAGGCGGAAATGCCAGCCGAAGCAGGCACCGGAGTTAAGCCGCGAAGCCCCTCAGACCGACAGAGCCGGTGATGTCCGTCCGGTATTTGTGAGGCCTTGAGGGGTGGGCCAGACTGGGTAGCAGCCAGGGTGCTGCCAAGTAGTATTTCCTTGGAATTGTGGCTTGAGGTGTGAAGGGCGTACGGGATCGGCAGCAGCCTGTGCTGCCGCCCCTGTCTTCCGCCGCGCTGGAAACCCACGGTTGTGTGTGTGTGTGTGTGTGTTTTTTTTTTTTTTTGTTTTTCTTCGTTCTTGTGTTTTTTTGTCGATTGTTCGTTTGCATGTTTGCTTGTTGTTTTGCACAGGTGTTCTCAAATCTTAGATTTTCTGAGGCGCTATCCTCGCGTGTTCTGGAGCCTGGTGCTACTCTTAGCATCCATTCGAGTTTATTTTTCACAACTCGAAGTCTTGTTCTCATGGTTACGGATGTGGCCCAAGTATAGGGCTTCGGGTAAGACTTGTAGTTCCATGCTTCACATTGGTGCAAACGTCAAAGCCCACTGTAAGTTTTGATGTTTTGTGTTTGTGTCGATAGTTCATGATGCCTATTGGCTAACTCTTCTGTTGCATTCTAACCACATACCTGTAGGGTTGAAGTCATGTTGCCACAGTTCCCCAAGCAGTGTGGTGACGCCACGCAGTTCTCATGCCAAGAGGTGAGGGGGAATTCACTGTGCTAGGCTGCCCGGCCTTGTTGGTAGCATCGCGGTAAATCGCGTTCTCGCTCTGGCCCAGTTTCTCCGCGACAGTGGAGTCGTTGTGAATCTCCCAGGCTCCATTATGTAAAGGACCCTACCTACTCTACCCTGAACCCCAAGCCCGAAAGTAGAGTATTCTATCCAAGAGGATCCTACTATTTGGGGTTTTCTTTTGGAGTCAAATCCCTAAGTCCCTGAAACGAAGCTGCGAGTCTCCAGCGAAAGCTTTTGTCTTTGGCGGTTTCATGTAAGATTCCCCTGAAAGAGTTCCTTTTAGGGCTCCTGTAAGTGTTCTGTTTAGGGTTTCTCTTGCGAGCTTCAAGGGGGCTGCTTGAATGGCTGTTGACCATGTATTGCTTGGAATGCTGAGTGCTCCTTGACGGTTCGCCGTCCATGCTGGCATAACTTGCGTTTGTTGATTCATGCTTCGCACGGACAGGCTGCCGAAAGCAAATATGGTAAGAAGATGCACGATTGTTTTTTGGAGGCAGGTCCGCGAAAGCATGGGCATGTCCTGCGGAGACGCCGCGTTGTCTTGTCTCCCCCTCAAAGTTGCCTTTCCAAGGCCCAATTCCGCATACCGTACAACTCCCGTGCACCGTGACAGCAGTCGGCGATGTTTGTCAGCTGACATGGCCCAACGCGGCACCAATGGTAAGAAACCTCTGCTGAAGCCAAGGAGCAGTTTGTCAAGGTGGCAGTGTATGCGGTGGCTGACGGTGCGGATGTGCCAGTTGGTGAAGCCACAGTGCCCATTGCGGACCCAAAGGCCGAGACCATGACCCGCTGGCGGCACACCTGCAAGAAGCTGAGGGATCCTACATGATTCTAGCTGGGAGCTCAACAAACCGACCGCTAAACGGGCCACAAGCACTGCACCAAGTGAGTTGATCTGCATCTTCGCAATCGCGCCTGCTCGATTGGCGCACATGCCCCATCACGGACTTGTTACTCGCATGATCTCGCATGTTTCGGACACACAGACCCGCAGCCACACCTTCAAGCTTGGGTGTAACCAGTCCTTGCAGCTCTTCGGAACAACTGAAGCGCACAGAACAAATCGTGTGGATGTCATGGTCACCGCACGGCGTTCATCACCTGCAGAGTCACTTGTGCAGGGGCGTAGAGCTGGCTGGGTTCCGGTACAGAAGCAGGCCCTCGCAGAAGGACATGTTCACTCCTTAGTTCTTCCACGAGCACTTTGATGAGATGCGTCCACAAGCCCGTGTTACTTGTTCCACCCCTGAACACGCCTCCTTGTCTCTCCGAGTCCCGCACCGCAAAAAGAAAACCCAGTCTTGCAGCGCAGTGTTCGACTCTCAGGCGACTTATGCAGGACTTCGAAGAGACCGGGGAGGCTAGGTTGGAGGTTGCGAATCACTGCGTGGGAAAGAGCCTCTCCTGCGTTTCAGTCAGGTCGAGCTCCAAGTGGTCTTCCCCGGAGATGACGTTTCCGTAGCAGAAACAGCCGACAAGTCGACTGAAAGCTATGAATCCAAGTTGCACGTCAGGCTCTGTGTCTTTCTTGGTTCGGTCACACGTGCGTCATACTTGGGCATTTGTGTCCGCCGAGACAGGGTTGGAGACGGTTTCTGCTTATATAGATCGCAATTTTCCGATCACCGGTGGAGGCGACGCTTGTTGTTACCCACCGAACGCAACACTGCAGACCATCTGCAAGGACCTGGAAGCAAAGTATGCCTCCGTGGCTTCAAAGTCTGTGGTTGAATCTGTGGGCGAGCTGCAGTCGAAGCAAGATTCTGCTGAATCGATGGTCCCAGAACCTACGAGTCACATGTCGGACACGCGGCGCGGCTGCACAAGTGCACAGAGGATAGCACTGAGAGGAGGGTGTGTAAACAAGTGATTTCCTTGAACACACCAACGTATTTCCCAGATATCAAACCCATGTAATACAAATCAGAGGCTGGCAGGCCGAGAATAATGACGACGAGAGACAACACGCGACCCCACCTGGACCTGTGAAGACTGGGAGAAGCAGATGCATTCGCTACGGTTTCAAGAGCCTTAGGAAAGAAGACCGCCTTGCCAGCAGCCAGTTGCAAATGCACTAAAAAAACGGAAGACACATATAGCCTCCCCGCGACAAGCCTGCGACCTGCCAAGGCAAGTCATGTCTTAGATAGATCAACAGTTCGGGAAGATGATTTCAGGGTTTTACTTGTTGCAGGATGGACTCGTGGGAAGATGTTGTGTGGTTTGTCATTTGTCTGCTCCCATTGGGTTGTCCGAGGATTATAATACAGAATATAATAATGCTACTATATAATCATAGTATATAATAATACTATATTATAACAATACTATATTATAATAATACTATATAATAATAATACTATATAATAATAATACTAATACTAATACTAATACTAATACTAATACTAATACTAATACTAATACTAATACTAATACTAATACTAATACTAATACTAATACTAATAATAATAATAATAATGATAACAATAATCACAATAATAATAATACTAATACTAATACTAATACTAATACTAATACTAATACTAATACTAATACTAATACTAATACTAATCCTAATACTAATACTAATAATAATAATAATAATAACAATAATAATAATAATAATAATAGTAATAATAATAATAATAATATATACGTAATAGTAATACTATATAATAACCATAATAGTAATAACAATACTATATAATAATAGTAATGATAATAATAATAATAGTAATAATACCACTGGGCTCTTTGCAGTCGGAAGGTCCGGTCCTCGTCACGGGAGCGCACGTGTAGCTGCACCTTCCACATACAGAGATTACATAGACGCATACGATAATATCTAGGTAGGTTTATAGAAACGCACAGATGTATGAATCTAGCCAGCCAGATAGATGGGTAGATGGATAGATAGTCACATAGACAGGTAGGCAGGTAGGTCGATGGATAGGGTAGATGGATGGATGGGCAGACAGACAGGCTTGTTTGCTTGCACACTTTTGACGCCGAGTCGAGCACCTGTACAGAGTGTGACCTCGTGCACTAACCAGTTACTGTGTTGGACGATAGTAAATTTTGGAGCGACGAGTCAAACACTCCCATTTCGCGTTTGCCGTGCGCACCTCTGCGGGGACCGAAGGACTATGTGACATAACTTCGGCAATCTAAGTGAGTGTGTGTGTGCGCGCGTGTCTATGTCTACGTGGATAGACATGTGTGAGGCAATTCATTTATGCGTCCGTCGTCGCTTGACTTTGCTCGCGGGTCACGCGCGTAGGTAGCGAAAGACTTGCAAATGTCTGCTGGAAATGGAGCATATAACAAATCTTACCCCATCGGGCCATGTCAACAAAATTGCTGACAAGCCTGATTGCAATCCAATTGACAACGTTTGCAAGAAACCAGTCATGCTTCTCCTTTGATTATTCATGCTTCGGAAGACGTACAACAGAACTGCACGTTGGCTGAGCTCACACCATGCAGGCCGGTGGAGAAGGGGGTGGAGTCCATGGATGCTTCCTTCTTCGCCCTGAATTCCGGTGACAAGGCTCAGGCCGGACGCTGAGAAGCACACCCGGCCCCTCCGTGATTTTCGGTGCTGTGATGCTGTTGGGCATACTCAGGTCTACTCCAAGTCGACCCTCGACTCAAATCAAACGTTGGTTGGATCAGATAGACAGGCAAGATGAGATGGATAAATGCTTGACTTGGCGCCTTCTCGGTGGGGAGGCACTGAGAGCTTGACTGAGGAGTGGGGCTTGGGTGATCGCCTCCATTGTGCACATGGACCATGCTCGTGGTGAGGTCATCGTTCAACACGGTGGCATGCCCAAGCTTGCTGTTCGATCGCTCACAGGGTTTCATACTTGTGTGTCACTTGCGACAGTATTTCAGTACCACACAACCATGAGATCTGAGGCGAGCATCGGAAGGTGGTAAATCTCAGGTCGCACAACCTTGCAGCAGCTCTTCCGCATCATGCCTTTCTAGCCGGGTCCAGCCGATGGTCTTTTGCAGCATGGTTTTGCACCCAAGGAGTTCTTCCGGCCATGGGAAGCACTGGATAGCCCAAATCTGTCTGGTGTGAGACTGGGATCGGGGGTGGAGGTGTACTCACAGAGCGTGCCATGGTAGCACCAGTGTTTGCCGATTTATGTGCCTTCTAAAGACCCAAATGCCAAATCCTCGTTGTGCAAGAGGAAAGAAGATGCCAACTAGTGCAGTGCTTGATTTTTTGCCCGACAACAGCTCATTGCACGTGTTAGCATTGCCGCTTCAATGGTAGTTATCACGTACCAGTGGAGGAAGCAGGTTTAGCTTATCAGGGCTCAGGATATTCGGATTTTGAGTATGAGGGTTCCTATCTCCGATTTAGACGTTTTGTTTTTCCATTGTGCAAGTGCTAGAAGAAATAGGAGCAGGTGTTGCCCAGCTCTTGCATTCACGGTGTCACCAGACAATCAGCGAATTGAAGCGAATACTGATTTCTGTTGACAGTTCGTGGTGTCTGTTGATTCTCAGCTTCTTTTTCCTATCTGTCCGAATCTGTCCTCGTTGATGCACCAACCATAAGTATCGCGAGTGTTCTACAGGGAATGATTAACTTGTTTGAAAATCAACAAACACGCAAAATCAACACTATGAGCCTTCGATGCTAACATCCTTTTACCATCGGGCTGGATGATGCAACACCCATGCCGATGGCGACATGACAGGGCTCAATTACATGTAACTTTGTTTAAACCCGTTTCGAGCAAGTGGGCTGAATCTGACGAGGCCTCGATCAGACCCAAGCTCGACACATGGAAATCGGATAGCAACGTCGCTCGACCAGTCCTGCCTGTTTCGCCCGTTCGATGTACAGGCTGGCCGATGGAGCGCTGGCGAGGTCTCTCGCGTAGACCTGCAGCGACAGGAGGTCTCCGTGGAGTACGAAAACAGAGTGAAAACCGCACCTTTTCTGCACGGCTGCAAATGTGCCCAGTTTGGGGTGATGCAGTTTGCAGTCCGTTTGCAAGTTGAACGGTGGATTGCAGCGGGTACGCGATTTTGCTTTGGTTTGCTGGCCCGAACAGATACGTGTAAATCTTGATCCCGAGCGGAAACAGGCAACAAGTTCAACAAGGTTACTTTAGAGCGTTCGACCTTTTGAGTTTTATTATTTACTCTTACATACAGTGCATGCATCCGCATCCGCCCTGGCACACAAGCTATGCCAAGATGGATGCAGGATCTCGGATCCCGATGAGACTCCGATCCAGTGTCAAAAGGGGGTCTGTCTTCCACGTCGTGTTCCTGGCATAGCCTCCTGACTCCCCAATCCTAGATTTCATGCCCCAATTTGTACGACCCATGCTCTGTCAATTCTGGCATCCTCGCCTGGGCCACGAATTTCCGAAGTTTCCAAGAGTCCCGTCGGGTCTGTTGCGGTGGCTGAGGTGAAAATGGCAGCACCAGCAGCTTGTCAGATGTTTAGACTCCAAGCCTGGAAGGGCTTCTTTATTTCACCTTACGCAAACCTCGAAGAAAAGGAAACATGAGGGCAAGGAGGTTTCATCTGTCTGATGTAGTGTCGCAGTGACTAGCCGAGAGCACGAAAGCACGCCGGGAGCAATATCACAGAGCACTCCGGACCCATCCAACTTATTGCCCTGGAGTCGCTTTAGCTAAGGACCTTGAAAAATACTTCCGTCAGAAACAGGAAGACGTGCCGAGCTCCCCGACGACACCTGCTGCCGAAATCCCACAAAACGGGGTGCAAGGTCTTCAGAATCAAGCTCCCGCGATGCCAGTGGTTGCTCCAGCCACGGCTGGTCTGCAGCCAGAAACCGTTCCTGGCGCTGTTGCTGGTGCCGGCGTGAGGCAAATACCCGTCGCCGTTGCTCCATGTCCACAGTACCAGGCGGTCTTGAAAAGAGAAATCACACCCCAGACGGGACTGATGCCAGTTGCAGCCGTGCCCGCGCAAGTTGTGTCTCCTGGGTGCATCACCTACACAGCACCACAGGGCTTTACCTACAGAGTCGAAGCTCCAGTTGCGCAGTGGGTGGGGGCACCTGCCATGCCGAACTACGTGGATGCCAAGCCGCAGTTTTCGCCAGCCTACACGGTTGCCACGCATCCTGCGCCAGCTTGGGCGACAGGACGACCTGCCTAGCCGGAGCTTCTCTTTTGCTTCTCTTTCTCTCTCTCTCTCTGCTTCCCTCTTTCTCTCTTGCGGGCTGTGAAAAGCAATCCCGCGTCGAATGCAGCGGTCAAAATGACACTGGGACGAGAGTTGGAGCAGTTGAAAATGAGCGGTTCTGCAAGGTCAAGGTGAAGGCAACAGTAGCGGTGAAGCCGAAGCATGACAAATCCCAGTCCTCCCATGTAGCTTGAGATGTCAACAAAGGTCTCACTGTTCCGGTGGGCGTGCTTCTTTTTGGGCCGCCTGGTTGTGGCAAAACCCTGCTTGCGAAGGCCGCTCAAGCTCGCTGCATGTACCGGCCCATGCCCGTGTCTGGTCGATGTTCTTCAGGCAACAGCCAATCAGAGTGGTGCCAACTTCATTGCTGTGAAGGACACGGTGCAGCTGTTTCTCAGCACTTTCATCATTCTCGTTCCGTTGAGCGAGCAATCGCCAGCTCACAGTCGTTTGGTTCGGTTTAGGCCCAGTGACCACGTAGCAGAGCTTCTGGCTCATTTTGTCAGGGTGCGGCGTTTGGGATTTCCGACATGCCTCTGGCTTCGTCAGGGCCAGGTGACAGGGAACATGCAGCCTTGCAGGCTTCAGGATGACCACTATCCGTGGACAAATTGCAGGACTCGGCCAGAGAATCCATGAATCTTTTCACATGCGCATGTGGGTAGTCATCTAAATTAGGGCACCCTAAAAGTTGTGCCCACAAATGTTCAGTGTGCGACCTGAACACTGCATTCCGCAACTGGCCCTCCTGAACTGGAACCCCAAGACAAAATCTACACACACGCTGAATATAACTGCGTTCACGCAGGGACCGGAGTTGCTGAACAAGTATGTTGGCGAGTCTACTGCTCAGACAGGGCTATTGACAGCATGGAACAGGGAGTCACGGTCTGGCGCGGTTCTGCATGCATGCGGTGGAGCCAACTTGAGAGGCGGCAGTGAAGATAGCCCGAAAAGACGTGTGATCTGCGCGGGAGCGGACACATCAGGTCGGAGCGTGCGGTTCGGCTTGTGTTCCAGCGAGCCAGAAGCTCTTCTCCTTGCGGGAAGCTGAGCTACGGTTCCAATTGATGCAGCTGTGGCACAGATCTTCAGCCATCGGAGGTGTCATTTTCTTCGACGAGCTTGATGCGCTGGTGCCGAGGAGGCGAGCGCATGAGATTGAGTGAAAGACGAGTAACGGGTTCGTTGCCGCTACTTCCCATTTGACGATTTCCTGTGCAATGGCCCTGTCCAGAGGTCTGCCGAGGGCACCGGCTCGTCAGAACGTGTTCTGCCCTCGATGTGCAGACAAGCCTCCGACAGCAGCAATCTTATAGCATCCCCGTGCGCCGGTAGCTGGTAGCTTTTGTTCTGAGCATCCGATGCAACGATTCGCCAAAGTTGGCAACCACATCACTGCCAAGCTGTCCACACGAATCCTGATAGAATCCAAGTCACCGCCTGCACAATCCAAGCCTCAAGCCGTACCGGACCTTGGCCCAAACTCTGTTTGCACGAAGTGGATTGAATCAAAGAGGTCGTGAACCAAATGCTCACTGAAATGGACGGCGTGCAGTCGCGCTCGCAGGCACCCATCTACAAAAGCACTTGTCTCCCACCGGAGTAGCTGCGACGGAAAGGTCTATGTCATCGCTGCCACGAATCGGCCGGACATCGTGGATCCTGCGATGCTGCGACCAGGTAGACCTGTGTTTTCAAGAGAAGACATAGTATGGATTGAATCTGGCAATCTGCAGGCCGTTTAGACCGACTTCTTTACGTGCCTTTCCCGTCTGCTGCCTGGCCCTTACATTTATAGTATAGGTGAAGATCTAGATGCACCATGATGTGCATGTTGCAATCAGCTACAAGCAGGTCGGTCGTCTAGAAATCCTCCAGACGCACATGAGGAAGCATGAGACCCAGAACATGCATGCTCAACTGCTGGACTCGTGGGCAGTCCTGATTTCTGGTCGGAGATGGCGACGGCTTGAGCTGGCTTTCTCTCCTCTCGAGGCTGCCGTTGGCCGCCGACGTGGCGGTCTGCTCAGCTTCTGGCAGCCCTGCATGCAGGAGCAGAAGCGCGAGAGCGGCTCAGGATTTGCAAAGAGTGGCAGAGGACGCTGATGGCTTCAGCGGCGCTGACCTGGCGTCCTTGGCCCGTGAAGTCCGCTTCTCGAGCCGGGAGATTTGCCTTGCTGCGAGGGGTGCTGGTGCGTGCCTGTTGCGCTTTAGGCTGCGATGCTAGCAATCCGCGATGCGGCTGCTGCTGCGACCAGGCGTGAAAGCATCAGGTTTGCAGCAGCGACTCCATCGCAGTCTTGTAAACGCGATGGCACACAGATTTTCATTTTCGGACGGGGAACGGTTGATGATATAATATAAATCCTGCATTACTTCAATAACACTGGACTATGGGAATTCTGGTATATCCTTCATTGTGGGTAATGCAGAATTTCTATCATCAACCGAAGCTCTTCTTGACGTCAGCATTCCCCTGGCCTGTGAACAGTGTGCGCTGGGTCGAGTCACTTGTCGGGCCTCGCCGCCGATGGTGACTCGAGACTGTTTCTGGACAGGATCTCCTCGAGTGCCGCTGGCAATGACTCGGCTGGAGATCCCAAGACAAAGGAGCTCTCGGGATTTGGGATTTGCCGTGAAACCTGTAAGGAGTGGCCGCATTATTCAAGACTGGCATGCTTGCCAAGGAGAAGTCTCTCGCTGCTGCTGCCGGTGTGCAGGACAGGCTTTAGGACTCTGCAGAGGTCGCTATGCGATGCTCGGTACATGGACAGGTGACGGCCGACCTGTTGTGGAAGGCCAGGAGCCGCGTCCAACCTTCGGTCAGCCAGCAGGCCCGCCGCCACCATCACTCGCGGCATCGCGACGCTATCGTACGGTTCGTACTGTGACTATGCGGAAACAGGAGCGGCGGGAGTACGAGCAGCTCGCAGCTCGCTTGTGTGGTTGGCGATCCGCTGCTGGAGGTTCGTCTTTGCAAGGAAAGGAAGGCTGAATGCTTGCCGCATCGGCAGGGCGATCAGCCGCTGGAGCCAAAGTGACCTAGCGGATGCGTTTGTTTGCTGGCATGCACTCGCTCTTGTACACATGTTTCACCTGCCGAGATGAGCAAGCATCAGCACGTACTGCCTGGGGACTGATGCCAAATTCTGCAACTGGGACCGAATGGCATTCAGCTGGCGCAAGCGACATCTCCCCATGGCGAGGCGAAGTCCTCATCGATTCACAGTGTGGCAGTTTCATGACAAAAGCACGCCTTGCAGCCAAAGCAGTTGCCGTTAGTCATTTACTGTCAACTGCATGCAGCGTAGCAGCTTCATTCAACTGGGTACTAGTAGTGTCCATCGGCGCACGTTTGCGGAGAAACCCTTCGGACAGGCCAAGCCTGCAAAGCTTTTCGACCAATGCGCCCGTCGCCGTTTCTTGAACAGGTACTGTGCCTAGCAGACATGACAGTTTTCCAAAGCCTTTAGTTGGGGCATACTCGTACAATAGTCCTGAAAAAATTGAAGCAGCGGAGAGCATTGCAGCATAATCTGCCATGAGTTGAGTAGGAGCTAATCGGGGATCTTTCTTCTCTCAGCTGTCAGGCTGTCTTCGCTCTTGGAGTCAAAGCACAGAAGATGCCAGTCTAAAAGAACACAGTTCATGACGGCCGGTTTGCGTGATGGCTCGTCACGATTGAAAGCCGTGCTGCCCTGAGTGTGGATCGAATGAGCAGCATGCAGATTGTAACCATTTCATGCCGACCGCAATCGCATGTCCAGGTATCCAGGTAACAAGTGTGAAGGCCATTCGACACGAACCATTCTAGATCTTTCTCTCTCTCTCTCTTTCTCTGTCTCTCTTCTCTGTGCTCTCTTCTCTTTTGTCTGTTGTCTCTTGTCTCTTCTCTCTTCTCTGTTCTCCTCTCTCCGCTCTCCTCTCTCTGTCTCTCCTCCCTCTCTCTCTCTCTCTCTCTCTCTCGCTCTCTCTCCCTCCCTCCCTGATCCGTCACATGCTTTTCCGACGCCTTGCCTGCAGCATTTCGCAGTTCATGGCCTCGAACGGGTTATGCTTAAAGTTCTGTAGTCTGATCTCGTGCCTAGTTAGATCGTTGTCATCTTCAAGCTTGAGATATGGATCTTTGTACGGAAAGTAGTTTTAAGCAGCTGAGGCGGCAGATGATGGCAATAGTTAGATAGCAGCTGACAGTCTCGTTTTAGCGCAGCCTCAGCCCGAGAATATTCGCAGCTTCGATCTCGTGGCCGATTCTATAGGCCGGATCCATACATGTGATTTCCGACTCCTCGTTTTCCAGATTTCCAGATGGCTGAACTGGGAGGCTGATGGACCACTGATGAGCATCCATGGAGGCTTCGAGGCAGGCTCCCGACTGCCTGGCGATTGTGTCTTGCATCATCCATGCCCTCAAGGGCTGCAGGAGGGCAAGGAGGAGCATCGGACAGCAGCTACACGCCATCGAGCACCCGTGCCCGGGAAGGAACACAGAGCATCCAGTCCAAGATGCTTCGAACAATCACAAACCGGGCAAACGGCAAGCCCCTCTCACATCTCGCAGTCCGTTGTACTCTTTTCCCTCCACCTCGCGGTGTCCAAGCATTCAACATCCCTCGATGGCATTTTCGGTGGATTTCTGAAAGGGGCCCAACCAGCGGATTGCTGGGCAGCTTCAGATCCCGAAAGTATAGTTTAGAACCCACCGATGCTTCCACGCCGCAGCCGTTCTTCGCTTGTCATGATGCAATATGATGCAGAATGTTCTGTGTTGAAAGACGAGGCCTCACTGACTCGAAACGTCCTCCCAGCAAATGTTGCGGATGCCCCGGCATCCATGAACACATCCTGCTCAAATTGCGCTGTGTTTCAATTTGGCAGAGCCAAGGAACCAAGGGCGGCTAGGCCAGGGAACCCTTCTCCCATCAACTCCCATCTTCTCCCCTCAGCCAACGACCAACAAATCTATGCGAATCTGAGTGGGAGTCTCGCAGCCGGCAGATTCGATCTTGATGTGGTGCTGGGGAGGAGGCAACCTCACCGGGTGGATCCCAGTGTTGTCAGACAGACTGGTGTTGCTCATGCGAGTAGTTCTGCTCTTTGATACTTGTTACAGCATCCCGGATCTACAGTCACTGCTGCTGTGTTTAACGATTGAGCACTTGCAACCTTCAGGAGCTGTATGTCCTTTCCGTGCTGTGAGGATGATCAGGGCACCTCGACCTCAGATTTCAGAGATTCAATGAGCATACGGTGAGCACACGTTTGTTTCCTTTGCGCTGCTCACTGTTGTTTGGGCGAGAGCATGGCAAAGGTGACCACGACCCCAATGCGACACTTGGAGTGCACTTGATACTAGACCTTCAGCAGGACCGTTCACAGAAACACGCCGTTTCGAGCAGGGGCTAGCATTTGGGTTCGCCATTTGCACAACCGGAAATCGCCTCAGGTATCGCTTGACGGAAGTCGTGCTAGTTGGACCTGCGCCGGCACCAGAGGAGCGAGAGCTGCACCCTTACGGGGTCGCATTTGGCCACCAGAGGGTGCATATCTGCGCAAACCGCAAGACTGGATTTCCTGGTCGGTGCGTTCGGAAACTGCGAGGTCTCGGCCAGAGACGCTTTTGCGCAATGGTTCCCGGCGCGCATGCTAACCTGTTTGTGTTGGAGACTGTGGATGAGCCTTGCGCCATGTGCTTGGCAGGTACACAGGGGAGTGGAAAGGAAATTTCCGGGACGGCCGTGACCCCAGAGGCCAGAGGTTCCAGGCTGTGCACGCATAAGCCTTTTGTGCCGGGACATGTCACGTCGTCCAACAAGGCATCAGCTTCAGCCACCCCAGCTATCATGTGCAACACACACACACAGACCACAGCAACCTATCCTCAGCAGCACGAGCCGAATAGAACTTCATTCAGGCCCGGACGCTAGTTGCCCTCACTCTGTGCTGGAGCTGAGCCGCATCTTCTGACCTGAGGCTCGGGCAGCTTGGTTTGGCCTGATGGTGCCAGCTACGTAGGCGAGTTCTTGGAGGAGCCATGTGCAGTGCATGTCCCAAATTTGCTGCACGTAGCACATCTTGGCTCGACTTTTTGAGAGGATGTGGCAGAAGGCTACGGGAAGTTCATCCAGCCAGAAGGGGATGTAACAAGCTCAGAGGTTTTCCAAGGAGCCCTTGGATTTGCGTGCAGAAGGCAAAGCGTTTGGTACCCTTGCAGATATTCGGGGAGTAAGATCGGTGGCCGGTTGCTGACGGCATCCTGAGGTCTATGAAGGCCACTGGAGAGCCGACAAAGCCCACGGGAAAGGAAAGTACACTCAGGAGCTGCCCCTGCTTGCGTCTGCTGGGAATGCATCTCATGCCCGATGAGAGGTCGACGGGGCCGTCTTTGAAGGCGAATGGGCCGCTGCCTCAGATTCCCCCCACAGTGTGTGTGGCCACAGGCCGACGGTCCTTTTCGAGTCGCTGAGGTAGCTGACCAACAGCATGGACTGGGCCAGGCCTTGGGCACGGTCACCGCGCGAAAGCATCTTTACATTAATGCATCAGAGCTACAGGAAACCTGGCCCGATGGTTCTACTTACGTTGGCGAGCCGCCGTCTCAGAATTAAACGGACACTTGGGAAGCCTCCAGAAAACACTGCTCATCTGAGGTACCTTGAGGGAAAGAAGACGGGAAAAGGCACTTTTTCTTGGCCTGGCGGGTCCGGTGCACGGATGCCAGTTTCTGCCTCCTGCATATTGGATACGTCGATACGTATACGCTTTCGACTGGTATGTCCGTGGAAGAGTGGTATCTCGTGGTACCATGAATCCTGCATGAGAAACCTCCTAGGAATGATGATGCTTCAGCCCGTGCCATCGCCTGTTCCAGTGTGCTTTCCCTGCACTTTTGAGGTCAAAGTACTCGGGCACCTTCAAGGACAATGAGATCGACGGTGAAGGCGAGGCTGAACTGAATGCATGTCAGCAGCCTTCAAAAAAGAGTCCATGTTACTCCATGAAAATCGATGCAGACATAGTACTCGCTATGCTAGGACCAACCTTTTGAGGACGGATAAGCTGCTAAGCAATATCCAGCACAAGAACTCTGGCAGTATCAGCGCGGATACCAAGCGCAATTAGGTCCAGGTAGAGCACCTGAAGCGGCCAAAGTGCGAGTCCATCATCCTGGGATCAGGGAGAGAAGTCGCCATCACTGAATCACAATTTGCAGACTCTGCAACCCTCTTGAGATTGCGCAAGCCCGATCTTCTCTTAGAGTGACAGGAACCTACGACTGGTCGGACGGCCGGCGTTATCACGGACAGTGGAGCAGATGTAAGATGCATGGCATCGGTGCTATACCCCTCGCTTCCGTGGGTGGGTTTGAGCTGGACACAGCTGAGCAGCGTGTCCTGAAGCTTCCGGCCAGGTACATGTGTTTGGCCCGATGGAAGATCCTACGAAGGCTTGCTCTGTTCCGAACTGGTTTGGGCAAATTAGCCGTTCAGGTTCCGGTTTCAGGCAAGGTATGCCCTTTGGCGCTATTGACGCCGCTCTTGGCCAGAGAGAAGCCAGCACAGCCCGGGAGGTCGTTACCACTACGACAAGAAACATGGTTACGGTGTTTTCCGTTGGCATGGTGCTCAGTTGCAGCCACGGTGAGACTTGCCTGCGGCACTTGAAAACCAAGGCCAGATGGCAGCCGCTTCACGGGTGAGTGGCAAGACGGCAAGCAGCATGGTGCTGGCGGTGGGCTGAGGACTCACGGACCACACTTTGCAGACCGCTTCCGATTGTCCAACCTTTGTTTCTCATGTCCTGTCCGTCTTTGTGACTCTGGGACCCAGGAGCGTGAGGTTTTGATATGTCTTGCTTCTGGATTCCTATTTTGACATGAACAAATCAGGATGGCAGGCCTGACTTTAGCTAGCACTTTGATGGGTCGCCGGTCGCCCGACCTGGGCTCTGCAACACGGGAGAAATGACATTGCAAGTGAGACCAGGGTCTTCATCGCTTTCATTCGGGGCGAGCTAGGGTCGTGGCAGAGAGCGATTGAGGAGGAGATGCATGTAGCTGCAACAATTGTTTGCCACGACATCCTTCGCCCATGGGATTGCTTGTCTCAGTCCTGCCGCAGCAAGCTTGTGAATGAAGGACCATCCTTTTCGCGGTGAAACGGGACGGGCCGGATGTACACGCGAGAATGAGGAATACTCTAGAAAAGGAAACCGGGGGCCGGGGGGGGGTCCTCGTCGCCAGTGGAGAATAGTAGAGACTCGTCATGAAGCGCCATCTTGGTCCCATCTCCTGCGCATCTTCAATGCAATTCCACTCGTTTTCAAAGCGTTGTTGGCAGAGTTGAACCTGTCAATGTGGGCTGAGGCTGTTTCTGGCCACCTGGAGCCCTCGAGCCACGCAAAGGCGTTTGGGCCATCGCCTCATGCCGTTGAAACAAGATGTTCGTTGTGAAAAGATGTGGAACTGCACATCCTGAGGAGCATGGGAAGCGTGTTAAGTGGTCTTCGTGAAGGTGGCAATGGAGTTGCTGTGCCGTTATGCTGCATGAGCAGAAGTGTAGCTTCTCAGAGCGTGGCACAACATCAACGGGACAAGTCGCAATCGCAATCACTAAAAGGGGAATTGCTGTGGGCCTGGTGCCTGCCACATTTGCCTGACGTTGGTTGGCCATGCAAGAAAAGCGGGCATGATGAAGGTCAGATTAGTGGAAGATGCCGGGAGGGAGACCCAATCATGAAGACTTACGGTACAAGGGCTTTTCGGGAACATCATGGTGATAGATGACCTCCTAGGACCACGCCACGCAGAGCTTGTGCATAGTCTGCAATCCGTTTCATTCTCAGTGTTTCCGGCGGCAGGTATACGAAAGATGCCCGCGACTGTCTTGGGCCTCCTTGCAAAGCAATGGCCTGTGCAGACTCGCTCGCTGAACCTGAGATTAGCCGTAAGAGCCGTTTTCTGGCCTGTTGATGTTGAACGGCCAACGCATCCGGACTCGCGACTTTCAACTTGATCCGTAATTCCGGATTCTTCACCTTATGGGTTTGCCATCAGAGCGTCAATGTCCTGTGAGGGACTCCCACAGCAGGCTCTGCGGGATGTTTTCAGTTCGGTGCCCCGATCCGAATGCCACATCTACGTCTCTCCAAGGAAAATGGAAGTCAAGGTTTGGGTCCAACTGAGCAGTAGTTTGTTCATGGTTCTTTCATTTCACAGGGACGGAGAGAGGGATGCAACGAAGCAGTTTTCCTGTTTCCACATGAAGGTGGCGATGGGAAAGTGTCGTCAGAATCGAAGGCCTCTAACATGCTCTCACATGCTCCCAGGCATTACACGAAGAGGCGAGGCCGCAGAAAAGAGCGCACGAGCGTCTGCGGGTGTGCTATGCGTGCCTTATTTATGCGTGCACACGGGTCCTCGCTCCATCACTCAAATTCGGACATCGTCTAGTCCACCATCATGGCCTGCTGTGACCATGAGCCATGAGCCAACACGCAGTCCAGGCTTAGATGCCTCCCCGGGTGGATGTACGCGCAACAGGCTTGGATAGTTGTTTGCTTTGGCTTTGCTTGGCAGTGCAAACTTATCGAAACCGGATTGCTTTCGATTCGCGGCCTCCGCGGGCAGTCTGGCTCGATATAGGTGCCTTTGTGCTGATTTGCCCAGAAGCTGCTTCTGCTGCAAAGAAGTAGTCCACGGGTAATTTTCGCCTTCTTTCATTCGCTTTCCAAGTTGAAATCGTGCAAACACTTGCATATCAAGGTCTCATGTCCAAGACTGTGAAATTCGAAGGCCAGTCTTGCTTTAGCAGACAACTTCGCAGCAGATCGTCGTGCCAGGTGTCGGCATGACCTGCGAGGGCTGTTCAGGGGCCATCGAGCGGATCCTCAAGAAGGTGGGCTCGAACCTAAACGGTCGTGTCCATGCGACCCGCATGCCTTCTCGTCTGCGAGGTGGACGGAGTTTCGAGACTTGGCAGCATGACGTTTCTGCTGCCGGGAACAGGATGATATTTCAGTTCAAGGGCAGGCTGCTCTGCTACTCTCTGTCTGATTGCCTGCCTCTATGACGGCCCTGCTGCATGCTAGCGCTGCGCATCAAAGAGTTAGGCCCTTAGTAGACCGTGTCCTGCCCCAAGCCTGCTCGGCAGACTGCTTTGAGGGCGACTCGGCCCCGCGCGCGGCTGGGTGTTCAAACTCAGAAAGTCGCCGCTCTTGCATCCCTTCGTGTTCGTGTTCATGGTCACATGCCGCAGGCACTGCTGATTCCCCTAAAACTTATCTCATGAGCGCATATACGGGTGGCAGAGGAAATACAAGAGCAGATGAGCCGAAGACGCATCGTTGCACCCTTCTGAAGACCAGAAGCTTCTGAAATCTGACATGAGGAAGGAGGCAGCATGACGGTTCACCAATGCGGGAATGAGGCGCTAGAAGTTTTCTTATTGCACCAGCAGGCTCTGTGTGATAATTACTCGTTTGTCGAGTTCCTGTTGACACCAAATCCTGGGGCAGCAAAGATTGCGAAGCCCTGTGTATAGATTACTAAGGAGCATCTCCTGTGACATCGCGGGGAAAGCAGTGACCGTCGAATATGACGACGCCAAGACAAAGCCACAGGAGCGCTGTCGGACTCTTCACGACACTCGTGCACCCCGGCCTCCTGCCCGCAAATGAGGATCTGCCTGCAGGACATGTGGGACAAGATGAAGAAGTGGGCCGATGCTGCTCAGAAGGAGTTGGCTCCCTGCCCTGCTTGATGTGCAGTTGAGCAGGAACCGGCTGCAGATACTCCAGAAGATGTAGGATCAAGGTTATAAGACTTGGTAGAAGGATGCTCATCGGGTGAACCGGCCCAACAACCAGAAACGCCACCATGTGAAAATCACATCGGATGGCCTTGAGGGCGCTTTCCACGGGAAAAGTACGAAGAGGGCCGTTCTGCTCTGCATGCAGCCGCACTGCCAAAGTGTTTGAGTCGTGAGCCGCAGGCACGTCCTTGAGGCCATGGGCGCCAAGGCGGCCGTGGTTGGAATGGGGTTCTAAAAGAGTCTCTGTGTGCCGCGAACCCGTCAGGAAGACCAGTGCTCCAAGTTCGAAAGAGAGCAGAACCTCCCAAAGTCTGTCCGCACGTCCCTTGAGGGAGGCTGTGTGCGAAGAGGAGGTGCTCCAGTCAGACGTCATGCCCTTGAGCTGCATCCACGAAGAGGAAGATGAGGAGACTTCAAGTCCTAGTCATGCTTCACGACGTGGGCCTGGCTGCAGGGGTACGTCCTCCTTCTCTGCGAAGGAGGCATTGACCGAGGTTGTGGAGCCACTTGATGAGAACTTGAACAGGCTGCAGCGGAAGGTGGCTTCCATGCTCGAGATGCAAAGGCGTTCAAGCTCTCAGGAGGACTTGAAAAGTCACAGCTCACGTGCCGAACCAGAGCTCAAGCGTCATGAACGGAGAGTTCACGACGAGCCTGTGGCTGCAGATTATCCCCAATATACCGTGGAAGAGCCTGTCGAGTCTCGTCCATGGCTGGCAAGCTGCCCTTCGCAGCTCAATACCCGCGCCGCAGGAAGCGGCACGCAATGCACGCAGTATCGGGAGCTTCTGGCAGAGCATTACAAGCAGCAGCTGCAAATGCTTGACGAAGAGGAGGCGGAGTTGCAACACCAGATGCAGCTTCGCCAGCAACTCCGTGTCGAATTGCACGAGGAGCAGGAGAGATGTGAAGAAGCTGCAAGGACTGCTGAGCTGGCGGAAGCTCAACCAGGTGCACATGTCGAAGACAGGCAACTGGAGCTGTTACGGAGCTTAGAAGAGCAGCTTCGAATCAGCGAAGAGCGACGGCTGGAGTTGGAACGCGAGAATCGCGTGCTCCAATCACGGATTCAAAAAACCCCCGGGCCCTCTACCAAGAAGCCATCCATGCCATCCGCCATGCCTCGGTCACGAGAGAGAGAACCTCCAAAGGAGGGTTTGGGAAGGGCGGAGCTTTCGAGGAGGGACAAGTCGCCGCCAGCCTCTCACTCTCAGCCCCAGTCGTCTTCTTTTGAAGCGCGGCCCTCACCGACGACGGCGACCCCGCTAACAGCCTTCAGGGCCGCTTCTCCACGCACACAGGACAGAAGTCACCGCCAGGCTGGAGGCTCAGATTCGCTTTGTTTCGTGTTCGTGCCTGGTCCCTGCGTTTCGCAGGAGGTTGATGTCGTAAAGCTCCATAGGCGGATAGAACCGAGGCCAAGCCCTGCTCACCACCGCCGCCTTCGCCTGCGACCGACTGCCGCGCCGAACCGGCATTTGTTTGAAGAGCTTTCTCAGAGACTGCAAGTGGCATTAGGGTGCACCCTCCTGAAACTCTGGAAGGCTGCTGCAGCTTCCGACATCTGATATATCACATTGGCATGTTCGAACTTCAGCTTGAGTGCCGGCAGGGATGCCAGTTGGCTCCGATGTGCCAGGACTTCGGGAAGAAAGTCACGACAACCAGAGGAGTTGCTAAGTTTCAGCATCCGCGCCCCGCTTTGGCCTCAGTTGGGTTGCCCCGCACTTTCAGCACGCCCTCTCCTGTGCTCGTCATGTCGCCGAGCTCTTTCAGGGTTATTTTCACGTGAGGCCCGTGTTGTGTTGCCCGTGCGACCCTCGAGCCCTCGCCTCGGTCCGATTCATCAACGAATCAACGCTCTGGTGAGGGGCTTCTGCGCTTGTCTCTCAGGTCGTCCACGATCAGCTCCTCAGGTCGAAAAGATGCAAGGCCACGAAACCGTCGGCTTTGCGTAAGGTTAGGGTTTGGGGTTTCGGGTTTACAGGGAGTTTCTGGTTTAGGTGTCAGGATGTCGAAGTTTTGCCTGCCCTTCAAAGGTGCACGGCCAGCGAAAGGCCCAGCCTTGACGGTGAAGCTTACGCCACGAGCCTCACTCCCAGCCGGTTGTGTTGGACTCAAAGAAGTCAGGCCTGCAGGCACAAGGTGCCCCTTATGTGTTACCTTGTCATTGACATGACACATGACTAACTGACTAACTTGAATATGTTCCGGTTGGGTACGCTCGAGTTCGCACTCCTGTCATAACCGGGGGCCAACAGGTCCCGATCAAATTCACGGTCAAGCACGTTGTTGGCCGGCAGGACCACTGCCACATCCTGTCTGGCGCCCCAAACCTCGTAGCAAGTAGGCCTTGTGTCATCACCAGAACATGGATGCTCAGAATATAGTTTTTGTGAATCCGCATCTATAGCGAGTGGCCGGGGGCTTGGAGGCTCCTGAAACGAGAAGAAACGTACTTCTGGACGTTTGCAAACCTCCTAAACAAGAGCCATAGCTCTCTGCATTTCTGATTTTTCCTGCTTTTCGCAGAGCTAGCCAAATAAGACATAGCACCAAAACGTGGGAACTCTATTCATTTCTTGTCGGGGAGGCTGGTTATGTGGCTGACGAAGCCGAAACGGCTTCCGGACAGTGTTGCCATGTGCATGCAGACTAGAACTTGAAAAGAGGAAGTGGTGTGCCTGTGTGGCCTGCATGGCGTCCTGGCATCCGAGGTGGAAGCGAGTGGATTCGACGGACGCCTCAAGGCGCTTCGATGCCCTACGTCGTCTGCTCGAGCTCTGCTCGTCCTGTTTGAGCCCCCACATAGTTCGCGAAAATTTGGCGGAAAGGAACCCGAGCGGCCTACAAAGCCTTGCCACTTTGCTGAGGCGTGAATCGGAAAGAAGCAAGAAGCCAGAATCAGAAGTTGCCACCCCCCGAATCAAGCACGACCAACCCACACAGGCCGTCGCTCTCTTCCTTTTTCGGCACTAGTGCAGGAGGCTGCGGCTCCTCTTTCCAGCCGAGTTCGATTGCCAAGCCCGACGGCGAAGCATCTTGGACTGGTCCTGTTTGCGTAAGTTTCAACTCGTTGCTTGAGCCCCGCAGAGCCCAGGATGTCTGAGACTACGATGGCTCCGGATAGCCCGCGAACGAGTTCGCCGGAGGGGCGCACGCTCAGTGAAGGCAGTCGCTTGACTTCAAAAGCACCATGGCTTCCGTTCTGTCGGTGACCAGAGGATTGTGGTGGGGTCTAGTCTTCTTCGGAAGTCCCAGCGCTCGAGGTCCTGCTGCGGTCCCCACCTCGATATATGCTGATGTCCGTGTGCAACAAGAAGCCCTGCCATCTCAGGGAGCGTCTCCTACCTGCATTGTTGCATGATGTTGCATGGTTTATTGTCATTGTGGTTCAGGCACTGCTTAGCTGAGGTTTTCACACTTGGCCAGGGTGGGGTGCCCTGAGCACTCAGTGGCTTAGAAAGGCTTAGCCTAGTCTGAGCATGTGGAGCATGAGGCAGACTTGCCAACATGGGCGATGCCTCAAGTGATCCCAGCCAGCACGAAGGCAAGAAACTGAGCTGGACAGATGCATCATGTCTTGTAGTTTGACGAATTCCCTCCGGGCGCTCCATTGCTGAGATGCAGCTCGGCTCTTGCCATGACTCTTCGCTTGGCTGGCACGATTGATACTGGCGGCCAGTGTTTGAAGTCTGCCTTTGCAACTGTGACTCCTGTTGTTGCTGCACGCTTCCCAAGTGCCACCGTGGTCCGAACCGAAACAACATGCCGATCGAAGCATGTTCAGTTCACAAAGTAGGAAGCCCTAAGCAACTTTGACAGATCCAAGAAGGACCGCCTAAAGATACACTTGAGTGCTTTTCGACACTGCAGGACAGGAGCGTCGGCAGAGACGCTATACTCGCCCCGGCCCTGGCACTGGTATGTGAGAACCTCCGAACGGGAACCCAGAGGATCCAGAGGCCCGGATCCAGCGAGCATTGCCGAAACCCAGTTTCGTCTCTGACGACCTTCGATTCGCTTCTCATTCCGGATCCCCCAAGTGATTCGCCGTTGTCTCTGCAAGTTGTTATGCATTGCACAAAGTGCTGGTAATTACAACCTAGTGTTTGCTGGAGGCTGGGTTCCTACATTGATCTTGGTCCGTCCGAGCTGTGGCTCGAGGGGTTTCCCAGGCAGCTCCTCGTAACTCCGAGGACAACATCCGTTTTCTACCGCCCAACCCTGGATTTTGCTATCTTCTGACATTTCCGGTGGCCTAACCGTTGTTCTGGGCCTGGCACTGGGTTGCCCGGGAATTCCGATGTGACAACCGCATGAGCTGGGCTTGGCATCTGGGATATACCCACTACGTGCCCGAGTGCACAAAATCCGATGTCCTAGCCGCATGAGCTGAGCTTGGCATCTGGCATCATTCAAGATGAGGGTTCTGGGTCTGTGTTGGGTTCTCCGCTAGAACCCCCTGCGTTACTTCTTAACGGGGAGTCCGGATGCAGGGTGCCACTAGGTGCCGAGATACCGAGGAAGAAAAGGAAATAAGTTGGAGGGGCGGAGAAGACAGTTGGGCCACCCCGGAAAGTCCCGGGTGTGTGGCCCTTCGCCTCCTCCTAAAGTTAAAGAGGTTGAGCTGTACGTCCTGACCCTAGCACTCGGAGAGCGCCCAGGGTCGGGCTACCCCCAAGCGAAGCTCGTTCCCAGCCACTTCGTCAGAAAAAGAAGAGAGCGTGTCAGGCGGTAGGGTGGGGGCACGCGAACACGCTCTGTAGTTTTGGGCCGCGCTCACTGTCGCTGCAGCCGGAGGAATGGTGCTTTCCCCGTTGGCCGTTTTTGATGTGCTTCTCCTCTCGGGCTTCCTTCTCTCTCTCAGGTGGGGCGGGATGTCCTGCCTTCTTCTCCTGATTTCCACACGGACAGAGGAATTTCTCATTTCCGTGAGGGCCTAGCCCCGCTGAGCACCGCCATGGGAGATGAAGGAAGAAGCCGAGCTAGCAAAGGGATCGGCCGATCGAGTTGATGAAACATATGAACAACAACTACATAGTCACGATCTCTGTGCTTATTGATCTTTTCAATTCACAACTTGAGTCGCTCTGCGAGTAGAAGGGAAGTCATACGAGTAAAATCAGGCGATCACTTCCTGTGAAACCCACCATCTAACCTTGCATTTGGATAAACAATCACATCAACAAATTCAAACAATGGTGCACGTCAGACGGATTCTTCTGCCACAACATGTCAATCATGTGAACGTTATCCACCCGTTTGAATTGCAATGAGCGAGTGGTCGTGACGATGATGAGGACGAGGGACTCACTCACTCACGCCTGCACCACCCGATGCGAAGATTTATGCAATTTTGCAGATAAATGCACTCATAGACACACGCATGCATGCATGCAGGCATGTGCTCATACATACACACGTACCTGCAGACGGCACATCCGCGTGTATACACATACATAACGCATACATATGCACACACACAGAGAGAATTCATCCATGTCGCATGCAGGCTATGTGAATGAGCTGTGCTCGCTTAAAGCGGCGACTCCGAGGCCTCCGAAGCCGCGGCTTTGCTCCGGGAAGGGCCTCGCCCCTGCCTCAGCCGGAGAGGTTGCTATGCCATGGCTTCGTCAATGTACAGCTCAGGTGTGGCCCTCCCTAGATCTTTCGTGGGGAGAGGCCGGTTTCATCAGCAAGGGATATGCTCAGTAGCTCAGTAGGTTTGGTGGCGACGGAAGCAGCGCTTGCGGTTTTTCTATATTGCAAAATCAGTTTTGGTTCCGTGCCCAGACCTGTATACAAACCAGGGCCCTGCGAGCGCTGAAGTGCGACGAGTGCACCAGCTGCATTAAGTCCATTAAGTAAAGGAAGTGCTAACGAGCGAAGAGCATTTGAAACCGAAGCATGGCTCAGGCTGTGCCGCCTTCTTTGGCATCTTGTGAGGGCTCTACCCCGACCGATTATGCCCCTGGCACGTCGCAGGCAAGTTCAGCTATTTGGCCCAGACATCAGCTCGCATGTTCAGCGACTCGAGGCGATGTGGGCGTCGCATCTTGCGCACGAGCGCGGGAACCTCGGAGAAACACTGTCCAATCAGTCAAAGGGCAGTGCCAAGACAACTGTTGAAAAGCTGGCCTGATGCGGAAGGTTCGGGCACTAGTCGAGCCGGAAGCCCACCTCAAGATCGAGGACTCCTCCGTCGCGAGCTTAAGAGGTTTTGTGCCATGCTGCGCCTTGTTTTGCAGGCTGCTTTTAGCCTGAAGTTGAAGGTTCTTCTTCGATGGCATGTACATCCGCTCGTGCAGCAAGCCCTCAAAAACAAAGCCTGGTGGTCGGGGCCTCACGGTCACGCAGTGAATCGTGGCTTTATTTTTGTTCAATCTCCGTCGAGCTGAATCGACTGAGCCCGCTGACTTCACCGAGCCATTGGCGGTGTCACCTTCCCCTTCAAGCGCGAGGCGTGGATGCTCCAAGCAAAAGATGCTCTTGCACCTACGGCTGAGCCTCGGAGCCTCGCAGAGTGTGGGAGGATCTCTTCCCTCGTGCGCTCGTCTTCGACTCCGCTGGCCGCACAGCTGCACAGCCTGAGGTCATAGCTCGATGATTGAACACAGATTCACACATGTTGTATGCGGGGAGCGGCGAGAACCTACTGCTCGTTCCTTTACTGCCTTTGAGAAGCCTCGTGCCTCCAGGTTGGACAGTCAAGGTGGGCAAGCGATTGGACCTGACATGCCAGAGCTGTGCTTGGACTCGCTCTCGCTCGTTTCTGCCAGGTTTTCAGCTTCAGCCAAGGCTTTGCACCCAGGCGCCGCTTCTGTGCTACAGGCAGTATGGGTAGTTGCTACGCTTGCAACATCTAGACGACCCTGTGGGGTGCAGACCACATGCCTCCTCTCGTGCCCTGTTTCTTGCTTGCTATGCTGGGTTGCTATCTCTAGTTACTAGCAGGCGCACGCTGCATTCTGAACCCAAACCCCAAGTGTTGGAAGAAACGGCCAGGTCTGAAACTGGCAGCTTGAGCTCGAGTTTCAAGCTGGGAGCATTCGACACGCGGGAGGCGGCACGAGCACCTCCACGTGTGGGTCTCCAAATTTGCCAATTACTAGGGGTTGAATCTCTTTGCTGGAATTAAAATCGGCGCGAAGCGCCTTGCCCCAGTACTTCGGCTTTGTACGTGAAGCGAAAAAACCGGCAAACGAACGCCTTAACCGTGCATGTGCCGTGATGGCTAGCATCAGAAGCATGGTCTTGCTTGCTGACGTCTTGAGCTTCAAGCACCCACAAAGTTGACTTCATTCAATCACGAAAGAAGCTCTGCCTTTTGTTTTGCTGAACCTAAAGCAAGTAATTCAGCTGCAGGCTCGGAGGAGTTCCCATAGAGTCGACGTAGAAAGTATACGGCGTGACAGGCTAACAAGTGCCCAGACATGGGTACACAAAAAAGAGACAAGATCCACGAGCTTGCGCTTGTGCGCCTTGTTTGCCGTGTTTCTGCGCATGGCCAGACATGCAGCCCACCTCGAAGGAGACGGCTTCTTGTGTGCATGGGGGCGTCTGCCGAAGCAGTCGTCAGTGCAGTGTCTCGAGCACTGTAGGCGGACGAAGTAGCTTTTGTGCGCGGCCTACTGAGTCTTGCAAATGTCTATCGTCCACATGGACCATAGGCAACAGACGAAGAAAACTGTCTGCAGTGAAGGCAGCTGACATCAGTTGCGAGATCGTGCATATCGTGCCTTATGAAACCTGATAGCATGCTGCTGCGCCTTGCAAGTGTTCCATAGTACTAGAGACTGAGTTCAGTATCGTAGGCAAGGATAGGCAAGCTGTGCACCATCCTTCCTTTGCAGGAGGTCAAAGTGAGGCACGGACAAAGGGCCTGCTTCATTCAACTCGTAGAGCGATTTGGACGTGATCTTGGCATTGTTGCAGCATTGTTGACTAGCTGACGAGGCACTGGACGTGCAAGCTGTGCGAGTACAGCAAAAACACGGAGGAGCTGCAGAAATGCGGGTATGTCCCGGTTTGCCGGTGTGAATCTATCTCTGTCTTTGCTAATATTGTTTTTTGCAATTGCCAACCGACATGTGTCTGTCGAGGCTTGCCAGACTTCTAGCCAACATCTGTATCCACGGCTGATGCTTTCCCAGCATGTTGTTTCAGGGTCTGCAGGCTTCGGATTGGCCTTTGCAGCTGCAGCCAGCAGCTATACCAACATCTCCGTTCGCCGTGCAGCTTCCCACCAAACATCTCTATGATTATGCATTGCGGGTGCTCAGCCAATTCCAATCAATTCGCCTTTCAGGGTTTGCGGGCTTGAATGGGCTTACCATCCTTGGCTGACTTTGCGTCTTAGGTTTTGGTAGCAACATACGTCTACGGGTTGACATCTTCTTCCTCCACTACCACCGCCACTACCACTGTCTCTACTCTTACTGCCACTGCTACTGCTAATGCTGCCGCTCCTGCTCCTGTTCCAGCTGCTGTTGCTGCTGCTGCTCCTTCTGCTTCTGCTGCTGCTGCCGCTGCTCTGCTGCTGCTCCTGCTGCTGATCTTGTTGCTGCCGCTGCTCTGCTGCTGCTCCTGCTGCTGATCTTGTTGCTGCTGCTGCTGCTACTGCTGCTGCTCCTGCTCCTACTCCTACACCTCCTACTACTACATTTGCTGCTACTGCTACTGCTACTGCTACTACTCCTACTCCTACTACTACTGCTACTGCTACTACAACTCCTACTAATACATCCACTGCTACTGCTACAGCTAATGCTCCTACTCCTACTACTGCTGCTGCTACTACTGCTCTTTCTGCTACTACTACTACGACTACTACTGCTACTACTACTGCTACTACTACTGCTACTACTACTGCTACTACTACTGCTACTACTACTGCTACGACTGCCACAGTCACCATGGTTCGCTTCACAGTATCGCAATTGCTATCCCAGCCTTTCCAACAGCAAGTTGAAGGCTCAGAAAGACCTGTGCAGGACATGACTGAATGCAAGAACTGTGGCCGTCCACGTGGCCACAATCCAGAAAGGCCCGACTCTCGTCCGATTGATGAGGCCTCGAACACCTAGGCCAGACCCAACGCTTTGAAAGAGATGCCGCAGGTATCAGCAGCGATTGAAGGAGATTCGCACATGGACGGAGGAGGCGTGACTTTTTCAGTTCATATCAAGCGGCAGTTCGGCCTTCGTATCACGACCATGTTCCATATTGGTTCTTGAGCGGCAATTGGGTTTCAACTCCCTCACCGGTCAAGCGACAAGACGACGGGAGTCGCAAACAACAGCGATGTTCTGGGCGCTTTCTGGGTGTGCCTGCAACTGCACATCCTGCTTGGAGGTGAGAATGTCGATCTAAGCTTCTGATAGGATCTACCCTGAACCCTACCCGGAAACTGCAGGATCTGTTCTGACACTTTCGCGCCGGAAGGATCTTTGCGGAATGCGCTGTTACTCTCGAGAAGCAAAGCCTTGAACGATGAAGGCATGCGTGAATAATGATACTAAAACTACTGGCGATGATGGTAAACGATAGTACCTTTTATTCATGCAACTGTAGTACCAATAGGTAGTAGTAGTAGTAGTAGTAGTAGTAGTAGTAGTAGTAGTAGTAGTAGTAGTAGTAGTAGTAGTAGTAGTAGTAGTAGTAGTGGTAGTGGTAGTGGTAGTGGTAGTGGTAGTGGAAGTAGTAGTAGTAGTACTACTACTACTACTACCACTACTACTTCTGCTACTACTACTACTACTACTACTACTACTTCCCCTGTCATAATCATAATAATACGAACCGTAATCACAGTACTAGAGCTGTTTCACTTGCGATGCATCTGTTCATCGTGCATGAAGCCCCGGGTTCCCTACTGTGCGGCGTGTGTAAGAGGGTAATGTCGCGACAGATTCAAGCAAATAAAGCGTACTTACGACTTTTGAGGCTTGCACCGTGATAGAGCTGGCAGCTGTCACGTAGCAACCGGATGTGGTTCAAGCGCAGGATTTTGTCTTAGTCTTATGCTTGGTCTGCTATAGTGCAGGACGAGCCAGAAGAAGAGGGCGGAATCGTGGAGTATTGCGGCCTCATCGTAGGTCCCGTTCCCAGAAGGTGGAGGTTTGCTCCGTGCCGGACAGCTTCAGCTAGGGCCTTCTTCCAAGGTCTGTTCATCCTTCTCCTTATCATTGCCATCCTGGTCTGGGCATATTACCAAGATCAGAAGGCGGGTCGGCCTTCGTGGATCCCCAGCTCGCTTTTCTGGGTTGCGATGAGTTTCATTTTGTGTCGGAGCAGCGTCAACGATATTGACCGTTATACGTAGACCCGAAGCACAATTCTGTGATCTTGACCGGGACTGGTCCATCTCATCGCATCACGACGGTGCAGGAACATATTGAACAGGGCTGCAAGCAGGCCATCGACTGCTAGAGTGCCAGAGCTGTTTTCATCTCGCTGGAAGGTTCTAAGACACGACGAGCTGCCAGATGAGGAGTTGTAGTCCTGACTCCAGCCAAGTTCGCCTCTACTTCTGTGGCGATTAATAGCGCCCGCATTCGAGTCAAACGATCCTGGCTTGATGCAGAGACCTTCAATTGTCGCAGACGTTGTTCCCTCTCACTGCACGAAGTGGCGAAGCCTCGTGCAGCACAAGGGAAAAAGAGTCAACGAATCTTGCGTCAACTCAGCCGACTCTTGATGGTGAACAAACACTCGACGTGTGCGTGCTTTCCGGGGGTTCACGCTGCTCAGAGGTTGGGGCACCTTCCTGCAAGGCTTCCTGCAACCCGTTCTTGAGATGCAGAGGGGCATGCTTCATACATCAGTGTCGTCTTTGCTGAGATTATGATTCTGCCTCTGTCGAGCGTTTGCGAGCTTGCGTTCTCTGTATTCATGGATATTTCCAGCTCCGAAGCCGAACAGAGGTGGTATCTTCGAGAGGGGTCCATGGGTAGTTCCACTGTCAGCTCGGACATCGGGCACACACTGAGCATCTCGTAGGCAGGGCACAGGCGACAAGGATCGTATTCATGTCTACTTATGCTGTCACTAGTTGCACGCCCAAGCTTACGACGAAATATGTAGATAACTTCGAAGAGGTCCTGGATGCAACAGGTGCTCAGAAAGATGCTGTGTTCGCGACTGTCTCGAAATGAAGCAGAGCCTGGCCACAGCCCGTTTCGGCTTTCGGACGCCCCTTCCAGCCTCTGAAAATCAGGACCCTAGATTCTGGCCCTAGATCCTGCTGCCATCGAGCTGCTAGCTGCTAGCGGGCAGTGTAGGGGTAGAGGAGAGACACAGCAGTACAACAGTTGCATACAGTTGGGTTTTGAGGACCTTATGCCCGACTTCGACGACCAGAAGGCAGGGCCCTTCGGCCTTGCAACAGGAGCGGGCGTGTGCGACTGTCAATCTCTCCACCGCTTCTGTTGGTGTGGGAACTCTGTTGTTCTCTTTACTTGTTTCCTTCTTTGTCTCGCTTTAGCACTGAGGCTCTCGCTCTCTTTCCTTCCTGACTCCAGCGCCTGCCTGTCTGTCGGATGATGGTTCAGAGCCTTTTCGTCGGGAATGTAAACATCGACGGAGCGCAACGCAACATGTATTACGGCCTGTACGATAGCACGCAGCATGGTCCCAGACATCACGTGCTGCACTGTAAGACAATGCATGTGCCATGCACCGCAGAAGTTTTAAGCCTGATGAAGCAGAGATAACGGCTCGCAAATCCCTTTGCTGTGCGAGCCTTCGGACAAGAGTGGAGTCAGATGATTTCAAAAGCATGAGGAAAAGCACACCGAGACCGCGACCGTGTGCCCGCTGCCCAGCAAGTGGTGTGAACGAGACCTTGAGCTGATTTTCTTTCATGGTTGCAAATTGCAAGTCGCTTGCAGGTGCTGTGCTATAGATGACGACCCCGATGCATCTGACGACGACTGGGCCCTGCAGGCGCACTGAGTCAGATGACGTAATGGACTCGCACATGTCGAAAGACAGCTAATCGTGCTGATTATCAGCTCTAGATCCACAGCCTCGAGATTTGCAGGTGACATATATAGTCCATAGATATTTGTCATGTTGAGTTCTCCTACTCCCACTCCTTCTCCTCGGGGAATGACCGGGGTCGGGGTGATGGATGAAGTTATTGTTGCGAGGACTGCACGCGAGGAGTCCAGGCAGGATGACAGCCAGGGAAGCCGCGGGCGGAATTGGCAGAGTGACGCTTAAATTTCAGGCCTCCTGCAGCTGTTGAAAAGAGCACGAGTTCGAGGCTGGATGAAAGGGCTTTGCCGGACGGACAGTTTCTCATGCACTCGGTTTCAATGCTTCAACACTGCCCTACATATTCTCCTCGCACACCGGTTCAAGGCTTCAAGGTCTCCGCAATCATGGGCTCAAGAGAATCCTGGAAAAAGCGCCAGCGGTGGCCCAAGTTTCTGCAAGACTATGCAAGACTTCTTCTGCGATCAGGAAGTGAGTGAAGCAAGTGCTTCAATAAGATTAGGATCATACGAGTGGGTGACCCCAGGCAGACAGCAGGCGATGCAACAGAAGGGGGGGGTTTTTGAGCTAAGCGAGCTTTTTACGGTCGTGCACAGTTGGAGTCGGTGCGCAGCGCGCAAAAAGTCTAACCACACGAAAAGGCGAAACACACCAGACAACCGCGAACCAGAGGAACACCGCGAGCAACACGACCAACGTGGACAAACAGTCATAGTCATAACATGCTATGACTATTACTATTACCATTGCCATAACAATTACCATTGCTATTTGTTCGCAAGGTCTCCACAATCGGGTTTCCTTCCATCCTCCCGCTTGGCACCAAGTTCTTGGAGTAGGGCCTTGCACAAAGAAACGAAAGAGCGATCGCTGAAAAAACTTGACAGGCCATGGGTTCCAACAAGTCTTGAAAAAAGCGGCAGCGGTGGCCCAAGTTTCTCAGGATGGGCAGACGCAGCAAGGGTAGCAGCAGGAAGCAGTCGCGGCCCAAGTTTCGGGCAGCCATCTTTTGGGCTCATGCGAGTGAGTGAACCTTGGCAGACAGTAGGTGATGCAACAAAAGGGGGTGGGTTTGAGCTAAGCGAGCTTCGTGCCGTCGTGCACAATTGAAGTATAACAACACGACAAGGCGAAAGAAACAAGACAACCGCGAACAAGAGGAACAATGCGAACAACAGGACCAACGCGGACAAACAATCATAATGACTATTACCATTACCATTGCCATTACCATTACCATCACTGCTTGTGCGCTGTTCCGCAGTTCTAGCATTTTTTGCTCTAGCGTTTTTTCACGTTCTTCGCTGTTGTGTCGTGTAACACTACAACGATGTTTACTAGTTGTACTATTACGTTTACTACTATTTTTCAAAAAACCATTACCATTACCAGTACCATTTTCTATCGCTACTACTGTTCGGATTATTACGTGCCTTGCACGAAGTGCCAATAATGACAACCGTGTGTTTGCTAGGTATTAACTATGCTTTGTCACAATAATACCATCATCACATGCGGAAGCGGAGTGCGTTTTCTGACTAAGTCTATGGGACATGCTATCCATGACATTAAACCCTAAACCCTCAGAGCCCTTGCAATGCAATCCCCGAACCTTGAGTATAAAATCCCTGCTGAAGCCCTATTCTACCCGAAACGACCAAAGTCATGAGTCCTTCAAAATGTGTGATAAATAAAATATCTTTGGTGCAACAAAGCCCTGCCACTGTGATGCTCTGAAGGTCTAGTTACTTTTTTTTGGATGCCCTGCCCCCCTCCCAAGGACAGCCGGGAGTTACACAAAGAATCAAGAACAAGCCCCCAACAAGCACTTTCCATGTGAAAACAACAGCCCAGATCGAGGCTACAGGAAACAAAAGCCAGGCTACAGGAATCAACCAACAGAGGTTTTGAACTACGATTACTATTAGTGTTACTGCTATAATGATCACTACTATTGCTATTGGGTTTATGTCTATTATTACCACAACTACTACTATTATTGCTGTTACTACTGTTACTACGGCTATTACTAATAGTATCATTGTTACCATTACTAGTATTACTACTATGACTATGATTTTTTTGCCACTATTGCTAGTATAGCTACTATTACTATTATTATTACCAACACTGCTAATGCTATTACTACTACTAATTTCTACTGCTGCTTCTGCTGCTGCTGCTGCTATTACTACGTTTACTACTAGTGCTACTACGATTATTTGTGCGCGTATTTCGAGGATTATCACTATGATTACCAATATTACCATTGCTTGTATTGCGACGTCTGTTGCTTCCGCTACTGCGTCAGGACGAAAGTTCGTCGCATCGGGTAGGTCTGTTAACATATACTTGCAAGCCCTGTTCCCCCATAGACTCCTTCACGAAGTCTCGATGTGAGGCCCGGAGGTCACGAATTCCTCCGTCGGAACAATAATAGTAAATGTTTATTTTGGCATCGCAATTCCTCCGCTGGCCAGGCCACGTAAAATGCAATTTCTCGTAGTCCGAGTCCTCCGCCAAACAATACATCTTAGTGCGACAAAACTTTCATCCAGCTGATGATGTATTGCTATGGCTACTGCTTTCTCTTTTGAAATTGCTATTACTGTTGCGAATAGTAGTACTAATACGATTACCATTACGGTTGCAACTGATGTCGCTATTGCTTTTCTTTTGCTCTTTGTCTTACACTTACTCCATTCTTACTCCAACTCTCACTCTTACTCTTTCTCTGACTCTCACTGTCACTTTTACTCTTACACTTAATCTTACTATTAGTAACTTTTACTGTTTTCGTTGTTGTTTTTTGCCAGTTAATGGTTTCCTGCGTTTTGTAGTTTTTGTTGTCGTTTTCGCGTTTTCTTGGTTTTCGCATCTTCGCGCTTTTGGCGTCCACCTTTGTGCCTCCGCTTAGCTGAGACGCACAACGCATTTCCACAAAGTTTGAGCAGATGGGCAGAACGAATGAGAGGTCACTTGCATATATCAAGTGGTCGCGTCAGGGGTTCGAGCGTGAGAAGCAGGAGTTGGTTGAGGGACAAGCTGAGTTAAGGAGTGAGTACGTAAGTGAGCGTGAAGTGTGGAGAGGAGTGGAGAGGCCGGTCGAATGAATCAACAAAGCGGTTGAGTTTCCGTCAATTTCCTTCACCAAAGGTGGCGTGCTGCCACGGCTGCCCTTTGGGAGGCTTGAGCCTTGGCAGGGAGAGCAATGAGCTTCACCCGGCTCCCTTAGCTCAATCTGCTGTGCCCCTTGAATACAGGCAGTCTAATATCACGCAGAGTTTGTAGAATTTTGGAATGGCATAAATCAAAGTCGACATACAACCAGTCATATAAAGCCTCCACCAAGTGACCAGACCAGAGCAGTGCATAGTAAACGAATTTCACCTGCACAACTGCTGTTCATTCATGTTTTGCGGTCGACATGCTCTGAAGCGCACACGGTTCGTTTTCACTTATCTGCCTGAAGACTGCATTGCCAGTTGGAAGGCTTTTTGGCGATTGAGGTGGCCGTGAAGCTGTAATGGTAAATACATGTTGGCCCTCAATCCAGGGAGCATCACCTACACAACTGTTCACGTTGTATCCACAGGCTTCATCTATCAACCCAAGGTTTTGCAGAGGTTTCCCCGTGTTTTGGTTTGAGTATGATCCCTACTCATGCAGATGCAGAATCGCCAAGAAGTGGCAAAGCCATCATTCCCAAATGACACGACATAGCAACAGTTCATACACTTGGCCAGATTTCTCAGTGATATCTTGGACTTCAAAGCTCCAGCACCTAAGCTCGAGAGGTCCGATGCCATATCCCACTGCTGAGCTAGATCTCCGTAGCTTACCTTGAGCTTTGAGCTACGACTACGAGAACCCGTTTTTGGGGACCCTACCAAAAACATCCAAAAACTAGGCCAAGGTAGCTCCCAGAGTCCAGGGCTGCAGAGCCCTGGAATACTTGCGGCGCAGGCGGCTGCACTCGAAGTGGGCTATGAGGACGGGACATATCAGCTGGGACTGCTTAGCTAGATCTCCGTAGCTTACTTTGGGCTACGACTACGAGAACCGGTTTTTTTGGGACCTTACCATAAACTGCTTGCAGGCCAAGGTAGCTCCCAGAGTGCAGGGTTGCAGAGCCCTGGAATACTTGCGGCGCGGGCGGATGCCGCAGTCGAAGAGGGCCCCCCCCCAGACTTGCTGGCTGTGCTTGTTCCGTTACCATCAGCCGAGTGGCCCCAAAGCGAGTCACGGGGTCTTCCTAAGATCCAGCATGCAACCCAAAACACGAGGCAAAATCTATGCCTAGGATCCGGGCGCGGGCGGTTCTCGGGTTGACGTTGTTTTGTAATTGTTTTGGGCTCGTGGACTCGTTTTCCCACCGACTTTAGGTCTTGCTGTCAATGGACCTGTCTATGCCAGGTCGTGCTTTCTTCTGGAACCGGGCGTGGCACTCACGAGAGCACGAATTGTGAGAAAAAACAGCAAGGACGTGCGAGTAGTTCGTGGCATTTCGTGGCAGCTGACGCGTCCAGGTAAGTCCAGGCTTGCGAATTTTTCAGTCAGTTATTTGGGGAATCAAACAGCGGCGAATCCGTTGGAGGGTGACGGTTGATGATGGTTGTTTCGTCATGATGCACCACGTTGCTGATGATTGCGACAAGATCACCTTGCCTTCTGTGACTGTCGCTTCCTAATCGCGAGCTTGATGGATGTGGCCAACCTGTCTGCAGCAATTTCCTCCGAGTCCCTCCATCGCTGTAAGAACAATCCTGGTCCGACACATCACGGTATTGCTCCAATGCCGAACACATGTTTCAGAGGTGAGCAAGTCTGCAGCATCTCATGAGGACGACAAGGACAGCATGGGGTGTGTAACAAGTGTAATTGCAGACAGATGTGCGTGCATCGTTTTGATCTTCTTAGTTTCTATTGGGGTGATGCAAACTTATCAGCAGTCCTCTCTCACGTCCAGTGGCTGGCTAACTCTTGGTGCGGGCACGACGTGACGTGCATGCACGACTGCCTTTGCTTGGCTTTCCTCCTGGCGGGCAAGCCGCTGATGGGTGCGCCCCGTGCCCAATCCTTCGCTGTTGCGCAAGGCCGGCTGTTCCAACTTTTCAGGCTCCGAAAGCCGTACGCCGTAGGAATCACAGCTAACGTCTGAAGGTGGCCCATTGCTGCTGGCTCAGTCTGGAGAGCTTTGTGAAAGACACATCTCCAGCACTTGTCTACTTCGTCTCAGGGCCGCGCCTAAAGAGGGTGAGATCCCGCGAGCGCAGTCTTTCACAACTGGCCGCTTTGGAAGAGGTGCAAAACGAGCAGATTTCAGGTGTTCTGTGACCCGTTGTGTGACTGTTTCAAGCTCCAGGTGAGGATCCGGGGAATCCGGGCAAGTTGCGCGGCCCTTGGCACAATCGCCTGATGTGCGCACGAATCAACCACGCTCAGCATGTGATGTACCGCCCGCCATAGGCGTGAGGCCATCGTCTGTTGCTTGCTGGAGCTGGTCGCTCGCTCCCGCTCTGGCTTCCTCGCTCGCTTGTGCTCTCTCTCCTTCCTCTGTGGCTCTTTCGCTTACGCGTTCTCAGCCGAACTCGCTCGCTCTTTGTTGCTCGCAGTATGCTCGCCCTCCATCCTTCGTTTTCAATAGTAGCAGCAGCATCAAAGCAAGACAGCGGCAAACCCCTCATCGGACTAATTGTGATTAATTGGTTCGCGAACGAAGGGAGAGAGTGAGTGATGGAAACAATGGGTGAAGAGAGTGGATCTGGAAGTTTGTTGGTGACTAAGTCGGTGGAGTGCGGGCTGAATTTCCTTTGGACAAAGCCACAGATCTTACTACTTACTGCATCATTTTGTAAGTTTGGAGAGCCCATCCAGACGAGGTCCGCGGCAGCTCAGCAGGACTCGTGGGAGCATGTTGGTTGTTCTGTTACTTCCTCGGCCTTCCTGCTGTCGGCCCCGACTCAATCGAATTCCTGCCAGACCGTGCAGGACGCTGCATCTTCCAATTTGCTCGTGCCTCATCACACCTGGGTATGAACCGGCAGCCAGTCGAATGATTTTCGGCCCCCGTGTTGCTGGAAATAACGCAGTTTATTGCAGCTAACTACAGTCCGGGACCTTGAGGCATATACGTTGCTCGACTACAGGTGGAAGTTTCTCCCGCTTGAGATGCACCAATCCTCACACGCGGGCGCATAAATCTCTTCGCCCATCCTCGCCCAGCATTACCCGGTGCGGCACCATGCCGTATTGTGCTGTCGCATCGCTTCGCATCGTGGTCGTATGTATATGTATCTTGGCCATCCGAGGCTGCTGTCGATCGTCCCAGCATCAGTGTGCTGTCTTTTGTCGGGCACGAGGCCTACTGCCGGGCCTGCTGTGCCACTCCGGCCTACAGAGCTACGGGAGCTTAGTACCGAGGCGAGGCCACAGGGGATTTGAGCATGAGTCGCTGAACTCTTCGGCTTGTGGTTTGCGCAGCTCCGCACATGTATCATTGCATAAGAGGGTGTAGTTCGACTCGTCGACATGGCGCAGCTATCTGAGCTACACAGGTATACATGGATGTGCCACGTGCCTGGCAGGTCCCGCGAGAGCCTTCCTGGCCCTCGGACGGGCCTTCGCTGGAGCCCCAGGGCTTAAGCGAGCGGTGGAGAAGTGTGAGTTGGCCTTGGAAAGGTCCTGGAAGCAAGCGCAGGCCTCAACACCGACCTCCGTCTCCTCAGGAGCTCAGGCAGCTGCTGGTGAAAGCCACACATCCGGTACCGCACAGGCTCGGGGAAGCCTTGACAGCGACATGCCACTCTGTGAGATGCTGGCAGGGCTCCCGATCAGACAACCCAGCATGGGAGGCTTCGCCGAGCTCCAAGGCAGGGTGAAGCCTGTCCTCCTCCCGGCTCTCAGCATCCTGTGTCACTTGTGCAGGTGGAGGCGGTGGAGGTGCCTGAACCCGGCAACAAACACAAGTGCACGCCGGTAGCTCAGTGGCTTATTGAATTCTTTGTGACGGCATCCCTTACCCGGTCAGTCTTGGAGTCTTGGAGGCCCAAGAATCCATTCTGGGTGCAGCCCGAGGTTGCGGCAAAGCTCAGCAGATCGAATGACCCCTACCCTCTCGTCTGGAGGTCATTCAGAAGAAGCCGAGTTCTCGCAGGAGCCGCTTGGGCCACCACCAAGAAGGCCTGGAAAGCTTCAGCTTTCCAACATCCTCCAGACGCTCGCCGTAACGCCCCATGAGAGGTTGCGATGGCCTGAATCACTACCTTTCTGGAGCCACATCCTGATTCTCGCTGTTTGCAGTCTACGTTCACTTCAGTCAAGATTGCTTAGGGTGGCATGAGATATTGCTTCTGGTTTGAAAACGGCAGCATACTGTGACCCTCTTGAAGTATGGGTCGCCCTGTGCCTCTTCCCTGTCGTCGGATGAGCTAACTGCCAACTTGCACGCGGACTCGATCGGCCCGCTCATGGAACAGGTACGATCCCCAAACCCCGCATTCCATACACGGAAAACTGAAAAGCACAGAAGCAAGCAGGACGGACGATTCGCAAGGGCATTACTGGGTGTGGTCTGGTCTTCCATGTTTTCGCACGCTGTCGTCGGTGGTCCTCCTATTGATTGTCCTTGTGCGCTGTCATCTGTCACTTTACAGCCCCACCTGACCTGTCTTGCTGAGAGTAGCAAGATTCCTCCGCGGTGTCAGATGCACCTTACCTTTCCATACCTTTCCCTTGTAAAGCGACTTGACACTCCACATCACTGCGGCGCATCACGCAGAGACACGCATGTGTGCGAGCACACATCAAATTGCTCAGATGCATACCACATGTCTTTGTGGCGCATTACATCGTCAGACTGCCGAGGCGGGTCTGCTGCGGTGTCTCAGTGATGTTGTCGATGCCGGTGATCGAAATCACGAGATTGAAATTGCGGAGGACTGCACCTGCATGTGACATGTCGTTCGGTTCCAGCCCAAACCGTTCCCGCGAACGTAGTGCCCTCCTGGCCTGACCCGAGCTAGGAAGAGCTGACGACGGTGCATATAAGCAGCTGGGAGCAGCGCCTGGACTGGAGAAGCTTTCTCAGCGAGGCATTCGTGATTCGAGTTGTGTCGAGACTTGGGCTTTGGCGCCAAGCCGTTTGCGTGCTGTCGAGGCTGTGGCTTCAAGCCTGGCTCGACAAGCATTCATGAATTTCGATGTCGAGGCAAGGGACTGTTCACTGCGGAATCCTGCAGCTCATGCAGTGGCATGCGACTGCAGGCGGAGCCTCCGGCATATGCACGACCACCTCCGTCCTCCAAAGAGAGTGTCCCTGCCTCAGCTTGCGGGGAATCAGCAAAAGACACCGCAAGAAACTCAGAAGCTGTGCTCAGTCGAAGCAACAGACCGGCAACCGGTGCGTTGCACCCAATGGCTCGGGTGCGGTGCCCAAGAGCAAGAGGGGCGTCGAGGGTGCCGTCGTGTTCTTCACTGCGCGACGTCATGCCGTTTGCCAGGATGGATGCCCAGCTGAGTCGTTGAGTCAGACATTGCCTGTGCAGCCCAGTCAGCACATTTCTCTTCACAGTTGTCGAAGCTGTCAACACTCATCATTTTGCGAGAGGCAGCTTTCACTCCGAGTTTCACCTGACGACAACCTAGACACAGATGCCAAACACTCTTTGCACTGCTTGCCGGTCCTGGAAAGCCGCAGAGTGGGTAGCAGCCACATGGCTTTCGGGTCCAGGAGCCTTGCGGAATGAGACGAAGGTACACGAGGCTGACGGCAATGCGCTTTCGGCCCATCATGCCAGAAGTCGGCCACGTGCCACATGACTACCTCGCCTGCTCCATGAACCGAGACTGTCACCAGCTGCATTGTCTTCTCGAGTTTCGAGAAACACAGCATGCACTAGAGGTATCCGATGTCGAGCTCCATGTGTAGACATATGACCAAACTAACGTTTGGTAGAACCTCAAAGCAATAAGCTTCCACGACATTGTCCGCTCGGGCCTTGGAGACATGTCCTGGCCGCGGCCTTACCGTGTCGGAGGTGGGAGAAAGGAGGCATGCTCCTGAAGTCTGGTCGGCCCAGTTTGCCCAAAACCTCAGCGCAAATCGAACGAACTTGATGTGAGTCACCGTTTAGCTTAAACCTGGATGCCAAAAACATACTGAAACGGAAACCTAGTCGGCGTAAGCCCGAGGTATGCCGGCAAACCTCCAGATTGGGAGGTGTGTTGGGACTTTGCGAATCGTGCTGCCCTTTGTGGGTCTTCGGTTCGACACTGCAAATGGGTTACAACGTTCTTGTGGCAGCGTGTTAGCGTTTTGGATGCCTTCGATCCAGCAAATGGCCTTTCGAGATGCAAGGCCATAAGCAAGGCAGCACGTGGAACGGTGGGCCCTATTCTGAGGCGGAAGGGTTCGACAATCAATTGGACCGCCCTCTTCGTTGTACGCGCAGGCGGTGGAGCCTTCCCCGGAGTCCTACCAACCATGGGCTGACGCTCAGCCGTGGTTTCCACCGCCGCAGCCGCAGTTCTGGCCTGCCATCGTCTCAGTCCTGACGTCAGGAGTAGAAATTGACGGTTCGTATGCACTTGAACCTGAGTTCTACTGCCGCAGATCCACTTTAGGACCCAACGTGGGAATACATGCAGCTCCTGCAGATGCAGGTGCCCAGCTCGAGCTTTAAATTCATTGCTCGCCTGCGATTCTGCACATCCTGGCTCATACTGCGCGATTATATGTGCCGGAAGAGGTGAACATCAACCAACTCGGCTAGTACCACCAACTTGGGCACAGAAGATCGAAGCACATGTGCCCAAACACGCTAAATGCAGAGAGTCCGGCTCTGAATGGGGACTGTTGCATCTGGAAAACCTTCTTCGCATAAAGTGTCACTACAAGAAGTTTTCGACTTGTCATGGAGCATGCACCTTCTCTCCTGTTCTGAATCTGCTTCTGAAGCACGGAATTGCTACAAGCTGGAGGGTGACGAGGTTGAGCTCGTACTAACTCGACCTTCCGATCCGACCGCCGCCTACCTGGGCGGCAAGCTGACTTATGCAAAAGGAGTACAACCTCTCGAGCTCATGTCAGTGTGTTTAATGCTGTTTATGCGATGCCGGGCACCCTCTCAAATGAAGGCATCGGCAGCCAGAAGCTCTACCATGCCCAGACCTGTTCAAGAGACGGACTCCGTCGCGCTGGGCTCGGAATATCATTGCAGTATCTTCAACTCTACTTAGGCACACCTTACCACACGATGGTTTGTCGTGTTTCTGTTGCACCGAGGCCCTGCCGCCATCTTTGGAAAAGCGGCTGCAGGAATTGAAAAGCACGAGTCTCAGCTTCGATGGGAGCGAGCCGGAAGGCCTACAGTAAGGCCTAAGCATGCCTAAGCAGCGAAATCCTCGCAAGGCAACAAAGCGGCAAAGCCAGCCGCACCGCCACCACCCGACAGGGAGCGCTCTTCAAACACGTCAGTGAAGTACTTGCAAACTGCCCGAGCTGCGACAAAAACTCCTCGCAGGAGTTCGAGGGCAGCCTCAAGTCCCTCAGTGACAGGCGCAAAGTCGTGCCATGCAGCGACTGCATGCAAGGAAGTCTGTAGCTCCCTTGAAAGTCCCTGCGCATCTCGAGGCATGGCTATGGCTTCATTGCCTGTCAGGATGTACATAGGACACCACTGCTTGCCTCATTCAGCAACTATCGTCGCATCGCGCTGAGTCCGTGGGGCAGGATCTACGGTCGAGACACGTACGTCCCGAAGGATCGGATCACAGGTTGCTTGCATGTACACTGCGGGGGGTAGCTTCCGTTTCACCAGGACCTCGTTCCTGAAGACATCAAGGCACATCTAGCCAGTGAGTTGGAGTGAGTGGTACGGTATCATTCGTGATGAGATTGTGCAAGGTATTGGACAGAGCCTGCTGCCCTGCTTCTGCTTTTTGAGCTTGTTTCGCTGCTGATGTTGTAGAGCGGCTGATAGTGGCTGCCTCCTCTCAACGGAGGTGATTTTCAAAATTGGCCTCAGCAAGAAGGGCCACCCACAGGCTCGGGAGAGTTTGTGGAGTCTTCTGGCCAGCAAGATTGCAAGCCACAGGTAACGCAGATAAGACGAGCCGCCGTCTGAGACAGTTGTTGCGCTGCAGATCTCATTAGCCATCATTAGCCTCTCAACACGCATCTCAATGACACACGCTGAGTCTATACGTTTTTGTGTGGTGGTTGTGAGGCTCCGATTGCACCGGACTCGCCTGAGAGTTGATGCATCTTTTCCAAGCGGAGAGACTCGCCTCGGATGTGGAACCAGGCGACTGTTACTTTAGGGGATGTGGCTACAGGTTCTCTTCTATGTCTCGTTGGCAGGTGTAGAACATCAGCTAGCTGCTGCATGCTGTATGCTGTTGCCACATCCTCTCTCCTCTGCGTGACGTCTCCACGACAAATCGTTTCCTGTAGCCAGCAGCGTAGACACATCTCCGTCTTGCGGAGTTGAAAGCACTCGGGAGATCTCGGAAACTTTTTGTTGCGCAACTTGCAGCAGAACAATCTACTGCCAGGGGATGATGTTTAAGGGTTTAACGCTTTCTGCGTCGACCTGCATGCAGTCAGTCTACCGTACGGCAGCTGTTTTTTGTTCAAGCAGCAGATGTCCCGCAAAGGCATTCCACAACAGGAACAGGTGAGCCTGCCGATTTGTCATGAGCCATGAAGTAAGACTAGTAAGACTGAAAAAAGCTAGAAACATCGGCGGCCCATTGTGACAATGGCGCCCCTGTCAGCTGGATCTCTGGCACATGCACTGCGAGGCCAGAGTGGGAGACGTTTTCACTATCACTATCCTTGGCCCAAGATCACCACATTGTCACATTGTCATGATATCACAAGAAGCAATTAATATCCGGGTATAATGCTGCCGAATTCCGAGTGACTGATGCAGTCGTGCTGCCGGTCAGCTTCGAAGAGATGGCGCTGAAAAAGCCGGACGCCCTCCTAAGCTTGCAATTCGCGTGAATCGGACAAATGCAGCAGCATCATGATGTTAGGGCATGGCGTGCAACGTCATGACATGTAAGGAGCCTGTCGATGATTTCTGGGTCAAGGACTTCAATGAGTGCATCGGTCTGCCTTTGCCGCTTTGCTTGCTGTGTCTGATAAGTTGCCAGTCACGCAGGAAACCAAAGGCTACGATCTCAGCCCGTATGCGGACGAACTGCCACTCTGCGAGGTCGGCATTCTATGCAGCTTGTGGGTGCTGCAGTGTTGACACACTCTGGCCCCAAGGATCTTGATCCCGGCATGGTGGGGAACGGTGGCTCGTGCTGGAGCACCTGTCAAGGGTCCGGTGCACCAAGACATGTCATTGCTGGGGGATATTTGCGACCTGCAGGCAGTGCCCGAACGACGTACTGAAGCCTGGGTGAAAAGCTCAAACTATAAATTGCTCCAATCGTGCCTGACTCATCGAGCACGAGCAAGGTTGGCTTTCGACTTCGACGAGATCAGACCCGGACATCCAGGAGTCGCGACAGCTTAACCTTGCATTTTGAGCCTCACATTCCTAGCTTCCGGGCATTGTTGGCTCCGGTCACTTAGACAATCAACAGATCAGGCCCGCCACCACAAACATGCCTATAATAAAGGTCGGCAGCATGCTCGACCGCAAACAGTCGCTCACACTGTTTCAAAGCTGGAGGTCCACTGGCCATACTTAGAGTTCAGCAGAATCAGCAAACAAAGATGCAGTGCCACCGCCCACCGTTGTTGTCATGTACTGCGTAGTCCTGAGCCAGAGGAATGACACATTGGATTCCGTGACTGTCACATTTGTCATCTGTTAAGCTGCAGAGCAGAGCATTGCACCACCTCGCCCAGATCTAAACAAATTGTGCTGCAAGCCTACAACGATTAGGATTCAGCATGACAGGATGCACCTCCCATTTCGAGTGTGTCGGAAATTTCGTCCAAGCCTTATCGACATCAGGGGACGTGCATGTCATTGCTTGCCAATATGCAGCTGTGCAGATCTTACTCTGAGTATCACGGCGGGTCGCCTGAGAGCTGAGGATCGGGTGCTTTGTCATGCTGTGCGGGCAATGGATGCCCTGGGCTTGATGCCGCAAAGAAGGTTTATTTCGTGGAGTGTCCTGACGGCACGAGGAAGATGCACTGGAAAACTTCGGAACCAGGGCGGAGGTAGAGGCCTGTCAGCTGTGCTTGGCGGAAATTTTTTTGTTGCGTGAACCGAAGGATTCTGAACAGATGGTCGAGTCATGTTCCACACTCTTACGCATTTGGCTATCTGGGCAGGACTCGATTCCGGACGTGGGGGACGTGGTTCCCTCCATGTTGCCTGTATTTGCATGTGCTGGCCTTACCGCAGGGAGAATTCTGTGCCATTTCCGTTGTGGATTCGCGGGAGAGACTCCCTCCAAGGAGCGAGCACCCCGCGCTTGCAATCGGCTTTTAAAAGAAGCCCACACACCCACAAAGCGTGGCCTCACTTCTTAGGGTCGCAGTTCTAGCGCCGGAATCGGGGAACAGGGAACGCATTTGCTTACCCTCCGGCCTCGGCAGATTAGCCTCCACTTCGGACTTCACGGAGCATCCATTGTGTGCTTCAGATGCCGGTATGCAGACAAGACTTGCTAGCAACACTCTTTCAGTAGAATAACTCGATTCCAACGAGGACGCCCAGACACCGTGCACTCACAGCCCCCACATGCCCCACCACCAATGCGACGCTTGACATGCAGGATCCACGGGTGATAGCGACCGTCGTGCGAAAAAGTCTGCTCTTTGCACAGACATGAACGAAGCATCGCCAAGTTGGATTTCGTCACGCGGCCTGCTTCTAGGAATATCTAACTTGCGCCTCTGCGAGGAATGTGAGCAGGTTCCGGTAGTCAACTCCCAAGTATGTGGGGGATCCGAGATCCTGCTGATTTTGGATGAAATCCCTTCGGAAGCTTCTTCACCGCGATCCCACGATCCGAAACGAGACACCTAAGCAACCAGGAATCGTTTCAAAATCCGAGTAGATGCGAGCTGCCCTTCAGGGCTCTGGTTGCAAAGTCTCATGCGTTTCATTCTGAGGGTTCCCAAACCTGCCAAGAGGGAGGCGCAGGTCCGGTGCGGTTCTCGGTGCTTTTGATGCTTGGAATCTGATTCGGTGATCCTCCTTAGCCAAGGCTCGGACTTTCTCTGAGAGATCAGCCGCAGAATGAGCCAAAGTGAAGTTTCTTCTGCAAGGCTTTTCTTTCAGTTCAAACTGCTCTGCGGGCCCCCCAAAAAAGCGTCTAATGGATGCCAGCGCCGGGTGATGCCAGCGTGCCCACGTTACTTTGTAACTTGGGGGTCAGAGAAGTCTGCGCAGCCGCGCTGCTCGAAGAGCCGGCGCCTGCAACTGGACCGCGCGGCCGCGCGACCATCACACGACTCTCCCAGGCTCTCTGCGGCTTTTCGTGCCATTCCTAACGTCTCGAACGCATTCTTTAGGCTTCCATGGCCCAGGGCAAGCCAGTGAAGGAGGCACGTCTGAATACTGTGATGGGTTTCAGGTTTCTTTAATGGGCTCGCGCCACCGTGTTCGTACTCGGGCCCCGGATTGCCATGTCGTGGCCTTGAAGGTACATTCTTCGCCAGGTCCTGTTCGTGCACCCACTCCTTGCCGATCCTTGTTTGGCCTACTTCGAAGCAGTCGAGATGCTTCAGGCGTTCGCCTCTGAAGGTGTGCGGCTGCATCTTGGGCGAATTTTCCAGATTCTGAGGTGTGGACTCGCAGCCTTCCACTCGGAGCCACGGCAATCATCAAGATCTCATGCAGACAGAGGCCTCTGAGTGAAGAAAGTGTGGCACAACAGCCTGCAACGTTTTTTTACAAGAACTCGATGTGAACCCGGATGTGCATGATGCCCGCACTCGCAGATAAGCAGTACAGTCTTTGTCAAGTAGAATTGCCACCGCCTTATTACTCTTGCAGCAGGCCGAAGAGGGTGTGAGAGGCAGCTGCCCGCCGTTTGCCCAGGGTGTGTCCGCGACACTGTGTGTTTATTTTGCACGGCTCCGACCCGACCGGGCAACGTCATGTAGCTATCCTCAGCGTTGAAGCTCAGGAGCCATCGCATCATCTCTGCCTGACACGACGTGCCACCGCACCACGACCACAGCTGACTACTACCCAATACTACTACTACTACTACTACTACTACTACTACTACTACTACTACTACTACTACTACTACTACTACTACTACTACTACTCCTTCTACGAGAACCATCATGACCACCTGCCTTCACCATCAGAAACAGCAACGGTGTGGCCACGTTACTTCCTTTGCCCAAGCCCATGGCGCCACGATTGTTCTGATAGACTTCGGCAAGTTGTACTTCATGGGAGCTGCCGAAGGCATACGCAGGCGCTTCGGCCTACTCATGAAGCAAAGCCGGCGATGCAAGTTCAACGTCATATGCAAAGTCATAAACTTCGGGCGTAGTAAAAAGGATCGCCAGCCTGTCATCTCCCTTGACGAAAAAGGTTGCGCATGAGCTTCCGGGGCGTTGACGACACTCGGGAGTTGGAATCGCTGGCAGAGGCCCGCGAATCGGGAGGGAAGTATCGTGAAAAAACTCGCTGCGGATGCTGCGGTTGACGGCAGGCATGTGCTTCTTGCAATCTGCGCCGAGCATGTCGAAAATAATCTTGTGGCTGCCAGGATGGCGAAGCAGGCCACGACGCGAAGGCCACCGACCAGGCGATGGGAATTTTACCTGGCGCCGTGAGCCTTTCGGAGGGAGGGAGAGGCCGATGAGTGCGCAATGCATGGCCGTTGAGCAGTATATTCAAATACCCGGCAGCTGAGGAGTGGATGTAGGCTGAGACGGTGCCAAACCTACGAACGTAAAGCATGGTGTTTCATTCCAGCGTAGCCAAACATGACAAGTCTCAGTCAGCGTCGTCACCACCTTGGAGTTTGCCACTTGCTGATCGCCGTTTAGAGTTTGCATTTTCCAGATTCACTCCTTCCTCACCCGTCATCTCGTTGCAGGGTTCCGGGTTCACAAGCATCATTTCCCAGCAGGGTCCGTGCCTTCCTACGGTTTTCACGTGCCGACGTTCCACGAGTGAAGGTCAGCAACTTGACCGGTGAGTACCTCAACATATTTCTGCTGCTTGTGCTCTATACCCTCCAGGTAGGAGGGGTGAGTAGAGCGCCAGTGGTTGCTTGGGCCTACCCTCCGTCCGACCCTGTGAAGGGAATTCCGATGGGTCTGTCCGGCGTCGTGCCGTTGATCCTCAAGGACAGCTGCAGTTGCCTTGTGAGAGATGCAGCCTAGGCTGGTGGAGTGCTCTGTCTTCAGGCAATTGAACACGGAATGCTGGCAGCAGTCTGACAGACAGCTCTGCCTCAGGAGCAAAACGTGTCGTTTGCTGAATTGGGCACCTTCTCTCTCAATTCCTATCCCTTCAGTGTGGAGCTTAACATCTGCTAGAGCCTCAGCTCTCACACTGCAATCTGAGTCCAGGCCTGAAGCTGCTGTGGGCCCCGGTGGTGGATGCGGTCTACTCGTCCAGACTGGGGAGAAGGCGAAGACTGAGTTCTCGAGAGTCAAAGCACCATCTTCGACCCTCCTTCGCTCCCTCACCTCTAGCTGCTCTAGCTCCCTCGCATGGGGTTGTGCTGTTGTGCTTGCACGCTCGCGCGCGAACAGCAACGCGACGGGGATCCGCAGTACTTCTCGTCGTTTGGGCATTCCGCGGGCCAGAAACTCCGCTTCAGCAACTATTTGTTAAACATCCGATCCGAAAGTTGCTCCAATATCTGAAACCACTTGTTGGTGTCAGACATGGCTTTCGATTTGCTGGGTGGTTTCGGCAAGTGGCACGAGGACCAAATGCGCAGTGTGGTGACTTGTAAGTTAGCTGGGCAGCTTTGGGTGCTCCTCGCGGCTGATCTCCGCTCCTGCCCCATGACTGCTTAGGTGTTCTGCTCTTGCGAGAGTGCGCTGTTGGCCCTCGTGACATGTTTCCTTGTCCGCTCCACACGCGCTTGATCTGTGCCGCGCTTCCATTGGCCCTGATCAAGCCCTTCTGAGAGCAACAGGCTCGAGCGCGAGATGGATCGTCTCATGTGTCGAATACCGAATGCTGTCGGGATAGATCTTCCGCAAGCCAGAATCTCGGAAAGGGCACTTTTGCACTCACAATTGTGCGTTGCATTTCCGCGCCACTCATTCTCCTTGCGGGTTTCTCCATGCATGTTTCAAGCGCTTGGCGGTGTCATCGAGCTGTGCTGGTTCAGGAAGACGTGGCTTCTTCCAACTCAGCTGGCAATAGGATTCGTGAGGCACCTAGTGTCCGGAAATCGCAAAATGGGCGGCTTCGCTGGCATCGGAAGCGAGGTCATGATCGTGGTTTCGCAGCGTCTGGATCATCTGCTCTACGCTGCTGGCCTTGTCTAGAGATTGAGTTCAAGCGAATATTATCGGTCGAAGCATGCAACTATGACAAAATGTGATGCAGGCTGAACGGCCGAATGTGGAATCGCTCACGGTCCTTTTCTTCCTGCTGTATTTCCTTTGCGCCACTCAGGCAGCTGCCAATGTGCTTGCATTTTTCTGCATGAGAGGGCAGCTGCAGGACATCGCCGTGGATGGATGGGCTCTGACGATGCTGCGAAAGGAGAACGTGGGCTACGCTGCCACGACCAATGCCATGGGACAAACTCTTGGTTATGCCCCCTGGACTTGGGGGAGAGAAGGTATCTGTACCATCGTAATCCGCTACAAGCTGGGAGTGGTTCCCCTGGCAAGCTCCGCGCGTCAGGCCATGGGCTTCACTGGCTTCATGGCCCTGGAGCACTTCAATCTGATAACGCTGTCCGAATTCATGTTTCTATGGGGAATGGTTTTCATAGTGGCTCGGCTTGGACAGAGCGAAGTTGGCAAACCCTGAGTCGAAGCTGACGGAGCCTCGGAGACCGAGGTAGTGACGATACTGGTGACTATCCTGAAGTCTGAGGGCTCCATGCTGCCAGAGGATGAGCCGGAGACTTGGCGTGCATTTGGTCCTTCCAAAAAGGCATCCCTTTTGGTCCTCTCGGACTTATCCAAGCTTAGGAGAGCATCGAGACATCCTATGCAAACATGTTCAAGATACTCCGCCTGCGACCGGTTCGTGTACTGCTGCTGCTTTTGCTTACAATGAAGTTTCCTTTCGCCGTGGCGGACAGCATTGCACCGCTAAAGCTGCAAGAGTATGGAGTCAAGAAAGAGCACATGGCTTACATCGCATCGGGTATGATGCCAGTGCCTTGCCTAAAGCAGGCGGTCTGTTGACATGAACAGAGCCGGCAGCTCCATGAGACGCAGTCCCCAATGGCAAGGTGTATATCCTGCTCCCAGCAGTCGTCTCGCGTTGGACGACGAACTCCATGCCGTGGGATCTTAGCCTAAAGGCATACCCGTGGAGAATTCTTCTGGCCCAAGACTCAGATGTCAACTTTGCACGCCTAACGTGATAGCCCGTCAGCATCCTGGGTGCGAGCACACGATGCCTAGCATGTGTCTGGCAACGGCGTGTTGCCCGGTCTTTGTCACAAGCGGTTCTTCGACGGTTTCTTTCTGCGCCGACTTCGGGAGCCACCACGACGAAAAATCGCTTTGCACAGGTCCTGATTGTTGCACACCTGGTTTTGCACGCGCTTGAAGTCGTTCCCACTCAAGTCCGAGATGTCTCAAGAAGGAGGACATGATTACGTATGTCGGGGATGTTGCAGAAATCACAGTGGACATGCGAGCGTCAAGCCAGTACAATCAGGTGGCCTGGCGCACGTCTTGCTGTAAACGGTCGAGATAGACGGACTGCGGAGACACGGATGGGACAAGACACGAGTACCAGCGGTAAGTACTGGCAGTATGGGTTTCGTTGCTGTGTCTCTCTGATTTAAGTTGGAGGGCGACTTCGCTTTGCACATCCCGCGCTCTCTAAATCCGCTGCTTTGACTCGACGGCTTGAGCATGACACCCGACCCTGGCCGCTGCAGAATCCAGGTTCCTGTGACTGCCATCGTGGTGTCTGCAACGCCGCCCATCGCAGATCGAATTCCATGGGCGTTCTATGCGGTGGTCGTTGCAGTCTCCCTGTTTGCACAGGCTGCATGGCCCAATATTTCATTCAAACGACAGTAGCACCTTGCCAGATTTTTGTGCCTGAGTCGAGATGTCGGCCTGACATCGCCTGAGGTTGCAAGTCAATGCATGTTTGTGTCCACCATGGCATTCTTTGCTCGGATCAGTGATCCTGCGATGGGCGGAACCTACATGACAATGCTCAATACAATGAGCAATCTGGGAGGCCAGGCCCACTGCCGCAGTTTCATTCTTGGCAAGCCTCGTTGCTTCAGGCATGTGGCCAGGCACCGTCACGCTGAAGCTGATCGATTTTGCTACATGTATGTCGGACCGATGTGTTGTCAAAGCTGACGGTTTCTCGGTTGCAGCTTGAACGTAGCAACGTGGTGCTATCACTGGTTGCCATCCGCCCGAGCAGCCAACGCTCACGCAAAAAAGACCGACGGCATCGTCAAGCTGAGGCTTCTACGTCATGTCAGGCCAGAATCGACAGAGCAGATGCAGCTGAGATCATTTGATGTGGCTTTGCTGCTTCTGGGCAAGCTGCCTTGCAGGAATTAGTTTCATCTACGGGATTGGATGGTGTCTGCTGGCTGCTGGGAGTGCTCGGCGAGTGCAGCAACTCAAGCTGAGCGACTGGAAAGTGTGACAGCTTCAAAAGCCGCAGTTTGCATGTGCCTGCCGGAGACGGGAGCGGCAAAACTCTGAAACCCACGAAACATCCAAACCCTAAATGAGCCTTCAGCCTTCACCCTTCGCCTTAAGGCCCGGCGGGAAGCGAAAGCGAGGCTTGGGTTGGGGTCGGGATCCTCAGTGCAGGGAGCATCCGGACATCTGTGAAGGTTCCAATACACCGGCCGTGCGTTGCAAGACGGAGGCGCAAGATCTCCGGTGAGTTGGAGTTTCTGTGTTGAGATCATGTGGATCAGAGAGTTGCAGTTTCTGTGTTGAGATCATGTGGATCAGAGAGTTGGAGTTTCTGTGTTGAGATCATGTGGATCAGAGAGTTGGAGTTTCTGTGTTGAGGTCATGTGGATCAGAGATTCGGATATGCATGCAAAAACTTTGATGAGATTAGGTCCAGGTTCGATCACCTATCTTTACCCAGCGAAGAGGGTTCAAGGCACCATCGAAAAACAGATGCTCCTGCCATTGCGCAACACTCCCATTTGACGGACATTTGCAGACGTCCACGTGCATGTCATACTTTTGTTCTCCTTCAATTGCTCTAGTGCAGGCTGTTGATGCACGTCAGACTGCTCAGCGCGCACGTCATCGTCTCAGTCTTAAGAGGTCACTGCTCCCCTGCCCGCAACCTTGCTAGCTGCAAGCAGGAGCGAAGAGGGTAAAGTGCGAGCCGGTTTCTGCGATGACCTTATCAACACTTTTGACAGTGCCCCACCTCTGTTTACACTGGGGGCTGTCGCACAGGTTGCTGATGCACAGCAGATTGCCGAGCTTACCAGTCCTCGTCTCAGTCCTACCCGGCCAGTGCTCCGCTGTTGCCGTGCTAGCTTCCCGGCAGGAGAAAAGAGGGTAAAGTCTGATCCGGTTTCTGCCATGACCTTATCAGCGTTTAAACACAACACTAGCAACTTGTAGCACATGAATTCGGTTCACTGCAGGTGCAAGCCCATGCTCGTACTGCAGTTGTCGCAATCGACGAGTTCCGAGAGGCGTCTTCGTCACGCTGGAATCCGAAGAGCATCCTTCCGCGCTGTGCGTCCGCACCCTGTGCCTCAGTCCAACGATCCTTGACGCTCAGGTCGAGGTCGGCCTCAGCGGGCTCGACTTCCGGTCCGAGCCTCGGGACATCTCGGGACGAGGCCGCCGATGCCGCCGCGGCATGCCGTCCGCCCTGGTGCTCAGGTGCTCCGGTCCTGGTGCAACGAGCGCGTGGTCTACGAGAGATTACCCGGATCAAGCTTGCCGACGCTCAGCGCGTCCGCGCCCTTGTCTCCCTCTCTGTCGCTCTCTCTGTCTCTGTGCTGCGAGCGCGGCATGCGTTTGAGAGCAAGCGGGCACACATCATGGCGAGTGCATCGACACCAGGTGTGAGTTTGTCCAGACGGCCAGTGTAAAGGCCGGCACTGCGAAGGCCAGCACGGTCAAGGGTTTGGAGCCCTGCATAACCTTGCAGGTACTGGTCCTACTTGTATCTCTGAGCCTCCTTCATGAGAGATTGGACAGTTAGCCCCCACGGCAGATATTTCTCCTGGCCTCTTGAACAGTCTCTTACATACCACGGCTAGTTAGCTAGTCGGTAAGATCTGCGCATGCTGTAAGCACCTTCACAGGCATTATGGTGATGCTCAGCATCTCATCTTTCACCAGACTGCAGCAGTCACAGGATCAACCAGTCATGTCTCTTGACTCTTGACTGCGTGCGAACAGCGTTCTTGAAATGGCCATGATGCATGGAGCTGGGTGGGCATGGCCTCAGCAAGGAGTACAACCAGTGCGAGCTTTTGCTTCCCAGAAGCAACAATTCTGGAAAAATGCAGGAAGAATGGAGAGGACACACCTCCTACAGAGGCGAGCTCGGCTTCCATGGTGGAAGTGTGGGGCTTTAGTATCAGGAATCGCCGGTAGCATGTGCCACGCTCGCCGCCGACGGCGACGTAGAACTGAAATCATGTATCGGCGCTCGCTTGAGTCAGAACTCGAAGCGCTCTTTGTAGAGAGCCCCTGGCGCAGGGGTCTGGAGCCTGCGGAGGAGTCTAAGCCAACAAGACTCAGCTTTTTGGGCAAGCTGCCTGAAGATCTTGTCGGCACAGTATACAGGAATGGGCCGGGGCGCATACGAATTGGAGAATCCAGGTATGACCATTGGTTTGACGGTGATGGTTTTGTAACTTCCCTCAGTGTGGATGGGAGAAACCAAGAGGCCGCTTTCACGTCGCGCTTCGTCAAGACACAGAGATATGAAGTGCAGCAGAAGTCCGGCGAGCTTGTCAGAACCGAAAGGGGCTCGGGAATGGCATCGATGGGTGCATGGACGCCTGCTTCGAACGGCGATTTTCTGTCGAACGTCTTCAGATTGCCCACAAACCCGGCAAACACAAATGTCCTGTGGTGGGACAATAGATTGCTGGCGCTGTGTGAGGGTGGCATTCCGTATGCTTTAGATCCAGGAAATCTGGAGACACTGGGCGAGGAGCTGTTCCGTGAGCCGCCCCTCCCAGAAAGTGGAGTACAGTTTTTTTCCGCACATCCGAAGCGCGACCCAGACTCCGGAGAGCTCTTTAACATAGGACTGAAGATTGGGCTTGAGCCGACCCTGGAAGTCTACAAGTGCTCTGCAAATCGATCCCTGGTGAAGCGGACGATCCTCGCTTTGACAGATCTCGCATTCGTCCATGACTTTGCCATAACACGGCAGCATGTGATTCTCATCATCCCACCCTGGAGTTGTTCGACCACTGGCCTGGCCAAGAGTCTCTGGAAGGGAGCGATGGCACAGTTCTTCGAGTGGAAGGAGGAAGCAGGAACCAGGCTGATCGTGCTGAAACGCAGTGATCTATCTGTTGCACCTTGGGCTAATGGATCACTGAAGCTAGCGCAACATGGGTTGGGATTCTCCAAATAGCTGCCCAGGCAGGCAGGCGTGTTGGATTCGGTAGATTTGTATTGGCAAGGTTGAGGGTGATCTCGATCACACACGAAGCAGTATTCTACTCATATGAGATGTGCTGGCATACTCCGATCCACGCTCAGGTCTTCGACAGCACACTGAAGCCGGCAGTCTCACTTTACCACACGGCCGGAACCACTTTTTGAGTTGGTACGTTGATGTTTCAAGCGAGGCCAGGTGCCACCTTGATCTATCCTGCACCCCTCTTTGCAGGTCAATGCATATGATGATGACGACGATGCTGCTATATGGCTTCAGATTGCTGCACACAATGGACCTCGAGAAGATGTCGAAAGAAACTTTGCAGACCCTCGGACATCGTGCATGAACGGACAATGGACGTTCAAGTGCGACAACAAAAGTATTTTAAAGCAATCTTGCTGCAGAGTGCCGTTACTGTACTGTACTAGTGGTAAGTACAAGTTGAGACTGCTGTCGCAGCTGTGGCAACCGTTGGCAGAGGACATGTACCGGAGCAAATGGTCAGATGCAACCCGCTGTTCTCTGCGACAGCTCCGCCTGGACCTCGCGTCCGGAAGTATTCGGAGCAGCCGCTGCCCTGGATCATATGGGGGGATAGGCATCAAGAAACAAAGGTTCGGAGCTTTGCTTGAGGTGCTCTGGGACCTGAAGCTGCCTCAACCTTTGAGCTCCCAAGCATACATCCAGCATTTGTGGGCCGAAGCGAGCCCGCATTTGACAGTTTCATGAGAAGTTCTTGTGGTTCAGATGCTCTGCTACATCGCTCGAACGTCTTTCAACCTATTGAGGACGCAATGAATACGTTTGGACCAATGCGGCATATCCGTCTGATGCAGCCGCTGGCCTTTGGTAATTACCTGCTACAGCTATGCTTCCGCATGTAGCACGTCAAGTGGGCTGAGGCATTCTTGAACTGCGTGGAGCGACTAGACATGTATGGAAATACGGTGGACCGGGCCACGTTCGGCCCTTCACAGTTTGCAGGCGAGCCGAGCCTAGGCTGGGTTAAGATTTCTATCAGAGACCTGAAGAGACATGCCCAGAGCGGAAAGATCCCACATGTTGTCTTTTGGAGATTTTCTTGTCTGTCTGAGGATGATCATTCCAAAGGCAGCCGCTTCAGAGGAGCTGGCGGCGCCGCTTGGAGGAAGTTCAGCACTGAAGCTATGCATTCGGTAACTACTATTACCACTACTGCTACTTCCTGCGCCACAACCGCGCCATGTGGCTGCCTCGCCCAAGTACGTCCAAACAAGGTAAAGCCAGCCCGAAACCCACGTTGTACATTTAGGAGGGCAGGGTTTAGGGCTTAGAGAACACCTCTTCCGCGAAGATGTCACTGTCCGAAGTGTGTGGGTGATCAGCCGTATGGAGTCCTGTCATCTTTGTGCAGCTGGAGGTATGTCTGTACCTACGTCTACGACTCCGAAACACACACGTCGTCCGGAACTTGGCATTGCTGGGCATTTGGTGTTTCCCTGTGATATTATCATGCGACGACCATTGTGTGTTTCAGGTTTTTGGCAATCCTGGATGCCGGCAAGCTCTCAGCCGGCCCACTTGCGGAGGCCGTAAGATGTAGACGTGCGGGAGTGAGTCTTGAGCGCTTTCAGACGATGCCAGGTGCAGTTGCCGAGCCATGTACCATACTCTTTTCACGGAGAGTGGGTCCCCGGCCACTTGACCCGGGAAGAAGTGGCAGTTCATGATTATCGTTTGTTTCAAGCCTCATCCTGGTGTGTGTGTGTGTGTGTGTGCTGCATGACGATGCACAAAGGTTCAGTAGATGTTCTTCGGCTTGCAAGATCTGAGTGGCCTTCGACATGAGCATGGAGATTGGCACAATCCACACCTGACCAGCATCCAGACGGTTTCCACGAGCCGATGTCCTACCGTCCAGGGCGGCAGACGCGTTCATCGATGCTGAACTTGGTTCTACAGCTCGACGAACCTCGATGCACGTAGTCGCGGCCAAGGGGCCTCCTGGTAGTTTGCAAGCCCGTTGGGTGTGTGAACGTCGCGTGCGGGCTCAGCATGGAGGTGGACGGGAGTCGAAAAACCCGTCCTCAAGCTCTTGTCGACTGAAACAACGCTTTGCAATGGCAACGCTGGGCTGCATTGCAGGTCAAGCAGGAAAAGCCATGCACATCTCGCTGCACTCCTGGAGGAGTTGTGCGTTTTGCATCCAGTCAATTCGGCCCTGCTTGGGTTTGGACTCGGACCCTGCTCCCTGCGCTTCTGTCTCTGGCCAGGAAGGCGAGTAAAAGCCGAGATCTCAGAGAGCCGAGCAAAAGCGGAGCTACCCCTATGGCTACCTCAGCTTGTCCGAAGACTCCGACATCAGGCCGAACAGCGGAAGCCCTCACCGACCCGCCCAAGGCCCCGGGTTTTCCGTGGATCCGACGGTCGGCAAAGATACCGAGCAGGCCAAGCACTAACAGTCCTGACTCGGGATCCCGCCCACTTGCCGGAACAGACGGGCCAGGCTTGGGAAGCTGCAATTGCGTGATGCTTCATGTCGCTTCGAGCATTTTCTCGTGCAGTGAGCCTTGCGACACGCTGATGCTGGCAGGTGCTCCGGCAGAGGTGCATGAAGGAGAGCTTCAACACAATCCAAAGGTCACTCGACCGCCTCGACCCTGGAGCCATGTCTTTCGATGAATGTCATCAAAGAGGAACCCGAGTCCACCACAGATCGGTCAGACGACATCGTCGTGGTGAAGTGCTTGCGCAGATGTGATGGCAGTAGAACAGGATGGCCAACGTACAGTGAACTCCCCAAGAGCAAGTGCAGACGCACGTATTCAACTCCGGGATGGGACTTCGCTGTGACTCGGGGCCATTGGTTTTTACGCCCACACCCATGCGTGGCATATGCATTCCATATCCACTGTTTGGGCTTCGGGTGCGATCATGCCTGTTTCGGCAGAGATGTTGGGAAAAGGGACGGATTGCGTAAGCTCTTAGTCTTAGTACGCTCTGAACGCCGGGAACGAACCTCAACCCTCACCATGACGTCCAGTTCCTTTATCATATCTGGAAGCCCTGCGGCTTCATAGCGAAGTGGAGACCTGAAGCGCCCTGGTGTCCAGAAATGTTCCCTTGATAGTGGCATGCCTGGCCGTGAAATGCCGCTGTTCAGGTCTCACCGTGAATTGGCGCCTCTGCGCTCTCTGCTGCGCTCAGCTTCCGAGGAGAGAATCTAAGTGATCGAAGCAGACCGGGCCGGGTCGCCTTTCCTGCCAGGATGCTCCGCGCAAGAGTCAGAGCCAGGTGCAAATGCCAGGGTTCTGCATTGATACCCATACCTGCCATACCTGTCTTGCCGGCACATGGGTTACTTCCTGTGCGTGGCAGCAGAGCGGTGGTGCTGTGCGGGTTTTGTCGCAGGTAGTTTTCACCGACCAGCCGGAGTCTCGGACTGCTGGGAGTGTCCTTATACTGGAGTCTGACAGGATGATGCCTGTGGCTTTGGCGGATCAGCAGATTTTTTCCACGTTGCCATATCGCCGTGTTCTCGCAGTCTGCACGGCACCTCGCCGTGGGCTTCTGCGTTTGAGGCCCAAAGAAGTCGAGATTGAAAGCTTCAAAGAGTTCATGTCTGAACTTTGGTATCCCAATGTCGAAGCCTTACCCGATTGGTGCAGCTACGGCTGGTCTGCCGAGAAGTAAAGCCCCTCTGTGTGTCGTGGAGTTCTCAAGGATGACACGTGCCCCTGCGAGCTGTGCGGGAAGTTGGTTCGAGTCGGCACCGCCCCCCAGTAATCTGGCACCTGCCAAAGAACACGGCAAGTTGATGTCGGTCTGGTCGCACAGGCATCGAAGCCTGGTACACTGCGAGCACAGAACAGGTCTCCCAATTTACCCAAACAGAGGCACGCAAAAGTTCGGGTTCGTGCAGCGCGCAGCAGCTCCCGCTGAACCTTCATCTTTGCAGGTAGTTTGCAAGTCATGTCGTTTGGCACGGAAGTTCGAGGAGGTCGGGGGGTGGTTTCTGGTCGCATGTGCGGCCACGCTCTCAGAGATATTTGAGGGCAAGCAAGCTCTTCCGTGTCAGAGAGCATTCCTTGCCTGCCCTGCTCAGTGCCGCGACTCCGACGCTGCCTTGCCCAGTGGCCTCGAGCCCATAGGGCCCGGTGTGTGCTGCCACATGAGAAGCCGCTGCCCCGCTGAGTCGACTTTGTGAAAACCCTGGGCGAGATCATTGACATGGGTACGGAGCTTAATTGCTTACAGCTCTAGCATATGAAATTGCACCATATTGTGCTGTCAGGTTTTTTTATCATAGTACGTTATGTTCTGTTACGTTGCAATATTGGGTTTAGCAATTGTTTTTTTTGAGTCGTATCTGAGGGCCGCCTGTGTGTTTCGGCCTCGACCTTGAGCTGCAGAGACTCATCGTTTTGTTGAGTCTTTCGGAGGTCTTGGGTGCGCTAAATTCAAGCGCCCCTTTGAAGAGAGGAAGCAGCGAAGCCGAAGCAAATCCAGCAGTCGAGCGGTGGATCCGATGCTTGCCGCGGACAGTACGAGACTTACCTGCCCAAGGGGCTACGAGCAGTGACTGCAAACGCAGAAATCTGCGGACCGTGGGCTGCCCGCATCCGCAAAAAAATAGAAGCAAACTTCCAAGAGCTGGCAAGGGCCAGGTTTCCCTACTGCTTCCACCCCACACTGAAGTAGCAGCTTCATGTGGGTGAAACTTACCTGTAGTGCGCGCTTCAGCATGACGGCGCAAGCACTGAGGTCCAGCTCTTCCTGGACGCAGGCCAGACATCCTCACCGATCTCCTTGGTGAAGAGGTACCCTGTAGATATCCAGCAGGTTAGCTCGAACATGATCCGTTGGAAGTTGTGTCGGCAAGTGGCTATTGACCTATCAGGTCCATGATGGAGGGTCGTGGCAGCAGGTGTTGCTCAAGGCAGGTTCATTGTCTGAACAGACGAAGAGATACTCATGAATCTCTCGACGTTGCCCGAAGTTTTTCGAGAAGTGGTTGTAATCCTGTGCACGAAAGAACCCTGTTGGTTGGGCCCTGCGAAACCTGCCCAAACTGCATGCTTCCGTTCTGGCTGGAGGCTGCCGAGGCAGTGCTACGCCTGTTCCCAGAAGGCCAGCAGCTCTCCTTGGTACGTTTCGATTTTGTTTACCCGCAGAGCGCTCTAAGGCGATGAGTCCTCAGCACGCATGCTTAGCAACGGCCTCGGTGAACGAAGCCGCTCGATTCTTTTTGACTTGTGAGACTTGCTGGCTGTTGTGGTCTTGTCCTAGGCAGCCCCTCCGGGATGGATGGTGAGGTCGGGGCACAGTTGTAGTATGTAGTAGAGTCGCAACTAGTACGTGGGCAGGTGGCGATAGAGGAGTCACCTTCGCCTCCAGCAAGTGAGCGTAGCACCAGGGCAAGCACTTAGACGCTTTCTGCATGATGCTGGACGGTGCAACGGAATGCAGTGCAATTGCGAAGCACTCAAGAATTCGAATCGACCGTTAAGCCTGAGCTATCACACTCAGCATGGGCTGCAACTGTGTTCACTGCTGTCGAGCCCAAGCTTCATTGTTTGCGCGGTGTTGACAGCCGAATGGAAGAGTGTGAAGAATTTATTCAGGCGGGTCGGCCAGCCCAGGCCTTCGCACCACAGGGCTTGTCGACTGGGTTTCACCCTGTCGCCTATATTATGGCACAAAGCACAGGCAGGTGCGAAGCTGTGAGACCGCCTTGAAGCGACTTCTGCCCACAGCAGCCTGTTCCGAAGTAGATGCATGGGCAACGAGGCTTTTGTGGAGGCTCTTTGGTGGCCCACAGTTTCCGCAGCTCTGAGCTCTGTTGGGTTGTCTTCCTGGCATGGCGCTCGTCAACCGATGAGCTTCAGGGTGCAAGCTCTTGGCTAACGCCCACAACGCCAGCACGGCTTGTGGTTTGGACGCGAAGCTCGATAAGTTTGAACTTGAAGGTCAAGGTCGCTGCTTGTGAAGACGACGGCGACGCGCGGCTGGGTTCGTCTTCTCTGGATCTCATGCCCATCGCATGTTCGGCTCAGGAGCATAGCTGAAGCCTGAACGAAGACTGCACATGCAAGCGAAGCATTGTGATTAGACTTGATTAGAAACAAGCCGGATCGATGTCGACAGTGGGGCAGTTGCGAAGTTGATCTCTGCAAGTGGTCTGTGCAGCATCGCAGCCATGCGACCACCAAGCCCACCGCGGGCATCGCCTGTCAGGAGCAAGCGGAGTGCAATCCAAGGTTTTTCTTGTTGTTTACTGGAAGGCTCTCTGCAGTCACCCATTTCCAAAAACGTTTCATATACTGAGAGCTGTATGTGCTTGGCTTCAACAATTTCCGCCCGGGTCTGGCCGATGTACTTGCGACAGTTAGGGATAAACATCAGGCATGCTGTCACAGAATGCTCTGGCTGTGAGGATCGGTTTGTTGGATGAACCAGAAATGCCACCCAGCTGCAAACCGGCAGACGCGATGGGCGTGTTGATGCCGTTCATCGGCGATGCAGGCGTCCGCGCCTCGCCTCCTCTTTAATGAACCGCGAGGCGCTGACTACCAGGAGCGGGGCGCATAGGCTTATATGTAGTATTAGTATTCGTATTCCGTATTCGTATTAGTACTAGTATTAGTACTTTATTCAATTTACTACATCGGGGCCTTGGGGTATCTCAGTCATCAGGATTGTCAGTGTTTGGTTGGAGGACTCGACGAGGATCCATGACCGACCGGTGCCCTGACATATTTGGACATGCCGGGGCTGCCGGGACGGGGGTCCAGGAAAACGAGCTCGTGTGATGTGAGCTGTACATCTTTGGAGGTCACCGCCTCGTCGTGCAGCTTTTCGACGGTTGACCAGAAGGCAAAGTTGACACATTGACATGTAGTTGGTCTGATCTGCGCTTCCTGGCAGGAGCATGTCAGTCTAGCCAGCCATAGTCTCTTAGTCTCTTAGCATTGGGCAACAGCAAAGGCTTTCTTTTCGAGCTACAGCCCAAACCAGGGACAGCTGCAGGAATGTGGGGATTGGACAGGGCTCTGTAGTCCTAAACGCCCGGCATCTTTAACGCGCACGACAAAGTGGCTAGCACTGTTTTTTGAGGCCGGGAAGCTCCGGAATGTTGTTGGTGGTGTTGCTCCGAACAAACGCTGAGCGTTTCTCGTTCCATGACGCATGACGCTGCTCCGTTGCAGGGACTTGGGAGTGATGCCAAATGTGCTCTGCCAGGAACTCCCAGTTTGGGGCTCCTGCCTGGCTCCCAGAGTTGGGCATCTGCCTGATATTCCTTGTTGCCAAGAGCACAAGAATCTGCTGCAAAGGGTACCATGAGTTTGGGTCTTCGTCACACCCGCGTCAACGACATCCTGGCGACCTTTGGCGAGGTGCCGCGTGGTGCGCGCGTGCTTGCGTGCATCTAAGTGGGATCTGATCGTACTGCGAGACGCTCGCTTGCGTGCAGCAAAGTGGGATCTATAGCACCATGCCAGGGCTGTGAGCGACTCGCGCGATTGCTTTGACCTGCTGTCGTGATGGGGCTCTTCGTTGCTGGCGTCTCTGTCCTCCGTAGAGGGTTGCAGGGTTGGGGTGACCTGCACCGTTGCCAGCAGCAGGTCCCACGAGTGGTACTGCTACTACCTGCACTGCAGCCATTGACAAGTCAGTGCTTTGTGAGGTCATCTTTAAGACAGTGCGTGTCCGTGGGTACTTGACAGCAGCTCTGCCCGCTGGTCTTGTGTGTCGTTGGGCGAGTGATGCATTGCTTGGCCCTGCGTAAATTTGCCTTGTCTCAGTAAGACTTCTGCCCTGTCGTGTGCAGTGTTTGGCTTGCTTCTAGGGTCCTTGACCCGATGTATCCAGGAGGAGACCATCACGTCGCGCCGCCCTTCGTCCTTGCCTGGCGGCTTAGACAGCCAAGGAGGAGCTCGAACTTTTGCGGACAGGTCTGCTCTTGGAAGGAACAATCAAACACAGCTAGTCTGACATGCAAGAGCCTGCAGGAGCTGGTTTTGGCTACTTTCAGGACAGCTCACTGTCCTTGCTCTCTGTTCAGCGCGGACCAAGCACCGACTGATGTTGTGCCGATGCTACATCTACTACATGTGGGTGTGTCCTTTCTCTCAGCCTCCTCATGCCTGTCCAGGACCGTTTGAAGGACCTTGAATCGGCTATGCAGTCGCAGCCCGAGTTCGACAGTTTGTTCAAAAGCAACAAAGGTTGTGACGGATCAGATGCTTTGAATGTTGTCAGCATTTTCACTGTCGTTTAGGATGCGTTGTTGCATTCGATTCGCTTCAGTGGTCTATCGGGAATGTTGAGTGCAGGCAAGGCGGGGGAGGGAAACGCCCCGAACCCGCAGAAGCGGAGCTGTCGCAAACAAGCCCAGCGGAAGAATCTCAACAACAAGCGGAGCAAAGCAGCGGAAATGAGTGGCTGGGCTGCCTGCTAACGAGGGCGTTTGATGATAGAGATTTCAGTGCTCTTTCAGAACCGGACCTAACGACTAACGAAGAATAACGAAGACCTCGGCGCCTGCTCCAAGAGCTCGGCCTTCTGAGGCCTCAACTGCGGAATCGAGCCAAGACAGAGGAGCGGCGTCACGTGGCTCAGCGGGGCTTCACATGCCTCATGCGGTCCGGTAGGTACTAAACACATACTGGGAGTGAAGCTGTGTTTCTCCAAGATGTTTCGTATTCGCGAGAGCACGGCTCCAGGACCTCCGAATAGAACTTGCCGAGCTGGCTCCAGACCGGAAACTCGACGGGTTGGTGAAAGAAGGTTACATCACCGAGGACCTTGACCCGCGAGACACTTCATCTGTCAGGTTCCCGAAGGAATCACCCTGCGTATGTCAGGATTTCTCGCGATTGGTTTACGAAAAGTTTCGGAACGAAGAGGAGTTGGAGCCCTAGAGATCTCAGAGCCAGGATCCTTCAACTCCAAGTTCGCAGCTTTAGGCCCGTGTTTCTGGAAGACCTACAGCTGGAGGCGCCTCGAAAGACGTGGTCCCGTTGTAGGTTTGCTTCGGCCGCTTTGGGTTCTCGCACTCAATCTGCATGTGAGTTGCCACTGCCAGAAAACCGGTGGGCTCAATGCTGTGAGAGAGCTTGATGCACTCCTGGCCCAGCCACGAGCTAAGACTGGGGTGCGGCTGTGTCAGCTCGACATGTCCACGCGCATCCGGAGGAAATATTTCTGGTTTGTCGTTCTCATCGTGTCTGTGATCTTCAATGTTTGGTACCTCATACATTTGGACTGGCCGATGGCTGAGAAGCACATTGGTGCAAGTTCGGGACTAGCTGGCTTACGTGATGGAAGCTTGCCTATCCATCCGTCCAGCGAAGCCTCAGGCAAATCTTCACGACTTACTTCAGAGAAGTTTTCCATACGTGGGACCTACCCGGAATTGCAGGTGGGCAAGAGGACGGTGTGAGACGAGAGACGGGCAAGCACCTTGAGTCACCATGCTCAGATCGCCTCGCCAACGGCGGCGGCAGCGAATCCAAGTCAGACATTCAGGCATAGATTCGATGAAGCCATGGGGTTTTATGAGTGGACCTGAATTTATTCGTGATGCCTGACTGGTCGGTGCATCTGTGCAGGCAGAGCTTTTCGATGACCCGATGTTCAAGGCCTGTGGTATTCGTGCACAGCCCATAGCTCTGAATTGAACATGGCTGCAAGACTCCAGTCCTGCTTTCACTGGATCAAGCATGTCATGGGCTCTGGATGTTTTCAGCATACATGCGACGTCAGGGAAGTGTCTTCGGAATGATCTCTGACCACAAGCAGCGCTCTCGGACGTTGAGCATACATCAGAAAAGCTCAGACCAATGCTCAATGATGCCGACAAGATATGGGCGCGCAACGTCTGGCTCGCCTCTCTCTCTCTCGCGTGCTTTGCTCTATCCGAACGTACAGATGCTGTTGTTCCAAAGCGAGAGCCAAAAAATGCTATTCATTGCCTGAGGACACGATTGACAATCGTGACTGCCGCTGTCATGGTCGCAATTTGGGAGGCCGGTGCTAGCGGCAAGACGTCGCCATTGCATCTGCAAGCGAAGCTGTCAAGCTCGCGGCTCGCGGTTCTGCTTCAGGTTGGCTGGCTGATGGTGCAAGTAGTCGGGGCCTGATCGGGGAATCTTCTCGTGCTAAGGCCTGTTTCAACTCTGACGGACATGCATTGCCGAACAGTTACAAAGATTTCTCGCACCAACCAGGGGGCCGAGAAAAACCTGCATTCAGTTCCTGTCGCGGTTAGACGGCAAAGCAGCTGCGCAACAGTGTTGGTCGTGAAGTGCATGACTAAAGTTTCCTTTCCCGGGCCCACGAGGTCTGGGTTGTCTACGTGTTGTACATGGTGTGCTGTGAGCAATCGGAGTGCGCACGTGGTACTTCGGTTCCGATGGTTCAATCTGAGGAGCAGGATTGAAGCAAGATGCCGCATGTGAAGAGGTTTTGCTATAAAGAAGTTTTCAGTCGTGTGTTACTGTTGTAGTCGGAGGTACAAGCGCTACAACGCGATCGGTTACTTTTTCCAAACGCTTCTGCCACAGGCCAGGGTCAGAGCATGTTTGAGAATGATGACCTGTCCCGCTGCTGAATCACGTTTGTTCGGCTTTTTTGCTGACACCTAGTCAGGGATCTGAAGCCACACATGAAATCGCTTTGGTGTTTGCAGCACAGGCCAGCACATTTTCTGCCGTCAAGCTAATGGCCCGAGCCGGAACCTCAGGGTTGGGAGTGGTGTTCGTGAAACAAGCCGGTTTGTGCACGCAGCAGGTACATCCATCTTTGATACTCAATGAGTATCACGACTGGGTGACTTCGTGAGCGCCCGAGTTGCGAGCGGCCTCGCGTTTTGTTGGGTCCGGTGGCCGCAGCAAAGGTTCAGCGAGCGAGGATGGTGCTCGGCTCAGGGCTTTGAGGTTTCCGTACAGAGCTGCGCAGAGCTGCAGAGAGCTGCGAGGTGTGGACACAGAAGGAACACCATCGGCTGGATCATGCGGGAAGCTCGAGCTCCATGCAACTCTCTGCCATGAGTGCTGGCTGCTGGCACTGACGAAGTTACGTAAAAAAATCACAACCAACTCGATGTCATTTGCTTTTGCCTCCGCTACAAGCGTCCACAAGTGAGTGATTCCGATGCGATGTAGAATCCGTGGGGATACGGCAGTGCAGTGGTAGCCGCTTAGAAAGACTCCTCGAGCGCTCGACTTGCAAAGACACGGAACGCCCAGGCTGACCATGTCGCTCGAGCCTCAGAGATCCTTATAGCTTTGGAGAAGGGTTCCTGCTGGAATACTCCGCAATGAGGTTTACAATCTTCCACGTCCTCTGTGCCACTGCGGCGATCAGCGCCTTCTCTGTGAAGATGTTAGTAGTTGGCCCAGATGTTGGCAGCACTCGGCGCTACGCGCCAAAGGCAGACCACCCCGTTGGCAGTGTTGATCCGTTCAGGCAGTGAGCTTCAAAGTCGTGAACCCGGACATCTCCTGGCGCGACGCTTAGCGGGCGCCCAGTTAGATGATGTCGCACTTGATCAGAGGTGCCAACCCTGTCTTATCTGTCTTTGAGAGGAAGCAAGATTCTGGCTTTCTTTTGCTTGGAAAACCGCTGTGAGACCAAGGTGGTACCGGCTTTTCAGTATCCTCGCCAATGCCTTAGTCACCATATCGTCTTGTAGAAAAGGTGCCCCATCTTCTGTGGCCTGTTGCGACAGGCAACCCTGAACCAGATTATGGGCGCTGTCTACATCGATCGCGTTTTGCAGGCCCATGCCGATGGTCGCCGTGGTTAGTTTGACGTTGTTCGCTGTTGCAGGACCGCGTCTTCCTGTTCGTCTTCGGCGGCCGCGATGCTACATACGAAGACGACGAGCTCGCATACAAGAATGTGTCGCTGCTGGTTTTGGAGCTGGAGGGTGCAAAGAACAAGTAGATGGCCTTCCACGCATGGCGAGAGGAGGATCCGTGAAATGCCAGGCCTATATGACGCGAATGGTGCGAGAGCCCTCTCCCCGGATGCAGAATACGTCGCCAGCCGTCCCATGGTTTGTGGAGCTCAGGATCTGGGTCAAGTACTCGGACTCCGGGTCCCAAGCTAAGTGTGCAACATCGCAGAGGGCTTTGGCGTTCTCTGTGAGATAGTCTGATAGGTGGTCTGAGGTGCACTGTACAGATGTTCAGAGTGAGGCACTATTTCTCCGCCATTGTCCTCCTTGCCACGTTTGACCACTACGACCTACAGTGGCTTATGATTGAAGAGACGGAGGTGCTCTTGGGGAAACAATGGCTTGGCCTGCTCAAGCTCGCTGTCACAGTTTCGAATTCGTGTTGGCGGCCAATCTTTTGCTGTTTTCTTTGCTCAGTTCTCCTGCAAAGATGTCGAGTTCTGTTGGCCCTTGGCTCTTCCGGACTTCTCCGTTTAGATCTCAGAAGCTGAGTGAAAACCAGAATGTGTCCGTCTGTTCTCGTGAAAACGCGTTTGTCTCCCTGTTTCATCTGGACCCAGTGAACATCAAGTCTCAGTCTTAGCCCAAGCAGTGAAGAAAGCTTCACTTCCATGTTCCCTCGCCTCCTGTGTTCCACTTGGGAGGACGATGATGACTACGTCCTTCAGAGGCTGGGCCTTGCCCCGCAGCGGACGGTCTCTGCGTCCGCCGCTCAGCCGTCGGGCGGCCGTCACTGTACAGTTCCCGTGAAATACACTTAGCCAAGGCCTGCTGAAGGCTTGACATCACGCCCGAAGAAGGCTGGGGTTCTGCATTTGTACCGTCATGTTATGCCGGTGTTGCGCCATGCGCTTCAAATCGTTCCGTGACGAGCTTCACAGAAGGCTACGTCTGGAATTGATGACACAACATGGTGGAACAAGTTCTGGACAATGCCATCGCCCTAAGAGTCCTAAGACCCTGAGAGTTGAGAAGTGTTGAGATGAGACACTCCTTCATTGTCGTGGGGCTTCTCAGGCTGGGATGCCATACCATCAGCCGTGTGCAATCCAGCCCAGAGCTGGATACCGTCCATGAGGACTTCTGCACTCTGTCGGCTGGGATGCTTCGCTTCCAGCGCGGTGCAAGTACGAAGTATGTGGTCCCCATGCAGGAATTCCAAGAGTCTCCTGTGCACTCACTGCATTCAGCCGCATCCCAAGCTGTCATCTGCTACACCTCACGTTGTTCTAAAGAGCCAAGTGTGTGCACAATGACTGTCTGCAGCGTGGGCCGCAACGGCAGAATGCTAGCGAATCCATCAGGTTGCCATGACCGCCGTAGGCTTGCCTAGGTCCCTGAATGAGGATGAACTGGTGTTTCCGACGGTCCCACCTGAGCCTGGCAGCTCTTTGGACACTTTCTGTCGGCGACTGGAGTTTCGCATTTGCATCTGCGCCCCTGGCACCCGTTACTGTTGACAAGCCCTTGCGCAATGGCCGTTCGGTGCCGACTCTCGGATTGCAGGTTCCTGAAGAGGGGCCGCACACGACGATTGCTTGGGCCACAAGTTTTGGTTATAGGATGCTAGACATCGAAGGGAATGAGTCCAGCGCAGGGCAGGCTATTCGCGGCTCCAGTGTTTCTCGATCTCGTTTGTTTCTCTCAGCACGACTCCCGGAAAACGGTTTTCAGGAAGCCCACCGCGGCATGCGACAAAGTCTTCAGCTGCTGCGCGTGGATTATGTTGACCTCTACATGATGGTCTCACCTACAAAGCTTATCGAGACCTGGGATGCCATGGTAGAGATGCGAAAGATGGGCTTGGCCAGGAGTTTAGGAGTCTGTGACTTCGAGCTGCTTCACCTGGAGACCTTGAAGTCACATGGGAGGGAGCTGCCAGAGGTCTTGCAACTCAAGATGAATCCCTTCACCTGGCACCAACATCGAGCTTTACTCGATTGGTGTGAGCGACATGGTGTTCTGATCCAGGCCGCTAGGGTTTTCGCCCTGCCGGCCCAAGGGGCTTTTCAACAGCTCCGATCTCTCCCAGCACTCAAAGATCATCGTGCAAAGTCTGCAGCTCAGGTGCTGTTGCGATGGGCGATCCAGATGGACTTTCAGGTGATTGCAAGAAGTAGACGCAAGGATCACATTGTCGAAAATGCCGATGTGTGGTCTTTCAATCTCTCAACCGAAGAGATGCAGACTATTTCAGCCCTGGGGCATGGATCCACCGGGGGGGCCGGCCGTGAAAATCCTTCGGCCCGTGCCTCCCTTGATTTAGGAGACACAACCCTCTGCAATAGGTCGAGGGAGCTGTCAAACCCTGCGACGGAACTCTGATGCTGAGAGGGACTGAACATCTGCTGGCCTAGCAGCAGGCACTTGCACGAACGCAAGGCTATAGGGGGCCGTGGATTGTCGAAGTGGGCACGAGGCGCCGAAAGATGAGGATGAGGATGTTGAGAGGAACGAGGTCGCCGTCCTGCCTGTCCTCGATTTGAGCAAACCCATCGCGCTTTCGCAGGACAGGCCCGAGAAGGCCCAGGAGCAGGCCACGCCGGAAGATCGTCCTCGGCGACGATCGATGTCCGAGAATCTGTCGCACAAGGCTCTGGTGAGCGGGGACTCAAAAATTTGGGGACTTGGGGTTCAGAGCCTCTTGGGCTCTTGGCAAGGCCTCGGCAGCCTCGAAGATTACTCCCATCAGCTTGAAGCTGCCCTCCTCGGATGGGCTCGGCCCCGTTGCCAGCGAGCGATCGGGACAGGAAAGGCTGCGTTTCATGCAGTAGGCCTTGCCGCTGTTGGGTGCATGCTCGCTTTGCTGAACCAGGAGGAAAGCGCTCTTTCAGAAACACCGCACACAAATCGAAACAGCGTGATGGACAACCAGGACTTGAGCGGCGGCGTGCGTGAGTCTGTGTGCCTTCGCTCGACCCTTTCCTTCTGTGTCTATCGGAACGTTTCGGAAGCTCACCTGGTGTCAGGACTACATGAGCGAATCGTCGCAGCCACTGCTCTTCCCGGTTCAGGCCCGACACGCTTTGAAGGGGAATCTATACTGTTCCGGGAGCACGGAGCGCAGCATGCGAAGCTTGGCCAGATGCCAGCAGGGATGGGGCCTGTCCGGCCGACGAAGTGTCAGGGATGAGCGGCAGGAAGTTTGGATGCGACGCGACGACAAGCTGGAGACGATTTTGCCCACCCAAAAAAGCTGCGTTAGTTTCTGCCAAGCGAAATTCCTGCCCCAGGTTTCCTCGTCCTAAAAAATGGCAAACTTTCGTTTTCTGATTGGCAGAACGGTCCACATAGCGTCCCGTGCCTGTCGGGTTTGCCGTCCACAGAGCTTGTCACTTTCGAGGCCTGATTTGCTGTGTTGCAAAAGGGCAGCCTAGACCTAGACGAAGAGACTGAAGCGCCGGACACCTATTTATACTTCGTTTCATGACTCGTATGGCAGCACAGATTTCACTGGCGATGACCGGTTCCCTGTTTCGGCAAACTCTGCAGATCGTTTTCGACTTTCTTCGGGCAGAGAAGCACGGAATCCTCTTGCATCAACCGACCGTGGTTTGTAATTATGTTTCAGACTGCGGCTTTCCACCAAGCACCCTGTTGAAGCTTTGATATCACAGTTGCAATTTCTACAAGTTGTCAGATTTGCACAGATCTGGACCTACGGGGTCTCTGAAAGAGTCCGATTCGTTGAGCCCCACCACTGCGTAGCTCCAGGACCCAGCTGGCTCGGATTTGGCGAGCCGGGAATCTACTCACAGCAACGCCCTCAATGAAAGGCTGCAAACAAATTGAGAAGTGCAGGGAGTTCGAGTGAGGGGGGGGGTGGAGGGAAAGCGGCCCAGCCCGGAGGAGCCCCAAACTCTAAGGTTCGACAGGTATGGCAGCAATTGCCCGAGCATTTCAAAGCAGGTGCAACGTCAGGATCTTAATTGCTCTCGAGCGGCGGAACTCTGTTCCAGCATGTGTTTGACTTAGCTAACTCTCCGTTGAGGCATTGGGGGATAGCTGGAATGGTTGGACAGAGGGAACCTTCCCGAAACGGCTTGAGCCTGAGATTTCTCCCGAAACCCGAGTGACCGACATCCCGCTGAATTATGCATGCTACCCCAAACCCTTTGAATTCCAGGGCTGGCTATCTCGCGTGGGCAGACGGTTGGAGTGACAGTGGAATCCCGATGTCCAGGCGAGGATTTGCTGCACGTGCGTATACCCTCGGCTGAAAGATTTGAATCAACGATTTCTTGACAAATCTAAGTGTCGCCGGCAGGTCAGACAGTAATGAACTCGTCGATCTGGACCACCTCTTCACAAGCCATGAGGCCAGCATTGGTTTCCAGCGGTGCAGTAGATTTGTCCAGGCAGATGAGGCCATGTGTTGCATTGCTTGCTTCTTGCCGCCAAATCCGCAAGGTGCTACCGGGGCCCCATGTCAAGGGTGATGACATGGTATGAATTCAAGGGCTGTTGTGTTAGCACGCCACTACAGTTTCAAGTTGCGGTCCTTTACCCGTCATCTAGTGCTGAAGTGGTGTCCGAATGGCAACTGTGAATGTGTTGGGGCATGTCTGCTTTCTTCGGGCGTATGGAATTGCAACAGCCGCTTCATAGCCACACTGCGAAGCAGTACGGAATGATACTTACTGTCTAACTTACTCGTAGCGATCGCACCACAGTGTCGCCGAAACCCTTGACCGGTCTGCAAAAAACGGGCAAGTAGACTGAGCTTTGGCTGTCCGTGCCACCCACGATTCAGAGCTCAGGGCTCTTTGACTGCAGCTACTTGTGAGTCGCTTCAAGCTGCAGTGTCAAAATTCATAGGAAGGGCCATCTGATCCGACACTGACACAGCAAGCTAACGATGAAGCCATGACAGCCGAAAGCTGCAGCCTCCTAGCAGCCTAGCAAGGCTTATGAGTCATGAGTCTATTGTGCGCGTCCTTCACGATCAGGGATAGGCTCGGATGACTGCAAGCACACGCCCATGCCTACGGCATGGTCTGCCGGACTGTGTCTTGGAGCGAGGCGAGGCTGTGGACAGCAAAGCGGCGACTTGTCCACGGCTTCGCATCTCTAGACTTCCTTTTATGTCTCCTTCTAACTGCCGTTTTCCACCTGGCCCGCGCCCTCCGCAGGTTTGTTTATCTGCCTGCGCAAACTTGAACACTCTGCTTCTCGAGTGCTTTCTCTCCGTCTCTCGCTCTGGCTTTCGCTGCCTTTCTTTCCCTTTCTCCGCACACCCTTGCACAGCTGGAACACGACTGCGAAACCTTTGCACAAGTTCACTCTCAGGATAGAGCATGGCACTGCAGCTGAGGACTTTCTCGACCACCTCCACAATTTCAGCCTTGAGGAGAAGAAGCTACTGGACATGCTGTCTGCACGCGGAGCTTCTTTGCCCAGCTCGCTGTCAAGCGTGCTCACGAAGGTCTGGGTCGAAACTCTTGTCAGGCTTCTTTTTGTGTCCCATGTTCTCGTTCCAGATCGCCCGGTGAACAGCGTGTAGAGTTGAGTCAGAGGCTGTTGCTTCATCAGAATTGAAGTTTGGAGGCAAGACACATGACACGTGCGGAAGAAGCAGCGGCGTTTGCCTATGTCACGGACCCACACCTCGCCAAAGACATCCACAGGTTCCGGAGCCCGGGTTTGCACGTCACGAGCTGAGCTGAGCCTGCTCCAGGCTGATGCGGGCACAAAGTTGGCCTGCACTTTTTGCTGAGCAGCTGCAGATGCACTTAAAGAGGTCTTTCCGGAGCATGGTCTCTCGTGTGATTTCGTGCAACAGACTAGCGTGACTAGAGAAACTAAAACCTCCCAGGCACGGACACACCGTCAAGGCACTGGTGGCATATGTGCGCAAAATGGAGCAAGCCTATGCAGCCAAAAGAACACTGTATCGTGGCACACGACTGCCCGAATATCATCTGACCGAAAATTATGTGGTGGGGCGCATCATCACCTGGCATTCATTTGCGAGTGTCACCAGCGATCGTCAGCTTGCTGAGTCCTATACTCGGCAAGATGACCTCTTCGGTTCGTTCGGGTCCGAGGGTGTCCCCGTCATCTTTGCGATCCACACCAGTGCCGGCCGTGGAGCACGGCTTCCTGGAAACTCGGAGCTACTCCTGGCGCCCTTTACGTACTTCGAGGTGGTGTCCGTTGAGCGTCAGAGACTTTGGTCTGTGCCAGCCTGAGCAGACCCGTCCTTGAGCGCTGAAGCACTCATATTTAGTGTGTCGTGTCGTTTTTCAAAGGCGTAGGGAGTCCTTGGAAGTGCTAGCGAAAAGACCTTCCTTTCGGAAGTAGCCATGGGGAAGTGATTGGGGAGCAACCGAAGTGGGCGGGCTTGCATGTCCAGGGTGACATGTTACAGTAAGGTGGGCAGGCTCGGCGCAACCGTACATGCAAGGGGCATGCGGCAAGCAGCTGTCAGGTCATCACGCTGCAGGTGGTGAAATTGCAGCGCTCCTGGGTCGAGACCAGCCCTCACAGACTTGTCCTGCTTCATCCGGGAAGTATGCCCTGGCCGTGGTCAGAAGCACCCAAAGAGGCACGTCCTGGCGCAGAACTGCGGTGAATCTATATCTCGTCAGTTCGGCGGGGCGTTTCAACACGCAGGTTTTGTCGGAGCTGGAGGAGGACGCTGAAGAAGCGATCACACGGAAGTTAGACCCGCCAGGCACATTGAATACTTCCGAATTTTTGGGGTGTCCTGCTGCTAGAATGCATCTGCGGACGCAAGTGGCAGCGGGCTTGACTTGCACTGCTGTCGTCGAGCCAGATGCTTTACAAGTAGAGCTACTCCGTGCATATTGCTTTGTTGTGCCGAAGCGTGACTTGGTACTCTAGGAAGGCGCAGCTTGCTCAGGTGCGCTGCTCCTGGCCACGTTCGTGGCTATGATCAATGGCGTGCTTGTATTGCTGCGTCTTGACCAACTTCAGGCTGGTGGCTTTTGCTGACGGCTTCAGGGTAGGACTCTGGCTGTGTGGTGGGGAACTCCTTGTGTCCACAGTATATTTGCAAACGTCGAGGTGTTCTCTGCAAGTCTTGCGGCCGTGGTTGAATGGTGGGCTTGCGTACTGGTTTTGTTAGAGCTGTGTTGCGCTGGCTGCTCCACAGTCATCTCATCAAGCTATCAAGCACTTGATGCCATCAAATCTTTCAGTTGCAAGGAGCATCACACTCTGTATCTGCTGTCGATCTCTGCATATGCGGGGCAAGGGACGAAGGTGGCAAGAGTAACGAAACCAAGACTGAGAAGGACAGTTCAGAACCAAGCAGACCAAGCAGGTACTACTAAGTTGTTACTTCACTACGATTTGTTACTCCAGCATTTATTCACCTATTCTGTTACGTTAAGGCCGCAGCTGCAGGCGATCGAAACGAAATGGCGCGACCGTTGAGGTTTGCGCCGTTTGCGCGGCATGTCAGAAAGCAAGCCGCGCCGAGGCGCTGGTGCAGGGATTCAAAAACCTAGTTTCGCGATATGCCTTGGGTTGCGACAAGTGGAGATCGTGACATGAAACAGTGGCACGACTGGCGGTGTCTGGGTGCAAGCAAACACAAAGCCACGTTGCAATGGACCAACAAATCCACAACCAACTTTCGCGGTTGTTCCTTGATTGAGGAATTTGATCAACAATCCACGTCCGGGTGACGTATGGCATTTCTTGTCGTTTCCTTGCGTACAAAGCGCACCGGGGTGGTCGAAAAGAGCCTCCAGAAGGTCAACATGAAGCGGAAGGCGGCATTGCGAGAAAGCCCTGCGAGCTAAAAAACAGCTTCCGGTCCCCATTTTAGCATGCCATGGCAGGCTGTCACAGTATCACGCAGAATCGCTCTCGACCACTACCCCGGTCCATGTTCAGAAGCGTATGCCACGACATGCCACGACTGAGCTTCGGTGGAGCATGCGGCGACTTGAGTAAGTATTGGATCGTCAAGACCTCGAGACACAGAAAAGTACACCCGAAATGCATTCAGATGGCGCATGCCGGAACAGCTCACTGCGCAAAAGATGCGACCCGAACCCGATTGACTGCCTTAACCGAAAGGCTGCAAGACTCGAACCGGAAGTAGGGATCCTGAATAATCCTGACAGGAGGTCCTCAGTTGTTGTTTGAGGTCCTTCTCCTTGGCTAAGGTACTTCGCTGGATTTGATGTAGATGACTTCGCTATCGTCTACATGCAGCAGAGCTGAGAGAGCGCCCATGTCCTGCAGACGTGTCGACAGTTGCCTGCAACACAACTGCTGATGCCTCTTGGTGGAGTTTCCTGGACGAAATTTGCCTAGGCTGTTTGGGGGTCAGGCGGGGGCTGCAGCGAATATGCATGTTTCGAGCGCAGGCACTAAGCTCAGAAACTGTGGAGCTCTGCCACAACACGACATGTGGCCATCTGGATGTCTTGGTGTAGCAGAGGAAGGACACTTGTGTAAACAAGCGAAAGTTGCTGGAGTCTAGTCTAGTCAGTCTGCTGGTGTCACAAAGACCATCACACCGACAACTCGAACAAGTTACAAAGTATATGGGCTGACGTTTCCAGTGTCCGGTGATGTCATGCTTCGCGCCGGCCGTTGCAGGTGCCGCCCCCTGTTCTGTAAGATAAACGAAACCTGGCCTAGTCAAGTCAAGATTTTGTCTGGGCATCAGCTTCTGAGGTCCACGGCCTGTAGTCTGCCGCCAAGACAACTTGCGCAAAGCACCGAAAACCAGTGGCTCGGGCTCGTGCCTGCACAGGCAGTGCCGTGGGGTCCTGGTCCCGGGAGCGTGTCCGAGGCCCAGAGGAGTTGTTGTTTGAGTTTACACGCTGCATGAAAGTGCCGACCGAGGCAGTATCCGAATGGCGCGGCAGCGCCAATGCAACAACCTGTAAGGGCGTACGGAGGCGAAGCGGCTCAGAGAGCTCACAGTCCGAGAACCCTCGTCAAGTTGTAGGTTATAATCGTGCCTTATGCAGGAGCCCCGCTTCAAGGCATCGTGCCTGGTCAGGCCATCGCTATGCCTGACCATCTGAAGCCTGGAGCGAGTAGCAGTCGAGTTTGAACGAAGGAGCTTGTCATGTCGGCGGTTGGGTTCGTTTACCTTGAAATGTGGGAGGTACAGGTCGACGGCCTACAAGCGGAGGCCCGTGGAATAGCTGTTCTGCATTGCGTAGCAGCGCAGCCTGAAGGACTATGTCTATGCCTATGCCCTTTGTGACAGGTGGCACGGCGGAAGGCTGCAGAGTCTCGTGTGCAGGAACTCGAGGCAGCCTGTCACCTGTTGGAATGCTGCGGCGCTTTGAGGGCGTCGCTTACGATCTAGGAATGGTTGATCTCACCCTTGCACTGACATGCAGCAGGACTTGACTAGAGTCAACACAAGATCTGCTGAGAAGACTTGTTGATTTGCGAGGCACTCGTGGCTCGTTTGCAGAACCGCGTCGCAGTCCTCGAGGGAAAACCCAAAGGCTCGCGGGCTGGTGCAAGTCTGCAATCTGGGAGTGAGACTGATACTGATACGCATTACAGGCGTTCAAGTCTTTCTCAATATTTCCTCGTTTAGCCGTTTGCGTCTCGGATCTTCGGTTTGCCGGAACTCAGTCTGGAAGACACTCACACAAAGCCTCTCTTTCCCGGCGACAGCAAAGGGCAACGTGCCGAGCTGTAAGGTGATGTCAGATCGTTGGGAGCACCCGTACGTTCATCTGCTGATTGGTTATTACATGGACGCAGGGATGTGAAATACATCTCTGCCAGTCTGTGGCTTCTATTGCTTGACAGCGAAACAGCAGCAGCCGGCACGAGCAGCCGGGAGCTGGCAGCAGTCCCCAACTGTGCAGGTGGGCCTCGGCGTTCCGTCCCGGCGCATGCCTCAACTGCCCTCATTCGCTTGCGCATTGGACTCTCCATGCGCGGAACCGTTCCGTGTTACACTCACGATGTGAAACACAATGCTTTGACAAGCCTGCATGCATCGCCAAGGCACGAAAGCAAGGCGTTGATGCACAGGCTCGTCTGCGTACACGTGACACGTCTACGTTCGTGTGGGTATGTGTGCATGTATGGATACATACACACACATGTATATACATTATACATATACATATATATATATATATATATATATGTATGACACGTGTGTGTGTATGTTGTGTATGTATGTGCACGTCCATATCTCCGTCCATGCCCATGTGCACTCACTTGTGTATGGGCAGGGTTTTAATCCGCCTGCAAGGGTTTTCTTCAGCCTGCAGACAACGGACCCAGACTCAGACCCAGGCAACGGGACAAAGGGGAGAGCCGGCAAACGGACGAAAAAAAAGACATGCAAGTCCAGGGGAGGTGTTTTGGAAAAAGAGAACTGGTACTGTTGCCAAAACTGTTACTATGAGGGGAGGATTTAACTCGCATCAATCTTGTTGAAGAAACACGCATCTTTCTGAGTCCGAATTCGGGTTAAGCAATCCGGGTCTGGCTTGGCATACATTTAAACTCCGACAGTTGCAGAGTCCACATTGGTGTTGCACATTTCGGAGCCCGGCCTCGCATGCATCCAAACATCAATCGTTTCTATGCTCGCATGTGCATTCGTATGTGCCGTGTGTTTGTTTGTGTGTGTGTGTGTGTTTTTTGGTTTGTGCGATTGGAGGTGGATGAAACTGGTGAAGCCCAATGCCGTTCCCCTGCCGAGGAGGTATATCCAGAGGATGACGAGGAGGAGGATTCCATAGACACAGCGATCCGAACGTTGCTTCCTTAGACCGGTCAAAGCAGATGCCGGGGTTGTGCTGTGCCCGCAGCGTGAGTGACCGATACATACGACCGTATATTGAAACGATGGCAGGTATCTGGAGCACAATCCAGATTTTCCTGTGCCACTTGCTTGCAGAGGGCGGGCCCGCAGATGCTGGCAGATGACAGTAGATGACACTAGCTCAGCATCACCGCTAGCCAACCGTTGCCACGAGGTCAATCCAGAAGGTGGCACCGAACTACTATGCGCAATACTGAGTGATGATAGTGTTCTGCGCATGGCCCGGGCAGTAAGGACCTTGACCATGTATACGTTGTGATGCTGTCTGCTGCATGTCGCCATTGGTTGCCATGCTGTCCAAAGCACGAAGAGCTGGTAGCACTGGCCTTGAGGTATTTGGTGATCGCGGCACAGTGGAGCCCACAGACATCTGCGGACAGCTATACAAAAAATGGTGTCGATGCGCGGGCATGTGCTCTGTGATGTATCCCCCCTCTCAAAGGTCTACATTCAGCAAAGAGGTGAGCACGTGGTCGTCCGAGTTGGTGGTGGCTACAAATCTTTGCAGGCTTGCCGATCGTTTGTGCTCTGCCCACCAAAGTTTGGGTAAGGAAGCTTCTGCAATCGACTGCTCGGTCAGTATACGGATCGCTGCTACTGTCACTCATGCATGTGCGTGTGCGCGTGCGCGAGGTCTTCATGGATGCCGGGGCCCATGCTGTGAGACTCTGTAGGTAAGGTGCAGCGTGTGTTTGCTTTTGGAAGGAGCGGGCTCTAATGGTCACGCGGGACAATGCCTGATCCCAAGGAGCCTAGCAAGCTTGCATCCTGCGAGTGACTCGAAGGGGGAGCCGACGATGGTCCAGTTTTGCAGCATGGTCGCCCTTGCTATTCCGGCTCATTGCAGACGGCGATTCTGCCATGGAGCTGGATGTCGGCCAGGTCGCAGCAGTACTGGTTGCTACGTTCATTTTCCTAGCGATCTGGGCGATTTTGCAGCCTCGTGGTTTTGCAACGCAAATTTGCACATGCAGCTTCGTCCTGTCGTTAGTGTGCACGCAGCTCCTCATGAAAGATCTGGGATCTGGCGATCTCAACTTTAGGTATCCGGCCACGGTCACGAGCCTGCACTTCGTATTCATGTGGCTTACAAGTTGGGCTTTCTGGGTCAGTCGGAAGCAGTTCCATCGGTGCAGGCCAAGCTCGGTGGGCTCCGTTAGGCGCTACGTGAAGTTCGTTCTGCCGATTGCTCTTTCTCTGCCACTATCTATTGCACTGAACAACACGTCCCTCCTTTACATGGGAGCCGGACTCGCTGGCATCATCGGGACAATGGCACCCATAATTACGGCGGTCTTGACCCACTGTCTAGGACGTCGGATTAACAAGACTGGGTGGATTGGGGTCAGCGTTGCCACTTTTGGAGCTACTTGCATCGGCGCAGGGGAGTTGAAGGATCAAGGAGGACAGATGAATTCGGTCGCCTTGGGCCTTGTGTTTTGCACAGCATCGGTTTTCCTCAGGGCAGCCAAGGCAGTTCTGCAAGACCAGCTGCTGGAGCCCACTGCCTACGAAGAGGCGGAACGCCAGGTAGACTTGGACTTAGAAGGCCAGGCAAAGCGCCCAAGCCCACGGCGGGAACCACCCGCTTCGCCCGTGTCGCCACCTTCGGCCCTGTCTCCGATGCACGTTTGGGCGCTGCAAGCCCCGCCTTGCACAGCGTGGGCCGTGGTCTACGCCCTGCTGACAGAGAGCCCGAATCAAGCTGTTGCCAACACAACGCCCCAAGTCGCTCGAATGATTCTCCTGACGTGCATCACAGCAACTTTTCTGAATGTGCTGGGTATGACAACCATGAAGCAGCTGGGTGCCAGCTCCATGCAGATCATCGGGAAGCTCAATACCATCATCCTTCTGGCTTTCTCAATGGGCTTCTGGGGTGAGAGGATGCCACAGGTTCCGGATGCCGAAACAGTATAACAGTATAATGTAGCAAGCATTTTCAAACCGGGCAGCTAGCTTTACGGCATCGCTGGCAAGGAAGTTCTCGTTGGGACATGCTTCGTCCTTGCTGGAGTCGCCGTCTTTGAGCAGAGAGGTGCCCACGCTGAGCAAAGATTCTAGTTCGGTCTGGACTGCACTACACATGGTAGTCTAGAGGAAATTGCAGCTTGCGTGCGGTGGTGCGGTGGTGGGGCAGGGTAGGACTTGCATCGATGAGCTCAACCATAGTCTTTCATGTCATGTGAACTCGGACGCAGCGATCACTCAACATGTTTTGATTCGCAAAGCTAAGGCAAGAGGGTGTAGCTCAACTACGACGACGGATCGCGTCCAGCCCTGCGGCTCAGCGATGGTAATCAGGGCCATGCACTGCCCGCAAGTGTCGATCGTCCAGGCGAACCTCGCGTTTCGTGTCGCCTTGGCTGTGGTCAAGATCAGCTGCCTTCGGAACCTCGGGATGAGATAGCTGCATAATCTTGCAGCTGAAACCACGCCTGGGTGCACCCGCTCGTGGACGAGAGCTCAGAGCTGAGTTGCAAGAAGAGGACCGTTCACGGATGGCAGAATGCGTTGATGGCAGAGGAGCGGCTGCAAAGCAGTGAGCTAACGCCGAGATCCGAATGGGAAAAAACAGCGAGAGCACCAATTTTTTGGGAGCTTGTTGTGCCTCAGTCGTCTGTAAGACTCTCCAAGGCGGCTGCGGTGCGAAAGCAGCAGGCCGGAGCTTTCGATGGGCAGCCTCGCAGCTCCAGAGGTTGCAGTGCCTGCAGTGCCTTCAGTGCTGTTGCAGGTCGCCTTTCGAAGTGGAAGAGGCATGCAAGTCTCCGGCTAGGCTTTGACAGCAGCCCGCTGCTTTGCAGCTTCGTGTCCATTTCTGCCTTGAATCTACTTTGACGACCCTCGGGACGAGAAATCATTGTGAACCAGTTAACCAGTTCACTTGCTCTGGACACGTGGCTCCGAAGAGCTGGCCTAGGCGCCCGGTATCGATTCGGATAGCTGGTGGCAAGGTCCCACCAAGGCTGCAAGAGCCTCCCGCAAGGGTTGGCATGTAGAACGCAGACTCAAGCCGTCAGTCCTCAGCCTTCGAAGTAATTCAGAGGTCAATGCCCCAGCTGCAAAAAGACGCTATCTGCGTCTAGACATGGACCGTGCTCTCACTCACGGGGTGTGCGGCACTTTATGAAGGCACTTGCATCCGCAGCCGTTATTGTACGGTCTAGAAGCATCATGGATCTCAGTGGCTTCCAGCTGTCACGAGTCCTTCATCGGAATTCTGCTCACAGTGCCCGCTGGCACGGATTTCGGTAAAACGGGCTAGGAAGCTGAGTCAGCCCCCTCAGGTATAAAAACCAAAGAATTACGAAACCCCTAAATTACGTGAGTGGTCACTCACCTACAAAAACCATCTACCAGCTACATGTACATTCGTGTATCTATGTAAAAAATATATATGTATTCCTTCACATACTGACATGTAATACAACATATATGCTATACATACATACGTATACACATGCATACCTAATTACATACAAACATACAAGCCAAGAAAGGAGGGCTGATGGTAGAGCATGATTTAGTTCGGCATCGGCTGTCATGGTACATGTGGATGCCCCTACACCACTGCGGCAGCTGCTCAGCGATGCGCGCCCCAGCTGGAGTGAGAAAGATCTTGCCGCGGTGGAGGAAAAGCTGTCGCGCGTGGGTGCCACAACGGTTCGCGAGCTGGCCGAGCTTTTGGCCCACGGTTTAAACAAGAGGCTGCATGCCGCTGGGTTGAAGGCATTTAACAGTGAAACCCTTGCAGCATTGCGCCATCGTGTAGAGGAGGAATCAAAATCTCGGCATCTCGAAGAAGAGAAGCGTGAGAAGCCCGTGGAGTCAAACGCTGGAGATGCTTCATCTCAGAGGAAGATGACAAGTCCAGACACAGGACACAAGAACTCTCCAACTCCTCCCTTCCAGGCTGACAGTGGGGGCCCAAAGGTGGCACCGACTGCGGAGCCTTCTTCCCAGCCCACTTTCACTAGTTTTTCTCCTTCAACGACTTTTGGCAGAGCCGAAGCTTTGGGTGAAACGCAGCTCATCAAGGCGGTGCGGCAAAGTGATGTCAAAACTGTGCAATATCTGCTTTCTCATCGAGCTGATCCCAACGAGAAGGACAACTTTGGCGAAACAGCTTTGATGGAGGCTGCGGGTCAGGGACAAGCCCAAATTTGTCGAATACTGCTGGAGAACGCAGCAAACCCGTCTTGCAAATCACCGAGCGGTCTGAATGCAACACAGCTGGCAGCGGAGCACCAATCCATCGCGAGCCTCTGCTGCACTAAGCCGCGCGGAGCGCCACTGTAGGGGTTCCGGGTTCCTGTGCAGTCAAGGGCTGCAAGGGGTTCCTGCGAAGCTGAGGCATTTGTTCGCCTTGCCGCCAGACTACTGGTTTGACAGAGGTCTCAGGCTCGCGGCTCGTCAGCACGATGTCCAGAAGGCCGAGCTTCTGCTGCAACGGGCGAAGGCAGAAGAGGTCGCCCTGAACTTTCAACGGAAAGATGCCAATGGCTTCGGGTTGATTCATGTATGTACGGGCAGAGCTCCTGATTCGGAAGATGGCCGCGGGCTTGTCAGACTTTTGCTTTCTGCGCACCTTGTCAGCACAACCTCTTCTTGTAGCAAGCCTCTGGCAGCATCCCCATACTGTCCTTTTACAACTAAGGGCTGCAGCTGTAAACACAACAAACCTGCTCGGCGAGACGCCGCTCATCCTTGCTGCTAGAGCTTCTGCTGATGCCAAAAAGGCGTTTAGGATGAGCACCTTGTCATGCATCAGAAGTCAATGGGATTCAATCTGGACGTCCTGGGCGGGGCTTGGCAGGGTCGAGAAGAGGTCATTGCAAATCTATGATCGCGAGAGCAAATAATGAAATGCTTGTTTTTGTGGCTGCGGCGGAAGCGTCGTCCCTGCGAAGCCAAAGGCTGTGCAAGCAGCATGAACCCCAGAGGTGGGCAATGGATAGATTTAAGTGCAGCAGGTACTTAGCTCATGGCTCTTTTGGTGTTCAAGACCACACGCTGAGGCATTGTACAGTTCTTGCTGGACTCTGGCGCTTCCGTCAACACTTCTGATGCAGTCCTGCATGAGACACCGTTAATGGAAGCTGCTGGGATAGGTGCCTTGCATGCATTCAAGATGCCTAAACTGGCCTAGACCCTAAGCCCTAAACCGCCCTGAACCCTGAAGCTTACAGCAGTTGCACCGCAGTGAGGGCGAAGGAATCGTCTCAGTTACAGGAGATCCGGACTTGGTGCTCACGCTTCTGAAAGCCCGAGCCGAGACTACAAGAAGCAGCGCCAGCGGGCAGACAGCCCTGGATTTCGCCTCTTCCAAAGACGTTGCTTGGACCTATTAGTCTACCATGTACATATACCACATTATATATGTATAATAACACTTATTATTATTGTTATTATACATCAGCATCAGACACCCGGGGCACCCGTTCATTCTGGCAGTGCCTTCTTAGCTCCAGAGCTCCCGCACGTTCCGCATTTCCAGGCCTGGTTTCCTTCCTGGGCTCTGCAGGTTTCTGTTTCCTTGAAACTCACGGATCTCAGGTAATATGGATGCTGAAAAATCCTTCAGAGGCTCTGCAGTCTCGAGCACAAGCCAGCACTGCTCTCAGCGCGGCCGTGAACGGGGTGTAATTGTTAGAAGTTGTGTCCCAAGTGTCGCGGAGGTCCTCAGCCAAAAGCTGCCGTACCGCCTCGACCAAATTATGCATTTCCACCACAACAGCCAAGCTCTGCACCGCCACCGAACACTGCTCGACCGGCTCCCAAGCCCGCGCCGAGCGTCTCGGCTTCTGTCTTTGGAAGCTCTTGGCTGTCTCTCACGTGCTTACGCTGTTGCTACACGTGAAAGACAGGTGCCCCGAAGCGCCCCCAAACGTATGCAGAGCGCCTTCAGACCCTCGGACTACCATGGACATCGGGACTTGCATGTGATCACGGGCACATGTCGCATGTCCCCTCATCACCATGCCGCATGCCTCGGCTGAGGAGCCTCCTGTCCAAGTACCCAGGATTCCAAGGCGCTCGGGTGCTCTGCCAAACGTAGAAGCTGAAGCCGAGTCAGAGTCTCACTTGACACTTCGTAGGTTCTGGTGTGGATCTGCCGAGTCATGCCTGGCAATGGTCGCCGCAAGAGCTCGAGCTCTTCATCGGTGCCTCGGCTTGTTTTCCGGCGCCTTTTCCTTCCACACTGCAGCTTTCCTCCTCCCACGCAATATATGGGTCGTGAGTCCTTGTATGGGCTTCTGTCAGCCCTCAGTCATTTGTCAAACCACAGTCGTATTCTTGCTGCCTGCGTGATGCTATAGAATATGATTTTGCAGAAGGACTAGAGACTGTAGGTCTACAATGCCCATGTGCAGGTAGTATGGGCCAGTTCTGGCCTCCGGGACGTGCCAAGCCGAGTCCAGGCAGTCTCACTTCTGTGCACAGAGTGGAACCCCGACATCCTTTTCTTGAAAGGCCCCAGTCGTACTTCGGGAAATCGCAACAAAGGCGCGTTGTTTCAAGATCCCCAATGTGCTGAGTACACGCGATTAGCATCACACAGGACCTCCGCCAGATCCCTGGGAAAGGCCGTCGATGAAACCACTGAGTTCACTGAAGGCATACTACCAGGCGTGACAGCATGATTCACTCCAAGAAGCTACAGATGCTCTGCACGAGTCAGGCCCTTGGTGTTCCGGAGGGCACGCGGGACAGAAACGTTCTCAAGAAGGCGTACAGGTGCCTTTCTGAAAGTGTGGCATGCCCATGCTCGAACCAACCTTGTTGCATGCTGTCGAGTTCGTGTTCGTAGGCAAGCTGCATTGAAATGGCATCCGGACAAGAACCCAGACAACCCTCTCGCAGCAAGCAACTTCCAGAAGGCGACACGTGCATGAAGTGCAAGTTTGTGTTTCAGCTGATGTCTCGATGACGAAGGGTTTCAGAATTGTGGCGACTGCAGGCGTGCGATGCCTTCGAGCAGCCGGGTCGCAAAGGGAGATTTCCACATCCATGCAGTGCTGTCCATACAGGCGTTGAACTGCGTGCAGCTCGCGATACACTCACTTGAGAAGAAGCATGGCACTTCCGCAGCCTCGCACAGGAATCTCCGGTCGGCAGCTCTTCCAAGGTCCTTATGCAGCCAACTCTAAACGAAGCCGTAGCCCTGATAGCAACGTTTACAGGAACCCTTACATAAACCTCCACGGTGTTCCTTGTTCTAACTCATATGTATATATATATATGTATATATATATATATATGTATGTATGTATAGACATAAATATGCGTCTGTATATACATACATATATGTGTATATATATATATATATATATACACATACACATACACACATGTAATTGTGTTTTTTGGCGCCCCCGGTGTACCTACCCTTTCCGGCAGCATGTATGTAAATATACGGACACATCGACCGAACGTTCCGCAGTCTGCAGCACGGAGCACAGCCGAGGCAGCTCTGTAAGGCGCTGGGTCTGGCCTTGTGACGACGAAATGCAGCAAAAACAATGAGGACTTGAGCACGATACCCTCAGAGTTGGTTTAAGGTTTCGGGGTTGCTCTTTTTTGAGGGAGCGATTCTGCGAGGGATACCATAAGGGTACTGTGAGGGTTACTATATGTGTGCAAGTGGCACAACCAACTGCGCATGGTAGAATGCCGTGGCATTGCACGACATGTGACCGCAGCTTTTCAATACTATGACAAAGCAAAATCTGGCATGTACCCGCATGACACGCAAGTAAGGAGGCTTTTTGTGCCTTTGCTTGACAAGATTTTCAGCAAGATGGGTCTAGGGTAAGTGACAGGTGTGTGCAGGAACATGCAGGAACTCTCGCGAATCTAGTGCGATCTCAACAGTACCACAACTCCATACCATGCCTGCTGAACAGTAACCAGGCAGAAACAATAAGACGGTGTCCGTGGCAGTGGAGCAACCACCACAGACAATGGCGGCCGGAGCTGCTGCGATGCGGTCTGCAGCGCGGCTTGCAGTAGTGACTGGACACACTTCTGCGTTGTCTACCGCCGTCCGTGTGCAGGCTTGTGCTTTGGGGCTTAGGTCCCGGGCCAAGCAGGTTGTTCAAGTGTTGGGCCGGTTGATCCTGCTCCTCCTGTGCAAAAATCAGGCTTGCGCTGCTCGTTTGTCCGATGCACGGTCAGATGCACGGTCAGGTGCGGTCTTGACTTCTGCTTCTCTCACCACTGTAAAGCAGCGCGGGTGCACTTGTTGCAGGGAGCTGGGCTTGGAGGCGCACCGAGCCCGAACACGTTGTTGCCCGCACCCCGATCCGATTGGGCTACCTTGCAGAGCTCTGCACTCTCTGCACTGCATGCCGACTAAGGCAGGACCTCCGCACCATGCAATTTCCCAACGCTCCTGCGGGTCAACAGCCTGGTGCCTTTCCGGGGCAGGTGCCCACTCGATCTGCTGCTGTCTGCTGTGCTGATCTGTGCTGCCTTTGCATGAAGGCCCAGTTCGGCGCATGCCTAAGATCTTCGTGTTCGGAGTGTGAGACTCTGTGAGACACGTTCACCGAGGAGGGTTCGGCCAACAAGGGGGCCAGGCCATGCCTGGCATGGCGGCTCCCATGGCACCCGGCGGCTTCGGTGGTGCTTTCGGTGCCCAGGCTCAGCCCAACCCGGGAACGGGAGGAGGTGCTTTTGGCTCGGGAGGTGGCCTGCCCAGCGGCGGGGGGTTTGCTGGTGGGTTCGGTGGGTTTGGGGTTCCTGCGCAACCCCCCCCGCCTCAGCCACAAGGCTTGGGGGGCTTCGGCGGTGGCAATTTGGGTGGAAATCCGGGCATGCTACAGGGAGGTCTGAATGCAGGGGCTGCATTTGGACAAGGACCCGCAAGTCCGATGGGAGGAGGTTTAGGAGGCTTCGGGCAAGGCATTCCTCAGTCTGGAGCTCGGTGGTGTGGTCCAACATGGGACATCCAGTACCTTAATGCGCTCAGGCCCGGGGCCTACAGCGCGCCAGGTCTGCAACAGGCCGGATGTGTGATCCGGTGCCTGCTGTAGTAGAACTCTTGTGTGTGTGTGTGTGTGTGTGTGTGTGTGTGTGTGTGGGATGTATCATTTGCCATTACAGAGACGGGAAAGTGCCATTATGCTGCATGTCAGTTCCCAGCCCAGAATGCCATGCTTATCCTCTGTCTTGGTTTATATTGTCTAACTTTCTGCATTTGGTCAGTGTATATACCTCGGGGGAAAGTCAAAGCTTTGTTGCGGCAGACTTTCTGGAGGCGCCGAGCGAAGAGAGGACACCGCTTGCACATGGTACACGACTCTGCCCAGACCGCGAGCAGATGCGAGCAGCGAAGGACACTCGAGGACCTCGCCTGTACTGTTGGCATGCACAGCGCTGTCTGGAGTGCCGTCCAGCTCGTGTTTCCTGATGCCTTGACTTTCATGTGAGCCAGTGCCGTCTGCGAGACTGCTGTTCGACATGCCAGGTGCTACCAAGCGACAGTTCCGACAGATCTTTCAAGACACACTGCGTGTGCCTTGGGCCGTCTGCGCGACGATGGCTGAGCCTGCGGCACCTTTCAGCTCCAGCATCGCAGTTCCCAGGCCATGGCAACCTGTAGCAAGAGAAGCGTTGCAGCACACTTGGATTCCTCCGAGCATGGGCTCATGTAGCATCCAAGATGAAGTGTCCGTGTCCTGAATTGCAAGGTCGGCAACGATGGAATCGGGCCTTCAGATCTTGATGTCGGCAGGTGCCATGGCACCCCAGGCGCATGGACACAAATGCATACAAATGCATCGTTCTGCCGAGCTGTCCTCGGCAAGCGGAGGCACCCGATGAGTGTGGTCTGGGAAAGTTGCCAAAATCTTAGACTGATAGGGGCGGTTTTCAGACAAGAGGGTCCGAGGTCGTCCCGAGCATTTCCGACTTTCCAAGGACGCTTCAACTCTTCTCCTTCTCGGCGGTGGATGAGCCGCAGGCCTTTGTCGTCCGCCGAGAGACGCTTCGGGTGCCGGGACGATTTCCAGGTGCTACTGCAGCTTTTTGCAGCTTTGGAGCAGCTGGCGTCGCCAGTGCGGTCCTAAGCTGGCATAAGTTGCTTCCTGACCTGATGTGACCTGTGGACGCTCCGAGGTGCTCACAATGCTGCTTGACATGCCGTTCGTGCCCAGCCTAGCCAATTGCCATGCCTGGCCTTCCGTGCAATAGGGACTTGAGGCTCCAAGAAGTTGTGTTGCGCGATGCAAAGGCAGGCTTAGCCCAGACTGGATGGCCCATAGTTGCGCTGTGGTGCACTCGTCTTTTGATTTTGTGTGCTTCGGGGTCAACGTCTGATGAGCTCCAGCCTTACTGCTTGCCGAAGGTTAGCACAGATAAACATGCGGAAGCAACAGATTGGCGCCATGCACCCAGAGAATGCGACATTTTGCATGACAGCGCCGCTGACCACATGGAGACCAGGCAGTGAACGATGAGCGAGTTGACGGCGTGGACGACATGGCTGGTCGACAATTCCAGGCGTTCTCCTTTCTCGTCTCCTCGCGATGCAAGTCTGTTTGTGCGAGGGGTACTTTTTCTGGCAGTTGGTAAACGGCATGAATTTCACTTTAGCCGATTTCGGTTCTTGGTTGGACTTGCTGTGGAGAGCACATAAAGACCCCTTGCTTTTGCCATCTCGCGGCCATGGTGCGACAACCACAGAAGCCTCGCTCAGTCATACATGCCGTTTAGGTTTGGGATATCTCAGGCATTAGGATGCTCCAGAGCTATAGTGGATGTGAACCGATGCGGTCTTAAATCGAACTCTGTCCTGTGAAGCATGGTATACTCTTCTCCTCAACGTTGAGTGCGCAGGCAGAGCTTCTTGCAGCTTTGGCCTCCAGAGATGGAGCGGCGCGGACTCGCTGCGTTTTGTTTAGGGAGTTTAGCGCTGCATCGGAGAGCCCTTCGCAGGCCGCCCAGGATGCTGCCACTCGCTATTTGTCAGCGAACCCCCAGGCCTCTACTGGTAGTGGCTTCGGCTTGCGCTTGCGACTCTCCGCCCCTCCGCCACTGCCCTGCTTTTGACAGGGCCAGAGTGCGTTGGCGCCTCTGACCGCGCTGGCGACGCAGGCTGCCTTCTGCAGGAAGCGAGTCGGTGTCGAATGTGGTTTTCTTGACTTCGACAGGCCATGGCGTCACCAGATGCACAGGACCTTGGCATAAAAGGAGGTTTCACGACATGGCCTCACGATCGCCGCGAGGAGAGGATGCAGCTCTTGGAGGTGCTGCAGCAGGCGCTGAAGCAGGCAGCAGACTCTGGTCGTGGAAGCTTGGTGTTTGGAGTTGTGTCGAACTTACTTGTACCTTCTAGGTCATCGGCAGTGGCGCCGAGTTGGACCTCGCATTGAGCACGAGGTGGCCACTGTCCAGCACTCGGCCGACACAGCATTCCGACACGGTGCAGCTTTTGATGCCCAGCTTTGTCTGCATTGTCTGCATGTTATCTGATGGTCAGCCGCCCAGCCGAGGTGGGGCATCCTCCACGTCGCGCTCGATGCGTTTGCCGTCTAGTCATCCGGCGGCTACATCGGGAGAAAACAAGGGCCATGTGTCTGTGAGCGAACATGCCCAGAGATGGTGGTTGTCGGTGTGGTCCAGCCATCTGAACTGCGGATTTAGAACTACTCTTGCCCGCTCCTGGGTTTGCACACAAGACTGCAATTTGCGACGTGTTCGGTTCGTCTCCCGTGATTATGCACACTGAGTGCTGAGCATTTCACCAGGATCGGACGAGGCTCTTCTACTGCCAGCCGTTAGGGCCACTAGAGCCTCCACCAAATCCTTGTCGGCTCCTCGTACCAGCGGGCGCCGGCCACGAGATGCAACAACACCCACCGTTACAGCAAGCGCCGAGCCTTCTCAGCTGCTAGCCACTTCCGTAGACTCGGAAGCTCTTTCTGCCCGTCCCTCGCTTGGTAGTGATATGCATGATGCTGGGCCGGCTGGAGATGCCTCGAAGAAACGCCGCAGACATGCCTCGCGTTGCATCTCGCGACTGAAGGCCTGCTCGGAATCCAGCCAGACAGCTCGATTGTTCTC